GTATCAAACACAAAGATGCAAAACGTCTTAACAAACTGGTGAAAAACTCTGGCTCTGTGGTAGGACTCAAGCTGGACTCTATTCTAAAGAACATGGATCACCCACTTCACAACACCTTGATGGACCAAAGGGCAAATGGTGGTGGACGGCTCCTCTCTCTTCGCTGCAGGACAGAAAGATTCAGAAGATCTTTTGTACCAACAGCCATCAGGCTTTATAACTTCTATGTAAATAATAGATAACTCTTATCGACATATTATGTGAGACAACAGACGATTGAATTTCTCTTTGGGGATCAATAAAGTTCTTCTTATTCTTCTTATTCTTATTCTGAAGTCTTGATCAAATCCAGCCAAAATTCTGCATATTACAACATGCATATAAAAATGTATGCATTTCCAAAACTATAAGGGCTACAGGCATAAATTTGGTACCTGTTGAAAGGTATTTTATATTACATTATACATTACCCAATTGCTGTGCTGAGAAAAGATACACAAGAGAAAAATAAAATGCTATTTCCACCCATGAATATTTTTTTAAAAAGAAGGCTATAAAAGTCTTAAATTTCATCTGGACAACAAATCAAACTATTTTTTTTCAGTTCTCAGTTCAGAATGGTTAAGGGGTGCAGAGCAGTCAACAAGTAGTCCACAAGCCCCAAAATTGCAAACAAGCACCATACGAAATTCAGGTATTTCTGCTACAGGACTCCATAGATTAAATGCATGATAACCATCACTAAGCTACTAGTCTGCAAGGGTTACCATGGCAAAGCATAAACTAGGGATGTGGAGCAACTCAAAAAAACAAACTAGAAATTGCCCACCCGATTTATTGCGATGGGTCAATTTTGGGGTCTTGGCTCATGGACTAATACCTGCAGAAATGGTTGAAGATGGTGTCAAGTTTGGACTGCATCCAGTTTGAGGATGTCCACAAGAAATCAACTAAACAGAAGATCATGCATATCATGGAAAAGGTTATAACTTACTACATCAGCATCCATTTTACAGTGTGCAGCAGAGCCAGAGCCTAAAAAGGGTATTGGCAGTGCAGAGCTCAGAGTCCAGAGATCAATTATACAGATGCCCAGAATACTGAGTGAGAATTGACAGTATCAGTGGTACTAGTATGGCTATAATAAATCACTCCCTGTGGTGCAACATACTCACACAGTTGTGGAAATGCAGTGAATGCATGCAGGTAACTTGCCATGCAGAGTTCGTCCTATAGAATTTGCCAAATAGTAAGTAGTCTTTGCATGTGCCCAGCTTCTCCATTTCTCTGGAGAATCTTTAAGCACTTCTGCTGATTCTGCAGGAATGAGGTGAGCTAATTTTGGCTGGCAGCTCTGTCTATAACAGTGGGATCAGTTACAAGGGTCAGGCTATTTAATCCAAAATCGGACCTTCATGTAACTACAGTAAAAGCTATCACAGCCAGCATACAACAGTGTTGAAAGAGCTCTGGCACTCAGACCTACAGTGTTTGATTCATAGGGTAGTTTCACATCAGGGTCAGGATTTGAGTTCACCTGACCCTACAGTCATGATGCCGTAGTCTGGTGTGACTCATAGTTCATATTAAGGGTGTGGAAAATAATCTAAATTAATCGATGCATCGATGCACATGTGCGCGATGCGACTGCGTCGGCTCATTCACTGGGTATCGATGCAATTGACGGGTTAAATCTAGATTCATCTAGATGCGTTGGTGGGTATCGGTAAAATCCGATGCAAGCGCCGTTTTATTCATGTTAAACTTCACCCCATCTGCTGTTCCCCAGGCGCATTGAATGCACCATCACTATTTCGCGTTTTGGATTGAATACGGACGGAAGCCGTGAGGGACATACAATGCACTACTAGTAAAACAGCATGGACCACGTTCAAGTGAGCAGCAGCGAGGAACAGTTTATATGTAATGCACCCGCTACGTTTAAATCATATGTTTGGAAACACTACGGATTTGCAAAGAAAGACGGAAAGCTCGACAAAACGTCCGTCATTTGCAAAGAATGCCGCGTTAAGAAGCTGTACAACGGCAGCACGACAAACATGCAGACCCACTTAAAAAGAGTACACCACATCACCGACAAGTCTAACGCCACCTCCACTCCCTTAACATTGATTGCACTGTTGAAAGTGTCACTTAAGGTTACTCATTGAGAGTGTTTTGTTGTTGCTGTTTATTGTACTTTTTACAGCAGTAATTATTGTGTAATTGTTTTACTCTTTTATTATTGCAGAACTCACTCAAATCACTGATTTTCAGTGGCCAGTTAGAAAGTCAACTCTAGCACATTGGTTTGGCATACAGTAGTATGGCCATTGAATGGTTTATTTGCACCACGTTAGGCAGTGCATTAGTTGTTTAATAATGTGTACTGTAATATTACCCAACAAGTATAGAGCACTTGTGTGATGTAGGGTTGGGATTGGAATCCTTTTTTTTTTTTTTTTTTTGATTTTATTGATTCAGATTCCTTAACAGTTGCAGGAGGTCTGTCTAATCTGTGTAACTGTACAAAATGGAACCCAAAGGAGCATAGAAAAAAAGACAAAAAGCACTTTTGTTGAATTTACTGCCAAGTGCCTTTAAGGAATAAAGCCAAATCATTTTTGTAGTACCATACTGAATTCCATCTTTTATTTTTATTTCTTTTTTTTCTTTGCTTATTTGCATCATGTTGAATTGCATCGTATCGCAACAAATTGCATCATATCGTATCGGATCGCATTGATTTGAACTAAATGATTATCGTATCGTATCGCATCTTGAAGAGGGTGAATCGTATCGCATCGTATCGCCAGAAAATTCCATGTATCAAAGTATCGTATCGCTGGCAGTGCATCGAGATGCGTATCGAATCGTCCTCAGTGCTGAGATTCACACCCCTAGTTCATATGTGCTCAGTCATGGTTCATGGGAGTTGTGAATGCAATCGTGACAACAGATGGAAGTGGGCTCCCTCGTGATGTCATAACTCTTCCCCTTGAGCTGCACAGTATACAGGTATAAGGAAGGCCATTGAGTAGCTGCTGACATCTCCAACTATTTAATCCCATCATGGCTAAAATGCAAACTAAATCTAAATCTAAATACCTGCCAAAATTAACACTGCTTCAAAGGTGTGCTTTTTGTAAAAAAAAAAAAAAAAGACATTTTAACTGGGATGTAACAGGGATTTCTTGGCTTTTGGAGCTAGCCTCAAGTGGACATTTAAGGAAATACAGTTTTTGCACTCCTGCAACCCCATTGGCTTCACAGACTTGAAGATAAGGGCAACATCCCAACATGCTGGATTTATTCAACTGAGTGTCCCTTTGGTATTTCATCAAAAGGGATCAATATGAATTTCAGTCAATTTCATAGACACCAAAAATCTCCTCACAGGAGCTTTAACTAGAAAGTGAATTTCCTGGTTTATCATGCTAGCAATGTTTATTTAAACTTTCATAAAGAAAAAGATTAAAAAGCTGTAAGATAGACTCTTAGCTGATCCATGGGGGTTCAGTGTGTCACAGAGTTGACCGATCATGAGTTTGAAGACTTTGATTTGACATAAAGAAAGTGAAAGCACTGAGGGAGATTTAACCAATTATTTCAGTTAAAGGGGATGTTGAAAATCCAGATATGTAACTATGTAGATAATAGCTGCGTTTGCATGAAGCTTAATCCAAATCTGTAACTTAATCTAATTTCTCAGCCTTATGTGCTTTGAAAGTAGCCTTAGCAGAGGATGTTGGAGAGTCTCAATCCTGATTTACAGTGTTAATACCATCAGTCAGTTTCTGCCAGCTCTGTGCAGGATTAATTGCACCCCTGCACAACCTTACACATTTTGCCCTTCATGAGATGAAACTCAAATGGAGGCCAACCCAACACCACACAGGTAACATCCAGACCATTCAGGTTTGCATACATATTTCTCTTCTTATTCTTGAGCAGCTCTTAGTGGCCAGAGTGAAGGATTGCAGGATTGGACTCCTCAGTCTTAAATCTCTGCCATGTCAATATCAAAATCATTGCAAAGCTGTTTATTTAAGTCAACATTTATTAGTGCACTTTGTTATATCTGTATTCCATTTTTATGCATAATGGGGGAAAATAATAAATGAAGTGGCAGTGCCCCAGAGAACTGCAGTTAGCTTGAGGCTTTTCATTTGGCAGGGAGACACATTCATGTAAAATACAACAGATTAATCTACAGCTCTAAAACATTAATACTGGCCTACTTCAGTCTGATTTTTTTCAATGGCTGCTGTGATGGCAACCATAATGATTTAATTTGAGACTGCCCATGGTGTTTTCTCTCAATTTGCCAAAACGTACGAATTACTACAAAATACTTTGAGATTAAAGATAGTTATTGTGATTTAAGTTTGTATGCTATGAATTATTAACAGGGCTGAGTCACAATTTAATCTCTGAGTTTTAGCTTTCTGAGCATTAGAAGGCAACTAATATCTGGGGTGTGAGGTGAAAGTATAAAGTATGTTTGCTTTTGAAAAATATATTTAATAAGGTTTTGAATGATGACCCAGTTAGGAGTTTAGAAAGAAAAGTTCAAAGTTTTAAAGATTAAAGTATTTCATAATTCCAGGTGTGAATGTTGTTTTCGGTCTCGCAGCAGTTGAGTCTTTAATGTTACCCAAACATAAGTATGAACTAACTTAAAATTCTGCTGTTTATTTCCAGCTTAAAACACAGTGATCCAAAACAAGGGGGAACTCTCTCTGACATTAATGCTCATTTCCTCTTCTGGCACCCTTATAAAAACATGGTAAGATCTTGATTCCTGAGGAAGTTACAGACATTTCCTGGTCCGTCAAGCAGCATAAGGAGTGTGTGTGATAACACAAGGATCCAACCACACCACTACAGCCACAGCCCAGCTCTCCTTTCCTTTGTCCCTCCTCTGGTTCTTCTGACTGCCTCTGTGTCCTCAGCCCTCTGCATTTTCACCTCAGAGCAGCGAAGCGCCATCACTCAGGATGGACCCCAGAGCCCCCAGACTGCTGCCTGTACTTCTCACCGGCCTCCTGAGCCTCTGTAAGGACTCGTTATCGTATAACTCTAGGAACAGAGGATGTTCATCTAGTTAAAACGAATGTCTGAATTCTCACTTTCTCTTCTTCTCTTCTAATACAGGGCAGTGTGCCAGAGGACAGTCATGTAAGTTACTCTTTAAATTTGACTCTTGTTTAATAATTGGTCTGGGGGACTGGAGTTTCTCCTCAGATGAGACAGTTTTAGGTTATCCAGTCTTTGTTGTGGTACATAAAAAAGATATTTTTACCCCAAAGAGTTATTTTTGCGGTAGAAGGGAATTTTGTTGCACCCTCCTGGCCTCATTGATCAGAAAGCCTTTGGTAAGATCTATCAGAGATATTTTTAGTTGTCAAAGGTAAGGCTGGCTAATCTTTCAAAGGAGTGTGAATGAACTTTCAAACATTGATTTACATTGAAATGCTAATAACTTCTAGTTTTCTTTGGCAGTGTTTATCTTTAGTTCTAAGCGAGGAAAGATAATGAGGTGTTAAGTGTCTGAAAGAAATCTATAACTCTTTTGGAAACATAACATAAATAAAAGACTTCATGTTTGTACTCCAAAGCTAGTAATATCTCAGCTTTAAAACTTTAAAGCTCCTTTTCACCTCAGAAATGAATAGAAATGTAAGCTACTCGAGAAAATGCTAGCACATAACCTGCTGCAAGATCCCAGGCTATAATTTTTTTCACGAGTCTTTGAAATTATGAATTAAAAAAGAGAGGAGGAGTAAGGTCAAGGAAAACTAGGACATTTCTAGTAAATGAATTGCAGTCCAAGTGTCCCCTCTCTTTTGATAGCACTAGCAGCCTTGTAAGGAAGCTAATAGATAGACTTCGAATCAATAGGAGGCTGAAATTATTTGTCAAAATACTTTGTTGAGATGTAAAGTATGAACTCGCCCGTTCTGAATACAGTCACTGCCTCAGTCATTCCCCCTCACTGAGCCCAGGGCACAAACTAACAGCAGTAGTTTCTTAGAGGATATGGACCACTTGATTGGTTGGTTGCTGTTGTGGCAGGTAATACTGTCCTGCTGCTGCTGGAGGAGAGCAGAAGCTGGGATAAATCAACACTGCTGTCCCAGGAGGGCGGACAGGGTCAGACACTGTTTGTTGAAGCTTTTTCCTTCCTTTAGCAGCTCTTTCTGACTGCTGCTGTTGGCCAGGGAGTGCCTTTCTTTACCTTTATTGTGGAGGGAATAATAGACCCTGGCTGTTGTGTTATGGTACTGGCTCAGATTCTGATGTTGTTTGCACAAGAAGAAGGCTGTCATACCATTCTTTTTTCTAACGCATGTTTATGTTTGTGGAACATTTGAACCTACAGCTTACACTATAGACAACGTTGGACTTACAATACGACCTGGCAGCCCAGTTCCAAGTGGCACGCATGTAACCTTGCACTGTCAAGTCAGTATCAGCCATTACAACGTCCCTAACCTGACACACACGTTCCTGATCACACATGATGACATCATGGTCCACTCGTCCACCACTACAGAGGAATCAATTGTGTATGAACTGAAGCCAGCCAGGGCGGCTGACTCTGGAAGTTACGAATGCCGAGTGACAGTAGGGGAGAAAAGCAAAGTCAGCTTCAGCCAGGGACTCAATGTCACAGGTACAGCTGAAATTGATTTTGTTTTTTTGTTTATTTTGTTAGTTAAATATAATTTAAATATTTTATTATTTTATTCACAGATGGAATAAAGTTTCCATAAATTTGTAATTTTCATGATAAATTGACATAACTACAGCATAGCAGGAGATTTTAGGCCTTTCTCTTGCCTCTTATCCATAGAATTGGCTCTTTAAAGTGCTCATTATTAATCCCAATGAAGGTTCCTCTTAATACTGTGCAAAATGACACAGATTTAAACACTTGGTTTCGCTATTAAAGCTGTTAAATGACACTCTGTAAGGAACTTTTAGGTTGTGTCAATTTTTGCACCCCCGGGGACAAACTTTTTTTGTGTGCAGTGGTCTTTAACTGCTCTGCTATCAGCGCCCCAAAATGTATTGTTTTTTGTTAATATTTTACAAGGACACTGTAAAATAGGTGAGGGGGTAGGTGTCAGCTGCTCAGTCAACACCTACCTCCTTGCACAAGTTTTAGGTGCAAAATGATCTATCTTGTCACTGATAGTTCTCTGTCTTTATTTTTCATGAAAAGGCATTAAACTGAATTTCAGTCTAATCCATCAACATCAAAAAGCTCCTCAAAAGTCCTTCAGTAAATGCTCATCAATGAGGCAGACTTTTCAATCACATGCTAATAATTGATCATAAATGTGAATATTATTAGAAATAGATTCCACACACCTGGCTGTGATCCTGCTTTTTTACCATTAGGTCAGAAAATTGATTAAGAGTAGGTCTATTGGTTCTCATTTTTCTCTCCTGCTGTGCTGTCCTTTTTTCAGGTCTCCAGACACCCATCCTGCATTTGAACAAGACATCACCATATGAAAATGAGGAGTTCACAGCCACATGCAGTGCCCCGGAAGAGAAAGGGCCCCTCATTTTCCGGTTTTACCAAAGATTTAGGAATGGGAAGTCTGAGAAAATAAAGCAACCGGCACCCTCCTGGAACTCCTCGGAGACAACGCTGGTACTGAGGATGGTTGGAGACAGCGTCTTGTACTGTGACTATGAGATCAATCTGGTTTCTGGGCCCAGACGCTCAAAGCCCAGCAACGAGATTCAAGTGATAGTAAAAGGTGATTTGATGGAGCATGGTGATGAAACAAAGAAGGCAAGTGTTTTTGGGTGTGTGATTATGACTTTTGTCTCGTAGGGCTCTTCATTACCCCGGTTGTGAACGTGCTGCCCTCCTCGACTATCTATGAGGGTGATGTGTTAGAGGTGGTCTGTAAGGTGGTGAGCGACCTGAAGGACATTGAAGTTTTCCTAACAAGGGACAGGAAGATCCTGAAGCAAGCTGCGGTCAGCCTGAGTCATCGCTTCAGAGCACAGGAAGGCGACACTGGAGAGCTTGTGTGCAAAGCTGAGTGGGGCAATGTCCAAAAAGAGACATATCAATCAATCACTGTCAAAGGCAAGAAGAGCAAATTCTGTTTTATTTTGTCTTTTCTGATATGATGAGCCTTTTAATGTCGAGTTTTCTGTCTTACATCATAGAGCTGTTTTCAAAGCCAACTCTGTCTTTGGAGCCCATGGAGCTTTTCGAGGGAGATCGCTTTAAACTGACCTGCTCGGTCTCCGTTTATGTTCCCGAGAGGCTCAACAATAGAAGCATAAAGTTCTCCTTCTACAAAGATAATGACAAGCTGAAAGATGGAGAGACACTGACTGCTTTGGCAAGCCATCAGAAAAATGGAAACTACAGCTGTAAAGCCCAGGCTGCTTCTATTCATTCTCATAATTTTGTCAAAGAAAGCCAAAAGCTGGTTATTAAAGCAAAAGGTAAGTCATTAGACCCTAATCATGTTTGACTGCAAGGTCTTTCTTTGTCTGTAGTAATGCAGCATTTAACATTAAGGAAATCTTTGTTGAGCATGTTCAAAAAGGAAGAAAAAAAACACCCATAAATGCACCTTTTGGAATAATAAAAAAATTGGATTAGCAGCATGAATTGAATGTTTGGAACAATGGTTGGCCTTTCAGTTGGTCCACATAATTGTGCACAATCACCAAAAAAATGTGGACTTTGATTATTTATGATTATTTACAGTCATTCAAAAGGAAAACCATAATTTAGAGAGATGGGTTGCCTCATATGGTCTATCTGTGTTGTTTTATGTGTCACTCTGACCAACTCTCATCCCCCAGTTCCTGTTTCTAAACCCATGCTGAGGGTGGTGGAAGGTACGCTGGTGTTGGGGAAGCCCTTCCAGATTATCTGTCATAGTGATAACGGCACTCTACCTATTGATTACACCCTGAGCGGCCCTCACAGGTGGTCTGAACACAAAGTGGTGAGCAAGGCGGGGGAGCAGGCCATCTTTGACTGCCCTGCCATCAACAGGCACTCAGACCTCAACAACTTTATCTGCCACGCAAGAAATGGTAAACAAAGAGCTGCAGCAGTTGGATTAGGTCAGCAGCTACTACACTCAACCAACATCATAGGTGGGTTGAATACAAGCATGATAAAACATATTCAAACTAACTAACGTGAAATGATACATGAACAAGTATTTCTTCCTCTTCAGAGCCCGTGTCAGATCCCATCCTGACTACGCTTCCCAGTGTTGGGATGTGTCTGAGGGGCAGGACTTGACTCTGTCCTGCTCTGTCCGAAGAGGATCTCTCCCCATCACCTTCACCTGGTATCACACCAAAAAAGACAACCCTCTCGATTCCCAAACCTTCAATAAACTGGAAGGATCCCACAGAATCATCAAGGTCAAAGGACAAGACCAAGGGGGTTACTACTGTGAGAGCACCAACTCGGCAGAAGAAACCAAAAAAAGTAAAATTGTCATGGTTGGGGGTGAGTTTTCCTTTTTTCTCTAATGTAGAAATCTTTTAAAGGTTCAGATAAAAACATTCTTCTGAGTATTACATGCATCATCTGCTAATACTGCTTTAGTTTGGCATTATAAAGCTGGTACAACATCCTGATCAGACTGAAAACCAGACCGTGGCAGCCAATTTTAAAGCTAAACCAAATCTACTGTCCGTTCCTTTTTGGACCACTTACTACAGAAAGCCCCAAACAATGGTCCAATGACGGCCTGTCGATTCTAAATAGTAACTATAGGGGATGTTGCTAATACTCCTTTAACCACTGAAAAGAGAAATTATTGTGGAACATCTTGATGCACATTAGGTCATATCTCAAGTTAAAATCAGATAATTATACCTATAATGGAATAAGCCCATTGACAGCTAACATTATCATTTAATAGCATGACAGAAACATGCCAAGAAGCCAAAGTCACTGTTCAAAGTACCATTTGTAAATGGTTTCGATAGAGCCAATAAGATTTAATGGTAAACAGTAGGGCTGCAAGATTAATTGATTTTAAATCATAATTAGATTATTTGATTATGACAATGTTAAAAAAATTAAAATAGTCAAATCGATTTTCCTCTCTATCATGTCTCGTGCCTCCAGGCCACCATAGGCTCCCCCTTCCTGTGAGAGCACTCCCCAGTTCCCACACACCAGTGTAAACAAACACGGCATTTGCAAAAGAAGGCGATAATGTCCATCTGCATCTTTCTTGAAACGATTAGTTATGTGAAACACAGTGTAACTCTTTTATGGCACCTATGTGAGTCTGGCCTAAACAACCTTTATACGCATGCTCAGTACTCTTCTTCTGTCTTTTGTGCATTGCCTGTGCAGCATTACAGCACTGCTAACTGGCCTGGCATATGCACTACATCATTTTCAGTGTTTTCGTTTTGAGAGATGATTGAAAAACTTTTTATTTTTAAAATGAAGTTTGGGGAAGCTGTCACTGAATAAAAAATCAAAATTGAAATCGAGTTTTCAGAGAAAAAAATCTGGATTTTATTTTTGGCCAAAATCATGCAGCCCTAGTTAACAGTAATGTTAGCTAACCAGTGGTAATTCAGGACAGTCAGCTACAAACAGGTTGAATACAAACATTTGCCTATATAGCAGCTAAGATGGAATCATCTCCCCAAAACTAAATCAAGACTAGACAGCTATAAGTTTTGATAACATTTATTTCAACTAGCAAACAGTAACTGAAGATAATTAACAGATGTCTTGGCACGCTGACAGTTATTTTGGAGAAGTAACTGTGATGCTGATAAGGATTTATTTGAATTTTATCATTAAACTTTAGACCTGATGCAAAAAGCTTGAAGATACTGTCTGATAATCACTGTAAATTTTCTTCAAAGTTGCAGATCATGGGGAAATAACAACAGTTGATATATTTTTAACCTGAAACACAGGAGTAATGTTTCAGCTTACCTGATCTGACATTAAACGGGAAAAAAAGGCTGCTGTGGGAGTTTTAAGTTTAGCAAACTGGCATTGATTGTGGCTGCTTTGCAGTCTGGCAGTCACAGATTGAAGGTTCTGTGCTTCTGTGGGGTTTGAGCACAGGTGGTGTATAAGACAATAAGCATTGAAGCAAGCATTTATGACTCAGCATGTGTGAGTACACCTTTACAGAATTAGGCTGTAATGACTTTTAAGTACCTTAGGGCACAACATTCAAGTATTCAGAGGAATAATACATACTTTAAATGTTAAGTGGGTGCTTCCATTTGCATTAATTCACACTTTTGGCATCCATTTATTTTGGCAGGGAATGCAAGTGTATGATAAGTTAGAGGGTGGGAGGGTGTGAATGGATGTATTTTCTAAAAAATGAGAAATGTTGTTCAAACCAGTATTTTTGATTGTTTTCCACAGTGAAGATGGCAGGCTGGAAGAAAGGTCTCATTGCAGTCTTCTGCCTCCTGCTCATACTCGCCTCGATCCTGGTTTTCCTCTTCCGGAAACGTCTCCTTCACTTTAAGAGGAAAAGAACTGCTGAGCTGTCAGTGTGAGTTATATGCTCTCAGCATCTCATCAAAATCTGTGTTTTAAGGTAAAATAATGAGCGTTTCAATAGCGGGGAGAATAATGGCACCCATAGAGCTTCCTGTTTTAAGAAGCTGATTGTGTTTTGCATCCACCTCGTCTTAGGAAGTCAGCCGGCACCAAAGTGGAGCGGCTGAGCCTCACCCAGGCTGAGGTCAACGAGGCTGCCAATGGTAAAGTCTTAAATGCTGATACTAACGATGGGCCACAACATACTGTTTGTGTCCAGAAATGAAGAGTTTTACATTTCTCTTGAAAACTGTGGGTTTGAAGCTGTTCAGTAGTCATTTAGATTAAACAGCTAAGACTTGCTATGTTTTTGCACTCTTTGCAGTCACTCCAGGCATTATGGGTAAAAGTGTATGGAGTGAACATGTGTCAGGCTCTGGTAAGTGGAGTTTCATATTTAATGCTCCTATAAGGAGTTTGTTTTTTTTACTTTGACCTTTATAAAATAGACTTAAATTCACACTGAAGCCTGTTTATGATATCCCTAAGCAACCAAGATCACCAGGGATGTTGATATTTTTTACTTTCTTGTTTTCAATTCCTAGTAATTCAATGTCATAGTTCCTCATGACAGACGGTGCCAGCTGTCACTCACTGTTACATAACCAAACGAAGGAAATTAAGTAACCCAGTGAACAAAGTTGCACTGAAGTAGAACACGGAACCAAATACTGAGGTGGAGACATTAAACCACAACCGAACAGTCATAGAGCATAATATCCAAAAGCTCAGTCCTAAAATGCACTTGTGAGGATATTACTGGACAGCAGATAGAAAGAATGCCTGTTAGTTGACTTTTTGTCTATCTGCATTTATTGCAGCCTTTTTTAATTTTAGAGAAATTCAGTGTGTTGCTTTATCATAATTGCCACTTAAAATGATTTTCCTTCAAACAAAAGTGTTTTGTCCTCATAAATTCTGCCTCTCAAAACTTTTCTTTAAAAAGGTTCACCATACTTTCTGGATTGTCCTATACTTGAACCAAGATGGCACATTTAGAGAAAATATGCAGTTTTCGATGCTTACTTATGTGTTTTGTACTCCAGAGTCAGATGACCAGAATAGCTTGTCTTCTCCGGAGAAGCAGGACCCTCAATACACCGAAGTGCCAACCAGACAAGTGATTCCTAACAAAGGTAGGACAGCATCTGAATATTAACCTTGGTGTTTCAATAGGAAAACGTTGTTTTGATCTGTCAAACTCCTTCTAAAATCATTATGTATCTGTTGTCAAAGCTCCTGAGGAAGGGGAAACAAAAAAGTTGAACATTGAAGTCCACAACTCCAAACCAGGTATGGCCTAAAGTCCCTCTCCTCAACTCTAACCCCTCTGTTACACAGGGAGAGAAATTAGGCCACTCACTTATGCTTGAAAGAAAAAAAGAAGTAGCACAGGAAACAGGATCAGCTCCAACTGTAAACATCTGCATTGTTAGTGAAAGAATGTCCCCTTAAAACAGAGGGCCCAGCCACCAGGTGTCCACTTCCTGCTTTCGTCAGCGAAAACTTCCTGTCCTAACAATAAGAGCTAAATGGTTCCTACATCCGTCAAGACTCAGAGAGAAACACTCACCATTGTTTGATACTCACAGGGGAAACTTTGCCCATTGTTTGCTCAATTAGTCCTAATAACTCCCAACAGTTTAAATGTCAGCTTTATTATTCAACAATAATGCAGCAGAAACACGATTTCAAGAGGGTTTTTGCATGAATGTGTAACATGCTGGGTTCCTAGTTTCCTAGGATATGGGAGTAGTTCATGGCAGATCTGATGACTGTACCAGCCTTCCTTTAAACCTCTCACTCCTTTTGTTTCCTGAGCGTGTCCTCTGCTTTTTGTTTTTGCAGGTGTTCCAGAGCAGACTGATGGTGTGAGTAGAAAAGACACGTAATGCACACAGTGAACACCCGCACACTACAATAATCTAAATCCTGGAGGTAGTTAGCAAGGGAGCATGCCTCAGGACCATGTCGCAGGTGGACTGCTTGGCAGACTGACTGACAATTGTACTATTTAAATTAGCCAATCCCAGTAAAGTCTAACCCCAACAAGAATATTGCTTTAAGTATATGCCTTATTTGGAGGGTATTCAGAGCTTCACTTTGGTGTTGAAAAGACCATTTGATAATGGAACTTTGGAGAGGCAAGACATATGGCATAAATGGGAACATATCTTTCAAACTTGTCTTTAATACCACTACTTTGGTTTGTGATACTACATTTAGTTATTATTCAGTATATGATTATATAATTCAAAATAATACTTGCCCTGGTGTTCAGATACAGTTGGCTATTGGGTCATAGTTTTATGACCCAGGTCTCATCCCTAATGGTCATTGCTTTTCTGTACTTGACCATAGATAATGTTGCCATTTACACTGAGGGACTTTTGTGGTGTATATGACAGCTTTCCTCTGCGTTTATGTAAATGGCCACTGAATGTACATACATTTTCAGGACAAGAGATAATTAACCAAAACAATAACAGCTGTCATTTATATTCCCACTAATTAGGTCATGCTTTTTCAAAATAAATGGGATAAAATCATGGTATAGATAGCTACCATGAAGGCTATTCTGCAGAAATAGTAAAATCAGGGCTGTTTCTGCAGCAACTCAGCTGACACACAACCCCCTACACTGATTTCAGGCATTGAAAATTAGAGTGCAAAAACCGTATTGCTGGTAACTTCATTTGCTTTTGTAAAACAGCAAAAGGCATCAATTTGAATTTCAGTCTATTGTCTAAGTGTCAAATGACTTCTCATAGGAGCTTTAAACAGCCCCTTTGCAATAAGGTTAGTGTTTTTTTCTTGATACAGGCCTCATACTTCACTGTTGGTTTCTTTTCAGCAGGGGTCGGTGGAGTACGCACAGCTGAATCATGATGCCAATCAGCACAGTGAGCACTGTAACCATGGTGAACACTGTGTCCAAGATGAGCACACGCAGCAGAGCAACAGTAGTGCTGAGGATAACACAGTCCAGGACGAACCAACACAGGACCCAACACCAGACTGTTAATATTTATCAGTTTGTCTTTATATCTTAAAGACTGAGCAAGCCAAAGCAGTTATGCACTTTTGTATTTTTGTAACTCTTTCACACTGTAAACTCACTTTGAAAGCTAAAATAAAGTATTTTGGGGGAGTGACGCATCTCTCTCTCCTCATCTCTGTGAGGCACATAGACAGAGGAAGAGTGTTGTAGCCAAACAAAAAGATAGGACAGTCTGTATTTGTGCACTGGAGACAGGATCTGAGAAGAGGAGCGGTCCCTGTGACAGTTTTCTGCTTCAGCCACCAGAGGGCAGACTTCAGGCAGCGCTGCATACATGGAAACATAGTGCCACCTGGCTGTGACTTGTCTCACTGTAGCGTCACTGTGTATCAGTTTCATTTTCCATGATCTAAGGTTTAATTAAATGATCTAACACTGGAGGTCTCAGTGCAGCAGATGTGTTCAGAAGGTGAAGCTCAAGTTGATCCTGATTAAAGCAGCACTTGTGGTTGTGGTATATAAAGATTATTAAAAGGCACATATTAAGACTTATAGGGACTTTCATTCCAGGAAACTCCTAGTCCATATTAAATTGTAACAGTTGAGCCAGCTCATCAAAGCAGTAAGTTTAAACGTTCTTAAATACTTTGAAAGGCTTTGAAAGGAGATTTTTGTCATTCAGAGATAATTGAGTTTTGTAACAAACCTTTTTTTCTCTGCAAGCTCTGTGCACTTAAATCAGCTTTGAATACATACAATACAACAGAATGATAACTGTGTTACATTTAAGTTAACTCAGCAAAATACAGCTTGTATTACTTATCAGCAATCTGAAAACTTATGATGCTGTCTCTCCTCTGTTATTTCCTCTCTCTTCTACATAAAAGGGATTTTTATAAAAGATAATACTACTACTACTACTACTAATAATAATAATAATAATAATAATAATAAATAATAATAATAATAATAATAATAATCTTCATAATAATAATAATACTGCATTTTATTTACAGGTGCCTTTCAAAGCACTCAAGGTTACCTCACAAGAGAAGGTTAAAACGAGACATACAAATAAATAGATGAAAATATTCCCCAAAAATACTGAGGATAAAAACAAATCAAAGCATGTGCTTTACTCGCAGTGACATGTCAGAAGTCAGACTGCCTCAAGCACATAAGGCACATCGATCTTTTACCAAGGCTGCACCCAAAGGAGGAGTCAGGGGTGGAATATACCCCTCCTTAACTCTGGCCACTCCTTGTGTTACCCCAAAATCTTAAATCAAGATTTGCTATTTGCCATGACAGAGGCAGGACTTACAGTAAAATCAACCATTAGGATGATATCCCAACAGTTTTCATGTTGCTTTATTGGTATTTGAATGTAACACATTTCCTGTTGTTCAAGCTCCTGTGAGGAACTTTTAGTTTATATTTATTTTGGCGCCCTCCCAGCACCTCCCCCTTATCACCACTTTCAGGCATAGAAAATCTGTTATGTTCCTTATAGTCTTTTTTTGCTTTTGAATGCACAAAAAGTTATAAATAGGAATTTCTGTAAATTTCATTAGTACCAAAAAACTTGCACTTAAAATTCTGACTTTTTACACTTATCATTTTTTAGAGTCTCAAATGAATAAGTGTAGAGGATTTGTAGGCCACTGTGGTATGTTCAGGTCATTCTGTGTTGACAAATTTAAACAGGAATATGTACATACATGTCATACTTAAATGTTAGCAATTAAAGTAAATATGTTTAATGTGGACAGAGAGGGTAAATAAATTCTATCTATTCTTGTGTAAGAGCTTTATACTTCATGCCACTCTGTGTTAACGTCCCATTCTAGATTATGTATTGATTTGTCCTGATTTTTTTTATAATCTTGTGCATTTATAGGGATACAAACAGTTATGAATCCTTGATGCTCTTCTTTGCAATTCAATATTTGGCAATACAACAATCTTTCACATTAGCACAGGTGCTGTGCTGGAGCTGAACTGCGTGCATTGGGGTTTACTCAGTTCACGATACTGCTGTCAGCAGACGGGTTTATGAGGATCTGCGTTTGACAGGAAGCTTTTAGGAACCTCGAACAGCAGATCAAATACATGTGGGACTCTGTAACACCTGACACCAGGGCTAACACCAACAGCCTGCCACCAACTCACAGGCTTTCATCCCTGCTCTAAGCATACTGGAACATATGGACAGACCTCAGAGATGAAGTCCTCATCTTCATTATCTGTTAGTCTGTCTGCTTGTGAATGCGTGTGAGAGAAGACACACACAGCGGTCTGATCCCTCTGCTGAGCTTTGTTCCCATGCCGCAGTCTTCATGAATGTGTGCAGAATATGTGGCAACAGGGTGTGGTACAATATTTCCTGGGTTTGTACCATTCCCCGAGGCATGCACAGTCATTTACCCAGAGTGGTATAATGCAGGCTTCTTGGCCACCAAGAGGTCTTCAGAGACCTCAGATGAACAGACACAGCCTCAGCTCTGAGGTGCCAAAAAGCAAACTAACTCCTGCTCCGTGGATAGAGCTACGCCTCCGTCACTCATGGTTTATTAATTACATTTCTAAACCAGGAAGCCCGAGGGAACAGCATATTCTGGCCCACAGGAACTGATACTGTATTACGCACCAGGAGTGTCAGTTATACTGTGTCTGAGTTGTTGGAAGTAGGCTGTCTGGGTATAATTAAAAACCAGAGTGGAAGGGCATTGCCTAAACTTGCACTGGTTTTATTAATGGATACATCTGAGTCTTTCACAGTTTGACTGATGTGGTTTATTGAAGAACCATTTGTGAGTGAGTCGAGTCTTAATAATGACTCCTTAGAGAGAAGGTTTGTAGCTGCCTCTCAATTGAAAACCAACAGCTCTCCCCACATATGCAGTATAATAAGAACTTGATTTATATTTCTATGAGCAGAAAACATATAGCTGAACATGAATATTAAACAAAATGATCTAATAAAGAGCGTTTACAGTATTAGATCAAAATTAAACCATAATCACATGAGCAGGATTGTTTCTCCAGTTCTACGTACCAGAAACAACAAAAGATGAAGAGTTTCTAATGAATAGAAACCTCTCACCTTGAGAATTGAAGCTAAAACAGAAGTGTTACATACTGCAGTTCCTTGAATGTCCATTTGAGGCTGAGTGGACTGTCCTCCAAAAGCTCGCTAAGCCACATACACACCCATCCTAAAAAGCAAATCTTTCCAGCAAATAGAGGAATTGATTGTGTCACACCTCAATTGTAAAACTGTTGACAAAGCAGCAAACCTCAGTAGAAGACCTGCTTCCTCAGTATTTTTTAACCTGCATTTCTACATTTCTGTCCTAATGGGCCAGGTTAGACAAGCCTCTGCAGACTGAGGCGCTTACATTAAGCATTTTTATTGTAATTAGGCTATAATACAGGTTTTATTGGACTGCAGAACATGACTGATAATTGTCTTGTTTTTCTCACTTTTTGGTGTGTCAACAGTAAGGTTGGGCATAGTGTGAATTAAAATGATTCCGGTTCTGATTCATCGTGTCGAATCCAGCTCCTAAACGATTCTGGAAGAATCAATGCTCGAGACTAGATGCCCAACCCTAGTAAACAGTAAACAGAATATTAATGCTGCTTTCCAGTTACCTTGGAAATCGGATGTCGGTGCTGGGAATAACATTACACCCGAGTTGACAGCGTTTCAGTTAACAAGATGGAAAACCAAGATGGACCCAACCCTAGTAAACAGTAAACAGAATATTAATGCTGCTTTCCAGTTACCTTGGAAGTCGGGTGTCGGTGCTGGGAATAACATTACACCCGAGTTGACAGCGTTTCAGTTAACAAGATGGAAAACCAAGATGGACGCCTACAGCTAACCATTGTTAGCTGCTGTTTACAATTGCCAGCTATCGTTAGCCATTGTCAGCTGTTGTTAGTTGTTGTTAGCTATACCAGTTGTAACCAACGCATAACACAGTATTTCACTCTTACAAACACCAAAGCATCATGCTCACAGTCAGCAATGGGCGGTACAACATAAACCACTTATTTAATTTCACAAAAACAAAACAGAAGTGCCAATAAATAACACATTACGAGAGCTTTCACTGTTACTCTGTACTGTTGATGCACTGCGCTGCCATCTTGGATTAAGACATTGTCATCAAGTCGGGGTTGGTGAGGATCGTCTGACTTTCCAAGTCGGAAATCTGACTTCAGGGGTGCGTTCCAGATGAATTTCCGACTCGGAGCTCGGAATTACAGAGTTTGTTAAAATCATAGACTGTGTAGTAGATGGGCATAGCATGTGACATCACCCATTTGTTTCTGAAGATGAATTTTAAAGCCTATCAGTTGGTAATGTTGACCCAAACTAACTCTTTTGGTCAACTTGCTAGAGTCAGGCCTTTAGTCTCCTCACAAATGGCTACAGTGCACCCATGCAGGTTAAACATAACTAGTCTGTTATGTTTAAAAAGTGCATACTAATCATAGCACTACGGTTTGCTGATTTTGGCGGAACTTCAGCACTTGACTTGGCCAAAAGATTCCACTCACAGGAAACTCCCACTATTCAAGTGTTACCAAGTTACAAAACTGTCCCAGAGAAGAAGGAAGTGCTATGTGAGCGTTCTCATTTTGGACACTCAACACTGTGCCCATGGATGGTGCCGTCCTGCCTTTAGTTCATAAACTGTCCATGGGGTTTACTACTGTTCCCAAGCCTCAGGTCATGAACCTTTACCAACCTTCTAGACTCATGTTACAATCAGGCACCTACCCAGAGGAGTAATGCTGTCACATGATCAGTGCTTATGGTGCCAATAATATGGTAGTATTGGAGCCAGGGCGGGGCTATATGCCTTCATATAGGATGAAGGACAGATCAATCTAGCAGGCCTGGTTGAGTCTGCTCTTTACTGCAGCACATATGCCGGTCATGTCTTCACAGGGTAACCTGATCCAGCAGAGCCTCCTGTATCTGGAGCACAACTCCTGAACTGCTATTGGTTGCTGTGCTAAAATTAGCATATTGACCCCTGTGAAATGCATTCTGGGAATATCCTCTCTTTGACTTGGCCTTATGGGGCTAATGCTGTATGTGGTCCTCAAATGTTGCTATGAGGTCATTTAGTAGACCTCACCTTTCTTGCTCCTTCTGCCCCCTAATATGAAAATAGACTACTGTATTCCCTCCATGGTCTGGGTTAAAGTATTTAAGCTTAGGCTGATGAGGCTGTGATTAAAGGCATAGCCACAGAGATTCAAAGCAAAGCACACACTCACGTAAAAAAAGGGATCATATCTGTGTAGGAGCTGGTCTCGGGTCAATTCAAGGTAATGGGAAATGCAGATGTGTAATTCTAAAGTGTTTTTTCCTCATATGCACTTTATCTTTTAAAGTGGATCTGGGAATAACAATATAAAATGCATCACCTTCATTGGCTTCAATAATCACTGATGCAATAATGCTTCGGGGCTCAGGATGTCACAAGATAAAGTTTCATAAACTCAAGGACATCTATTATGTTTATTCCTCCTTCTTCCTGTCATGAAACATCACACAGCCAATGTCAAACCACTCTACCTCGTTTGTAATGTATCTATGTGAAGTGTGTGTAGCAAAGCTGGGTGATCTGTTAAGATGCACAACAACATGACCTTGCCCAAGGTGGAGCTTGTTTGGTGAAAGGAGCATCATCCTTGTGTTTAACCTGAGTCTAGCTGCTAGACTGAGAAAAAAAATCAGATTCATGCTCATGCTCACAGACAGTAACACTCAGATTTATGAGGTTTAACTTATCCATAGGAGTCAGGGGTTACCCAACCAAGCTGGGGCTTTTGACGGTGCTGGCTCAGCATGCACCAAGGGAGCTGGTTCATAATGACACCCATTAAGGGCTCAGACTGTTGGAGTGCAGCAGTGGTGTCCTGAAGGCAAATGTCACACCACCACTCACAAGAAAAAACATTGTTTTCTTAAAACTACTAAAACCAAAATAACTTTAAACTCTGGATCTGAAAGATTTTTCTTTCTCCTCCTCTCTCTTCCTTTCTCAACACCATGCTCGGCGTTCCAAAGGAAGCAAGATGAAATACCATAACAAAAGAAATACCTAGTCTCTGTATTTCATACAAGCATATTGTTTAGACCAGTGTACAGGACACAAGAGGTGTTTAAAATGTCTTACACACCAAATTTGAAGGTAAAAAAAAATTTCCTCATCGGACTATTTGAAAACTAATTACAAGTTGGACTGTATGTAGACATTATGTGACATTGCCACATGTTACCATGCTATGTACAGAGCGCAGACTAAAGGCAGCTCAGGCATGGCCATTGTGTCCAAATGTGATTCCCTATTGTCCTTCATATACAGAGGAAAGATTAGATTTATTAAGCCCACCTGTTCAGTGTCCTCCATCTTTCATTGCTTAAGCTCTCCCAAATCCAGGAAATTAATTTATTCCATCCTTGTGTAACCTGGTTGGAGCTAACAACAGTAGCACAGATGGTGGAGGACATTCATTCATGTTCACTGCCCACCATGACACAAACGCCCTTATTGTGCAATCAGGTATCAACCAATTAGTATCACATATGTTCAACTTTTAACCCTGACCTCCTTTTCCATGCATGCAGGACTCCACCAAGGTAGCTCAACCCTAACACAAACAGATAGACTTCTGTGCTAAGTCTGAACCCTCCTGCTCTCTCCCTGTCAGTGTGTCCTGCAGCTGCAGCACCTGTTTACATCCTCAACTTTATTGCAGGGCAGCTTTTGTTAATCTCAGTCAATGTCAGCTTCCATGTCTTCTTTTAAACCTCTGAGCACTCTATAAAGAAGCTCAAACCGTCACATGGGATTATTTGTAGGGAAGCTTTTTAATTTTTGGTTACGTAACATTTCAGAGTGTGAAGTGTTTACACGAAGTTATGTACAGTCAAAAGGTGCCCAAGTTCAAACGTTGTGCCCTTACCTACGTATAGTGTGCCAACATTGATACGTGCTCTCACTTATGGAACGAAAAAGACGTTTGCACTCCCAGCAGGCCACCTCCAGAGTTCATTCAACGCCACCACCCTGCACCTGTTACAGTCCAGCTCTGCAAAATAGTTATGGCATAAATTAAAGTTTTAATACTCATATTTTTGACAAACACCCAACAGCTTATCCTGCACAGCACTATTTATTCCAGTATTCCAGGTATTTAAGTTAGCATTTCATGCTATAAAACTGGAAAGTAACTTGATAACAACTTTGATTGTTACAAAGATGATGTGGATTTGCCCTACCCCATCACTGCCCTTGTACAAAAGACAGAGAAAAGATTTCTTTTTACACTTTTTAACCATTGCATCAAATGAACTCTGTTGTAAACAAAAGTTAACACTCAGCTGCTTCAGGAAAAATGTTTCAGGGCCAATGTTTAAGAATTGGCCCTGATAAACTGTAACCACCAGAGGAAAAAAGCAAACAGGATCTGCTGTTTAATTTCCAGCTTTTTCTTCTCTTCATGAGAAGTGTAGGGCTGAATCATAATCCCAACAACCTCTGTAGCTTCATTTTGCAACAAGATAGCAGTCACGTTGATTAAACATTAAAATTCATTAAGCAGGGCATTAATTATTGCGTTTGGCATTTTGTGAGAACAATTTGAAAACATTCTGAGTTCAGTGAAGACCTAGGGCTCTGTTTTTGTGCCTGCCAGTGGCGCGGCGGACGGTGGCGCACCCCACGCAGTGGTATTTTCGTTGACAGAGGCGCACCAAGGTGCGCCAAGCTGGGCGTGGTGGCGCACAACCCACCTTTGTCACGTGGGGTTTAAATATATGCACCTACCCAAAATCCCCACATTTTTCGGCCTGGCCTGAAATAAGGGACACCCAAATTTTATGTTATTATTATACGTAAAATAGACTGGACAAGAAAGTGGAAATCCCTTGCTAACCCAACTGTAAGCATGGAATTTGCTCTTTAAAGCTCCCATAAGGAATTTTTCCAAATTGATGAATTGTCTTGAGATTCATTTTATGCCTTTCGTTGTTATTTAAGAGCAAAAGGATAAGATAAGATAAGATAAGATAAGATAAGATAAGATAGGAAGAACTTTATTTATCCCCCAAGGAAAATTCAATAATCAGCAACAAGATGATGTTATCTATACCATAATTTTTAATACCTGAAATCTTTGTAGGGGGGTAGGTGTCAGCCAAGCAACAGATACAGCCCTAATTTTTCACACAAAATATTCACAATCATGGTAAATATGACTTTTAAAAGTCACTAGGATGATATTTTTGGTCAAAAATGACTACTTTAGCATATTAAGGTTGAAATAAGCAAACAGCTTTTTCCACAGAGAGCATCAAAAGGGAACCTTCTTCACAGGAGCTTTAACTTTAATGCTAACTTAATGTTAGCTAGAAAGTAATTAAATGCAGACTGGCCTCTGAACATAGCTCATGTTTAATGTTATCATAGAATTCACTTTGTATACTTTCTAACAAACTGCAATCCATACAGTGACTGACACATTAGCTGTTGTAGCTATTGGAGTCACTGACAGATTATGTAGGCCTACACATTTTTATAGTTTCTAGCAGATAATGGATTTTCATATGTTGAGGCTTACAAACTGAAACAAAATAATAAAAGCCTATAAAAGCATTTGAACTTCCTACCTGAGAGCTACTGTAACTCTTCTGTTTAATCATGACAAAACATACAACACGTAACCTTGTCTTTACCTGGTCAAATCTAAGTTTTCTGAGTTTTTATGACATCATAGATAAAATTGATGTCAGTCTACAGAATTTTCAAAAAGCACATGATCTGACAAACATTTGATCAGCATGGTTAGAGCAGAGCAAATATTCAGTTACTCTGTTGTAATGAACACTGACTTAATCCAATGGAAACTATGTGCTCATGACTTGGGGGGTTCAGCAATTTAAGAGTGTAAAGGCATGGGAACCACGAGGACCATGTGGTGTATGCTGGGCCAGATGGCAGCTGGGCTCATTTTCAGCAGCAAATGGCTCAATTCCTCTCTAGCTGGCTCCTGTAATGTGCTCACTTGGCTCTGTTTGAGGATTCACCCGATTCTGAATTCAGCTGACACCATTTGGTCCTGTTGTCAACACACACATTTTGCTATGCGTGCCCCTGTCATATTTAAGTGACATAGCAAATTAATATTGAAATACAGCTTTGGTTTGATCATCCTCAATACATGAGCTATGCTTGTCATTTTATACTCTGGTGTCCTCTCTGGCATTTGGATTAAATTCCTGTATAATGCCTTTTCATGTCATTTAAATCTGTTGTAAGAGCACATAGTTTCCATTGGATCAAGTCAGTGTTCATTACAACAGAGTAACTGAATATTTGCTCTGCTCTAACCATGCTGATCAAATGTTTGTCAGATCATGTGCTTTTCGAAAATTCTGTAGACTGAGATCAATTTTATTTATGATCTCATAAAAACTCAGAAAACTTAGATTTGACCAGGTAAAAACAAGGTTACGTGTTGTATGTTTTGTCATGATTAAACAGAAGAGTTACAGTAGCTCTCAGGTAGGAAGTTCAAATGCTTTTATAGGCTTTTATTATTTTGTTACAGTTTGTAAGCCTTAGCATAAGAAATCCAGTATCTGCTAAAAACTATAAAAATGTGTAGGCCTACATAATCTGTCAGTGACTCCAATAGCTACAACAGCTAATGTGTCAGTCACTGTATGGATTGCAGTTTGTTAGAAAGTATACAAAGTGAATTCTATGATAACATTAAACATGAGCTATGTTCAGAGGCCAGTCTACATTTAAGCACTTTCCAGCTAACATTAAGTTAGCATTAAAGTTAAAGCTCCTGTGAAGAAGGTTCCCTTTTGATGCTCTCTGTTGCTAAGTTACCTCACTAACTTAGCAACAGACGAAGTCACTAACATGGTCTTATTATTCTGGCAGTTACCGTGCTAATTGCTAATGTGGCAGACATTGCTATGGTAGACAAAGAGGATAGCAGGACACAGAGAGAAAGACAAGAAGGAAGTATGAACAAGCAGCATTTGTACAGTAAATCAGTATCATGACTTATAAGTTAGCTAAATCTGTCATATGCTGTATGCCCAGCGCTAAAGTTGACTACAACTAGTGGGAAGCTACCGGCTCTCAAAAATAGTGCTTATGTTGAATTTGCTCATCTTTCTGGTAACAGTTTTTGGGCACATTTCAAGTACCTTGGACTATTTCCATTTTTACCATGTACAGGTGATGTATTGTTGAAGTGATTTGGAGTTCAAATGCTACACTAATCCCAGAATTTAGCTAAGATAAAAAAAACGAGCTGGAACTCCTGTTCCAGCTCGTTATCGCCCCCAAAGATGAGACTGTGTCTCCAGCCACATGCATCACATCATTCCTGTTTTTCAGCTAACCTCAGAGGATTACTCACACCTGACTGAGATTCCATCTTCCTTTTCTGTGTCCAGCCAACTGCACATGCAGTAACCAGATTCTTTTCATCCCTTCTAACTGTCTCCCTCTGAGACTGTGGGCTTTAAGACAGAGACTGTGTGTTTATTATCCACAGACCCAGGTGAGTTCAGAGAACATACCACTCCTCCTGTTGTCACCCATGAAACCACGTGTATCAGGGACAGCAGGGGGGTTTCTCAAAAAAAGGGGTGGAAAACATTTAAAAATATAACCCCCAACCACTCAAAGAGGGCCTGTGACTTCACAATACACTTTGACCTCAGTTTCTTCTCAGCATGGCTGAGAAACGTAATTTTCACCAATATGACTTGTGTTACACTGACCTTTTAACACAACAATGCTCATGAGGACTGCAGCCTGCTTTCATATTGGACACAGACGGGATGCCTCACAGCTCTTATTTTTAGGTAGTGCAGTCATCAACCTGCTCTGTACCTGCATCCTGCCAGTCAGTTGAGTGTTAAGGAATGCATAGCTGGCTTTTTGGTAACACGTATAGCCCAGCGATAAGCCTCTGTGACAGGCTGCTATTAGAATTGTCATTCTTTCGGCTTTAGCCTCCAGTCTCCTGAACTGTTTGTCCCACTGAAGACCTGGCAGAGCTACAAAACCAAGGTAAACTGGTAAAACATACCAAGGGTCCAATAATGTATGACAACACAGAGACATTTTCTGTGAGGAAATGTTGTTGATGCCCAATAAGATCTATGCTTCAGTGTCCTACCAGACAATGTGCCTTGATTTCAAAATTAAATAAACTAAAAGTACATCAACGAAACAAAACATTTGAAATTATGCAACAGAGGCTTACAAGTTGTGTAGGAGTCCATCTGTCATTTTTCAGAAGTTCATAAATAAGTACAGGTTGCTTGCAAATGACCTCTGACATTGAATAGCTTCTACTCCAAAACTTAAAAGTGAGGCAACAGCAAAGAAGCAATAAAAATCCATAAGCATACATATTTTTTAAAAAATCATCTATGAGCAAAAAATTATTTGGAAAAAGCTCAAATCATTAGCCGTCTATTGCAGATGATTTCCTGTGGCCCTCTACATCATTAAAACCAGCAAAGCCAGTGAGTGTTTTTTCTGTTGAGTTAGTATGGTTACAATAAACAGCAAATAGCCCTGACAATAGTCTGAGGGCAGCCAGAGCTGTATTTAAACATGTACAAAACAAAAACTCTGACACATTTATCTATTTCTTCTTCAGCCATTCACACAGTTAATTTCTCGAGAGTTGCCATGAGCTTATGTGAGAGTGCAGCCGGTAGTGTTTGGTAAAATTCTTACAGGTGGCTGGCTGGGTGATGGCATTTGTATCTATGTAAATAAAAGCATAAGTCTTTAAAAGGAGAAGGGTTTATGAGACAACAACAGAAGAGTTGTCTGCACATCTGTCATGTGCATTGGTATTTATGCAAAAAGACCATCATCTTGTAAACATTACACTGACGCTTAAGTATGCTTTAAATGTCATGTCAAAAGACACAACCCCTCCCCCTAATCTCCAACCCCCTTTGTCTAACTTGAATGAGGCTCAAGCAACATTTATTGTTGAGTTATTTTATCTTTAGTTTCATGAAATACCTTAAATTGAAATTTATTTAATGGTTAGAAAAGTATACTATGTCTATCACCTCACCCTATTGTAGGTACAGGACTGCAGCTACCAATGCAGGGACTGAGGTTGAGTCTTTTTTTATTTTCTATTTCTCAAGAGTGAATATAAAGTTTTTCATCAATGGGATCTTAGCAAATAGAAACTAATAAAAAAAAAACACTGGTGGATATTTTACATTTGGTTTTGATGTTTTCCACTGTTGATCTAGGGATTTATGATGGGCTTCCTGTTTCTCTACAGTGAAATGGGCTGTTAAAAAAAGCAGAGGATATTGGATACTGTAAAAGAGTTCTTATATATGACATAGAAAGATTAGGGTGTAAAACTTTCTGACTGCCTATCTTGACAGGTAACAAACATAACAAAGTGTAAACTTTAATCAGGTCATATCATAGTAGTAAAGCACAAAGCGAGTAACTAAAAGTCACACAAGGACCAAATGACATCCAAAGTAATTATGTGTTTAAACTTGTTCTTTTTTTTTTTTTTAATTTGGCAATGTTCTCGACACCTAATGTTTTCAATCCTGACTCCTTAATAATCTGACAGATCATAACATGCACCCTAAAGGGTGGGCATGGAGGGGAAAGAAGAGAGGAGGAGAGGGGCGGCCTTGGACTATGTTTAGCAAGGAGCCTGAACGTATGAGACTTCTCACTGGCATTTGTCCAATAGTGGGCCTAACACCAGGCTGTAACAAACAAACATTTTGCACAGGAGGACGTTCTTGTTTTCCCCTAGAGGAGAGGAAGTGGCTTTAGAGAGGAGTGGAGGGAGTATCACCATTGCTCAGGAGCACCCCTGCACCCCCGTGATACCATATAAGAGACTGTGAAACCTGAGAGCAGCCTTCTCAAGCTGTGAACATTCAGATACTCTCACTTCAATTTGTCTAGACATTAGCTGTAAGCCTTTCAATCCCATTCCTCAAGTTTAGGCAGTAGAAACAGTAGCTTAGGGGGGTAAGGAATAATAAATCTGGGGTCAAGTCTAACCATAACACCGATTAATTTAATAACTACTCTTGATACAATATGAATCAAATGGTGTCCCTTCTGTGATTGTGCAACACAGCAAACTAGACATAAACAAGTAATCTGACTCTGAACATCGTTTGTTACTATTATACAATGATAACTATTTGAGGTGGTAAGGAAAGTTTTCATTATTCCACATTATTTTGAAAGGGAATACACACTAAGATCTGGTATGTGGTGTACCTGCAGAGAAACCGATTTTTTAGTTTATATGCTGAAAAAAAGGACCTAGGTTTGAACCTTGTGGAACACCTATATAGTAAAGAAGGGCTGGAGATAGTGTTAAAATCGCTAGACTATTTTTATAATGAAAGAGAAAAGTTCTTTGTGCTGTAATATATCTTGGTAAACTATATGAATCAAAAGTTTGGACTGTTAAAAATTGGTTAAGACTTGATGATGATGTTGTGCTGTTACAATCACACTTAGTTGCTCTTCACTGATGCCAGAAGGTTGAATTAACCCTTTTGACTATGTGTTATATGTAATAATAAGCCAGGGGCATGTTTGTCTGTTCATGCCACCATAAGAACAGAATAAGGATCAATCAATAATACATTTGGTACACAAAACAACTAGCGTGGCAGCTAGCTAGCTAGCTGGCTTGATGTCACAGGGCCATTTTAGCAGATAAAGCTACAGTAACCTGTTCAGGACTTCTCTCAAAAACAGTTACAATGACAGTGCATCCTGAGTCCATGAAACAGACATTAATCCAGTATTTACACAGCGCTGCAGCGTATGTATGTCTCTCAAATACTGGCAAAGCAGAGAATAACACATCTGAGAGAGGGCACCTTTGAGCAATTGCAAATAAATATATGATTGTCACATTCCAGGAAGTGGAATAATGTGTTTTTACAACTCCATTAGACTGTGGCCTGATCTCCTAAACATATATTTACAGGCTTTTTATCAGAGAGTATAGGACAATGAACATCAGGAGCATGACTTAACGACAAGTCCAAACCACTGTCCCATCTTACTCATCAAAGCATTAAAATTTTCTTGACTTTTTAGGCAGGTTTGGACAGCTTTGGTGATTTCATGTATTTGTAATACATACAACTACCTAAAAATCCCAGATATCTGGATAAGACCCTACTATTTCATTTTAAGTGGATTGGTTGTCATATATTGTTGCTGTATGAAATGTAAATGGTTTGGATCTGTAGAAATCAAGTGACGTATAAGCACAGTTCGTATTGCCTGGCAGACCTTTATAGAGCCAGTTTAAATTAAAACAAGTGCCATAATGGGCTAAATTTAATTTAGCAACCTCTTTCAGAGCCTCATCATTAGCAGATGGAGGGTGGCATATTTTATAACTGTAATATAATTACTACAAACAGGGCAGATGTATGAGACAATATATTTTATTTGCTGGCTGCTTCATGACAGACCTGAAACTTCTTGGATTTCTGATGAATAAGGTTGTTTACAAATCTGTGGAATATGTTGCAACACACTTGAATATCTGCAGATTAAAACAGAGGTGATCAAGTTCTGAAGCAAGGTCATATCTGGAGTGTCTGGACTAGTGACGAGAAACTAAACCCCGAGTATAGCAGCTACACAATTCCTTCTGGCAGCATCTGTGAAATGCCCAAGGCCTCATCCAAAGTGTTTGTGAACCAGTCAGAACCAGCTCTCCCTATATCCTCGAAGTCTGTTTGAGGACAGCTGGGGCAACAAGTACAATGTTACAATCCCACTCACATGAGCTGCTTGTCAATCAGTGATAAAAATATAGAGAATTTCAGTATTTCTTCTTTTGTTCGTGGGAAAAGCAACATATTACCACTTTGTTGAAGAATCTTATTCAGAGAGGCAAAAGTTCAGAGTTTGAAACAGCTGCGTTTCTGGAAACCATGTGACCAGCACGTGGCATTTGAGAGGAGAGGTTGCATTTTAGTTTTACTGGCTTTGCCTCCTCAATTGGTTGTGACCACACTCCTACGCAAAACCTCCTCGGGTGGGGTGGAGTGTCATTGGTGTAGCTGGTTATGTTGCAAAGGGCAAGTATGAAATGTCACATGACTGACCTGCGGGTCAACAGGGAACACATGAGAAAAACATGGGCAAAAAGAGAAATAAACAAAAAGACACAACAGCAACATATAACAAGACATAGACTGGCCCTTTTTGTTAAAGAAAATATATATGTTCACTGATTTTAAAGCTCCTGTATGGAATTTTTGGCTGGTTATGAAACAAAGGGAATTTAACACTGAGAGCTGATAAAAGCAAAAAGGGACAACAACAACAACAATGCTGAATGTATGTGATGGGTTATTTATAATGTTTGGGGTAGGTGTCAGAGCTGGTTACAACACACTCAGTACATTTACTCACAGTAAAAAAAAAAATCAATTTTTTGCCTGAGTCTAAATGAAACTCGGCTCATAAAAAACCATGTAAACACATTAGCTGGACTTCAATCGAATTAAATTGACCTTCTTATACAGCCTAACATCCCTGGATAATGAGGTTGGGGGGGGGGGGGGTTCTTTGTCATATATACAACAGCGTTTTAATCATTCAATGTACATCCTGTTAGCCACGCATTTTGTTATGTAATACAGCAACTGAGAGTAACAATCTGAATTGGGATGACTTTGTGGTGTCTCTTTCTTAACCTAAGTTTAATTGCACTATCAGGTGCATGACCTAAGTGAACAACACATCACATGTCAAAATGAAATCAGGTGCTATTGCTGCCTGTATTGTAATGAAACTGTCTCATCCACAGCACCAAAATAACACATTTCAAAGAGTGACATACAGAAAGCATTAGTATAACTTCCTTCCAAACCTCCTACACATTTCCTCCTCAGACTACCTCACTCTGATACAATGAATAAATGTTTAAAAAATAACTGAAGGATGTGTACCAAGCTCTACCCTGGGAGAACATTTTACTTGTCAACATTTTTGTGACCCAGGGGAGGGTGCAGTCTCACTTGGCTTGTGACTACTCTGAGGGAGGAGTTGTACAAGGGCCACTCATTTCTAAGCTGAAGTCATTGGATCCCAGGCCCCTAAAATAGCCTTACAGAGGCTATATAGGAGTCCTCTCCTGTTGAATCTATCAGACAACCATTCTTCTGTGCATCTGCTTTAAAACAGTGAATATTGCGAAAAGGTTCAAATTCAGATGGGAGAAATACTCAGCTGGTGAGGATCAAAAGGAAGAGTCCAGCTAGAAAAAGTGGATTTGATCACAGACAGTGGGAGATACTTGTGGAAGCTTGGGGAATAATAAGGAAGCAAAAGGAGGAAAGAAGGACTTACAAAGCCAAGGATTTTTCTCTTTTAGTTGGATTTGAGCGTACTCTTGGATTTCTCACTTTCCTCCTCCTGGACTAACAGCAAGGGGGGAGGCAGAGCAGCAGGGATGAAGTACAACTACCATGTACCAGTGTCATCGTACACCCGCAGTTCTCAGTACACACCAACATACCACACACCAACTCTTTATACTCCTTCACATTACACACCAACAAGCTACACACCCACATACTCTTCAGTAACGAAGTACACTCCGACACAGTACAGCTCCACACATTACACACCCTCTCTTTACACATCTACCTACAAGTCAACATCCACGTATGTCCCTTCATACACCAAAGCATCACGGTACACTTCGACACAGCGCACACAAGCACAGGAAAAACCTGCACCTGTGGTAGATGTCACACCTGCAAAGAGGACTGTGCACTTCCCAAATGACATCATCTTCCAGGATATCGTTAGACGTGGGGATATGGAGCAGATTGGTCGCTTCATGAGGGCGAGGAAGGTCCGTGTGGATACTATCTTTCACTCAGGTGAGCATAGCTTTAAAATTTAAAAATTTTAATATTAAATTCTGAAAAAATTCTAACCTATGAGGATAAAGGCTGTAATAGTAGCTTGAATTGATTTTTCAGTTGTTGCAAAGCTCTGATATATCCTTATTTTGTAGGTATGGCAGCGCTTCATGAAGCCGTGCTCACAGGAAACCTGGAGGTGGTCAAGTTGCTGGTGAAATATGGCGCTGACGTTCACCAGAGGGATGAAGATGGCTGGACACCACTTCACATGGCTTGCAGTGATGGCTACCCCGACATTGCAAGGTAAAACATGACCCCTCAACCTTTAAGTCTTCACTGAACATATCTTTTGAAATTCTTTATTTTACACAGAATACAACGTGAAGATTGTGACATCTGAAGGTTTTTTTTCCCCCATTTTTCAAAATACATAACAGATAGAACACATGAAAAAAGGACATTTTGGATGAAAGGCAGGTGCTCTAATATCCCATGTGTTAAAGCTAAGGTCACCAACCTACAATGGCTTTCCTTAGACAAGGCACAGATGATGTAAGAATTCAGCCTCCAAACAGTTCTTAGTTTTGGTATAAAAAAAATCGAGAATTGGAGCAATATTGTTATAACTGACAATGCTATACAATACCAAAAGATTTGAAACAATACAATGACAAACATCAATACAATCCTGAGCAACACGATACATTACATTACAACATGATTCAATACGATACAATTTGTAATATGATACATAAAATGATACTTTAAAATACAACATGATATCATAGTATGGTACAAAATAATGCAACATGATATGATGCTGTATGATACAATACTACACAAACAATATGATGCCAAATGATATGATACAATAAAGAATAACAGTAAATGATACAGTACAATAAGATACGGCGGGGTATGATACATAATATAATACGATACAATATGATGTAATATGATACAAAATAACGTCATACGATACAACACAGTATGACTCATATTATTCAATACAATACAGTAGGATACAGTAGGATACAACAAGATATGATATGATACAATGCCATACAATATAACACAGTGTTATACATATGATATGATCAGCATAGCATTTAGCAAACAAGACTAAGAAGAAATAGGATATTATATTTAAAATCTATCCGGAAGCTAATACACCTTCACCCTCAGAGGGCGTGTTTTTATTGAATGAGGGGCTGTTTCATTACCAATGTGTCTTCACTGGCCAGATGGTGAGCATGTACAACATGACATAATATTGAAGGATACAATAGGATAATGTACACTTTACTGCAATCTGAAATGATACAATTCAATGCAGTATTTCAATAAATAAGGCAAGAGTGATTAAGTATGATAGGATGTGATACAAAACAACTTTATACGATACATTGTGGTGATGTGGTGATATGATATGATAATATTTGATGCACTTTATGGTCACCTCTGGGAAACCTCAAGTGTTGTACATGGTTAGGCAGCCACCACAGTGTAAAATAAACGAAAAAGAACAAAATAAAGAAAAAGGATGAATTTAGAAGGGTGCTTTAAAGAGAATGATACCTATGACAATACTACCACCAACATTTGAAAGTTCCACTATTTTATAACTTAAAACAGAAAGGAATTTGAAATTGCAGCAGCTGATGGTTGTTGGTGGACAAAGATAGCTATGTTGTGTTTTTCCCTCTTCTCAGGTTCCTGCTAAGGATGGGAGCCAGCACAGAGACTGAGAACGAAAACGGAGAGAAGCCCGCAGATCTCATTGACCCGGACTGCAAAGAGCTGCTCAAGCTGTTCGAAGTTGGCTGTGTGTGATCAGGATTAAAACAGACCTAAATAAGTCAAGTGCCAGACAGGACAAAAAGAAAAGCAAAGGAGGGAAGTTAATATGTATATATATATATATATATATATATATATATATATATATAGCCATGCAACTCACCCTGAGAAGCACAATGGTGGTTCTTTCAGATTTAAAAGTGAGGCTCACATAAATATGATATGATTTATTTATTTTTATTAGTAGTAGTATATTATCATGTATAAAACTTTCAGATGGATTATTTAACTTAATTTTAGCTTTCGTGTATCCGTCAGACTGCCAAATCCCGGTGCTGCAAATGTACAACACCAATAATGTGTCACTGAACCAGAAATCAGACTTATTTATATCATCATTGGCATCTTAGTCTTAGAGTTTTATCAATTGTCTAAGTGTAAAGGAATTACTTTTTAAGTAATCAGTTGCACAAGTGTAAAGGAATTACTTTTTAAGTAATTAGTTGCACATTGCAGGTTGTATGTGTTATACTTCAAATTGATTTTACAACACAGATTTTTGCAGGATGTTTTTTGACTTTTATTTCCTCACTGCTGTGCAGAAAGAGGATCAACTGAATGAATAATCCATGCTTCATTTACGGTCAGAAATTTAAATAACACATTTTTCTCTCTACAAAGCACCTCAACTGCTGCTGTATTTTCTGTACTGTATTATTCTATTTTTCTGTTGTAGAAATGTCAGCGATTTAAGTCTTATAATTTTCTGTCCAATAATTATTTTTGTACCTTCATAAATAAAGAAACTTTTTATAAATATGGCTGAGTCTCTGTTGCCTCAAACAGAATCATATTGTTGCTTCTGTTTACAGATCTCTCATGATAACTAAACTTTTCATGACCCACAGTTGTCCTTTTAGCGGTCCACAATAAAACACTTACCAGCGATCTGGAATAAGCACTTTGGATTTCTACAGTCGATACTTTTGAGGAAAAACTCCCCTCTAAGATAACTACATGCTACCACTAGTCACAGTTTCAATTTAAGCGACTTAGTAGATATATGAAATGGGAGCGTTTTCTGGGCCATATGAAGAACCTTACTTGTAAAACTGAAATCAGTAGTGACAGAATTCCATTGTGGGTGTTTGAAATGATTATTTTGACAAGGAGGAGCTGAATTACACAAAGTATATATTTAATGAATATTGAGGACAGCTTTTAAATGTTAAAAAGGCTTGCCATAAATATCATTTTTCAATTGACTTAAAATTTGCAATTGTAAATCATTGGGGAAAAATCAATTCAGAAAAATACAATCCAGATGTTATGGGCCATTAAATGGGTTTGGTTATTCAGAGTCATATCAGGAATAAATTGTATTATTTTTATAATTTAATATTACGAATTAACTTGAGTGTTCTGAAATGAAAGTTTCGTTAAATGTTACGATGGGGGAAAAAATAACACCATAAACATTTGAAAGGTGAGTTTTCTTACAGCTCGTCTCACCCTCACTCTGGTTTGAAGCGCACGAGAGGCTTTCACTTCCGTGTCCTTTCCCGGAAATGATTTGTTGGCATTGGCAACGTTTTAGCCAGGTCTAACGGCGTTCACTGTCTCAGAATAAAGAAATCGAAAGGAAGGGCCATAAAAAGGTTTGTTGACTGTCAACGCAGTTTTCTCTTGGCTAAACATGTTTGAAAAAATCTTTAACTATGCAAGGTCTCTCTCTAATACATCTTCGGGGGCCAAAACACCAACAAATATGAGCTCTTGAAGCTAACGTTGCGACCAGACAATGCAAATCACCAGCTAGCTAGCTACAGTATGCTAAAATTGTTATGTCAGCAAATCTTTAGTTTGCTCTCCTTAGGACGGAGTTTTGAGGGGGAAAAGGTTTAAAAAACAGAAATAGTTGTAGACACAATGTGTTGTCTTGTTCTTAATAAATGAAGTAACAACGCCATGTAACGTGCTGGTTAGGAGTCTGTTAGTTTGCTGCTAACACTTTTGAAGCTTCTGATGACTAAACGTAAACAAAAGTCCCACTGCCTGTTAGCATCAGCACTGAGTTGTTTCTTCGGGACATATGGGGTACCTCTGGACTACAGAGACTGGTTAAAACTTTAACTGTGGGTTTTGTGCTCTTAAATCAAAACTAATGGTTTCTGATTTCGTAGAATTGCATTTGTAGTATGTTGTATTCTGAGGGACAAATACCATATTACATTTCAAACTTTGCTCGACCGGAGATTTTGCGGTGTTTGTTGGTTTGATATGATGCTGGTATTTTGTCAGAAATGAACTTTTTCGATGGAGTGTGGATGCTGTTGTTGACATTGTTGTTTATTGTTAGAATTCCGGTGAGGACCTCTGAACCCTTGTTATCCTTCATTCTACTCACCATAGAGGAGCGAGGAGCAAGTGCAGACTGCAAACAGAATGACCAGGTCTGTAACAAGTTCAGCATGAAACCATAAATACTAAAAAGCCTGCGAGTGAAATAAAAGTAAATGTTTGTAATATCAGTTAGGAGGGCGTAGCAGCTCACTAACAGAATCATTTAGATGACATTCATTTCAAAGTAAACAAGGAGCCAAATCCTCAAACTTTTCAGTGTTTTTGCATGCTACTGACTTTGTTGTTTCTATGTTTGTGAAGCTCATCTGCTCCCAGAATGGTGAATAGTTACAAGCGGACTTCAAGCCCTCGATCCCCTACCAATAGTGGGGAACTTTTTACCCCAGCACATGAGGAAAATGTGCGCTTTATACATGACAGTAAGTGCTCACTCTGACATTGGGTTCTCTTTCCGGATAAACAAAGCATTTCATTTCTGATCAGAAAATTCAAGATTGATTTCTGCAGGCCAAATACAGGTAAAGTTAACACTGACCTGTTGACATCTTCTTGTTTCAGTCTTTTAAATCCTTTCCCTCTTGTGGCACATATTTCCTCATAATTTCCATAGATATTTTTGAACACGCCACATGCAAACCCACAGTTAATAGGAGGCATGTATACACAACCTTAAATGCATAGTTTTTCCTACATTAATACTCAAATTCAAGGATTAGACAGTTTAATTTGCATGTATTACTGACATTCATACCTCTTCAACATAGAGAGTTACACTTGAAGTTTTGTTAGTTACCATATCAGGTGTTTCACTGGGATGTTTGACACCATTAGCTAAACAAACAACTTTTGCCTTATTATATGTGTTATTTTAAGCATTGACTTATCCCTGTTTTCCTAAATCAGTATAAATGAGAGAGTCCATATTAAATCAGCTTATGTCCACATACTTGGCTGTTTAAAAATCCACACCTTAGGTATTATGGGGACTTTAGTTGTGCCTGTAGAGGTTTCTTGTAAATAAATGAACAAAACTTTAGTTTATATTGAGTTTTATTAAATATAAAAAACTCTGAGAATTTTCTAATATCTCCTTAATCTCCTGTAATTAATGTAACATAGTCTTTTATTACCGATTTCCTGATCCTGTAAACAGAACTCATACTCTTCCATTTTAATTAGCTCTATAACCAGGACTTTGTATACGCTGTTGTTGTTATTGCTGCTGTCCCCCATACCCCCGCCTCCCTCCCTCTTTCCCTCCCTCCCATTCCCTTGCTTTCTCTGCCTCTCTCTGTGTGTTTCCCCCAACTCAGCAGCAGTAAGTAGCTGTCTGACATGAGTCTGGTCCTGCCCAAGGTTTCTGCCAGTTAAAGGGGGGATTTCCTTGCAACAGTCACTCATGTTGGATGAGATAGGTCAAATCTGTCCCATCCTAAGCTTGGGTCTTTGTAATACATCAAACGATGAGCGTAGTCTAGATGTGCTGTTTTGTAAAACGTCTTGAGATAACCACTGCTGTGATTTGGTGCTATATAAATAAGAATTGATTGATAATGCATTTTCATTTCCATCTTATAACATAACTACCATCTGTTAAAGCAGTGGGTTAATAGAGAACCATTGGTTACCATTTCTATATGTCATGTGCTTCCATGCATGTGCACAGTAGTCAAAAACACATTTAAAATGCACCTTACAAATTAGTGCTCATTAATATTACTAAACAAAGACTTGATGCAGTACTTTAACAACCTGAATTTAGTTTTGGCACTTTGACATAGGTTGATAGCGTAGTATTAATGAGCACAGACAGTGCTGATCACCTGAATAATGACTTAAACTCTCCTTTTAAAGAAAAGTAGCACTGCAAAATCTGATGAGGACAATTTAGTTTTCCAACAGCAAAAACAGGTCCAGGCCTTTCAGCATGACTCCTGAGTTTTGAAAAATTGCTAAAGAGTTTTAAAAAGAAATTTCAATTTACAAATTTTAATTTTTGCTGTATCTTTTCTGTCACAGCCTGGCAGTGTGTGCTAAGAGATATCAGATCAACACAAAATATTGATCGCAATGACCGCGGACCACAGGAGTATGTGGAGAAGAACCCAAATCCAAACCTACATTGTGAGTTACAGTGCAGTTTAGAAATGACATTGGTTCATTTTTGTGTCAAACTTAAAGTCTGACTAATGGGCTGGTTATTTACTTGTTTCTGTCTGCCATCCCAGCTTTCACACCAGTGGACCTGAGTGACCTCAAGAAACGCAACACACAGGACTCCAAGAAGTCCTAGTCTTCATGTGATGATCTGATCACTCTTGTCCACCCATTATCCTCAAGAACTTTTCCTCCATCAGCCAGAAAGTCAGCCCTGTCGACCAGTCAAGCACAGAATGCCAATTTTGTTTCTTAACTCTGGACCATAGCAACCTCCACCTCTTCTCTACCCTCTACAGCCAACCTAGAAGAAAAGACGGACTCCAGGGAGCAAAATTTACCCTTCTCTTGGTTCATGTTTGGTTCAAGTCACAAAATTGTCATATTGTTTATATGGATGGGACTGATGCAAAGTTTTATCAAAATTTGCTGACACCTGATGACGAGGTTCAACTTGATGACACTTTCCACAGGACAAAAAGGACTGCTGTCTTAAACACAAACCCTGTTTTCTTTACTACTGTTACTTTTATGACTTTGGAGGAAAATGCGAAAGGGCTGACTTCAATTTTTTTTTCTGAAGATAGTAAATTGTAGAAGTAATGGAATGGTCACATTGGACACACACTTTATCTGCAAATTTTGGCAGCCAAATGCAATGTAGAAGGCCAACCTTTTTATCATGACTTTTCTCCCCCTGAAATGGACTTTACTAAGTAGAGACCCCACCCCCATCCCAGGTATGCTGCCCTTGGTTTACCCGTCCCCTAAGCCTCGAAACAAAATGTTGAATAAAAGACTTTTACAGAACAACTACTTGTCTTACTCTAATACCAATATCAACCCTGGAAACTGGATATATGATGAAACCTATTACCTTTTTCAACTGAAGGTAATGGAATTAAAGCTGTTTAGTAAATATTGTATGTTACAGTATAAATGAAAAGTATTTCAAGAGAAAAAAATCAACTTGTTTAAGTTGAAACTACAGTACTCAAATGTTTAAAATTGTAAAGAATATCTGGGAGGCCAAACAAAGGAGGTGGGAACTGATATATCTGAAGTTTTCGTCAGTCTTTCTCTGTAATAATATGTTCAATGAATCAGCTGTCTTCTCAATACATACTATAAGATATTGTGAAACATTCTCAGGGATACATATTGATAAGCAATGGTACGGTACATTTTGTTCAATCTGAATGGTCTCGCCAGCATCGGTCACGCATGCTGCGTAATGACGTATAAATTAGGGCCGTTACGTACAGAACCAGTTTGTCTACAGACGGCGGACGCGGCTCTTTGTGTATTGTCGTCGGAGTCAAGACCGTCGAGCTACAAAGAAGCCGAGGAGAGGGACCAACTGAGGCTAGGGTGTAATAGTTTTATATCTTCTTTAATTTTAGCGTCGATAAGGCAGCATAATGGCCGATAAGATGGATATGTCTTTAGACGATATTATCAAGCAGAACAGGCAGCAGAGAGGTGGAGGCCGCGGTGGAAGGGGCCGAGGCCGCGGAGGTTCAGGTGGTGGCCGTGGAGGAGGTGCGGGGCGTCTTGGAGGCAGCGGCGGAGGCTTTGGAGGCCGAGGCGGCGGATCCGGCCCCATGAGGAACCGACAGAACCTGAACCGCGCTAGAGGCAGACCAACGCCATACAGCAGGGTATGAGAAAATTAAGAGGAGTGGGCTGAAAAAGGAAACTCTTCGGCAGACCTGAAAGTGTCCCGGGTAGCGTCCTTCTGATCTTCACTAGGCCTGCTAGCTAAGCCACTAGCCAATGCAATGATTACGCTTACCGCCGAGTTTACCCGGTAGGAGAGCTCTGTAGTTTTATCATTAATGGAAGTTGTATTCATAATGTGTCCCTTCTCCCACAACCCATAAGTGTTGCATCATTTTGCAAGAAGAGGCTTTTTGGAAAGAGAGAGAGCGTTAGCCGTTTGGGCTAGCCAGGCCCAGTCGGCGCCATTTTGAATCCAGCACCTTATGTTAATGCGAGCCATCGACGATCAGTTTCGGTGTACTCGACATCTTACATCGAATTGATGGGGAGAGGAAACCACCTCCTTCAGATTATTCTCCCAGAAATGATTTTTTTTTACCACCCGTTGGAGCTTAGTTTTCTGCCGCCGCCCGTTGCAGCGACCTGGCGGCCTTTGTTCGGGAGTGGCGGGGTTCACATCAAGGCCTGTTTGGTGGCTTCTCGACCGTTGTGGCTGGTACTTAAGGACGGATCAGTGGACTTCAACCCTCTGGTAGTGTTCACTTAAGGCAGATCTTCTATCTTACTATGAAAATAATTATCTAGACATACCCACCAACGCAGATCAAAATGGCGTGGTCTCAAAATGGACGCTGATATAATCCAGAGGTGAAAGCTGGTCTGTTTCTAGTCCCCCTCATCTTATGGACTCTCTCCCCTTCATGAAAGCCCCTTTTGGCTTTGTAAAGAACTCTTGGGCGGGCCGGGAATCTTGGTGCAACGCTGGAGGCAACGCTGCTTCAGAAGGGGACCTCCTGTGTACCCGAGGATCTGGAGGCGCAGATGGCATCAGTGGGCTGTACTGGTATTTAGCCAGGGTGGGCTAGCTGCTCAGGGTTCTCTTTGAGATTGTGGGTGGTTCGGGGATGCTAATGTCATTGCTAATTAAAGTCCTAAGCTCAAACGGAGTTACAACCTCAGTATGATTGAAGTATTAGTCTGCATTTAGAAACTCTACAACAAATCCCCTGTGTGTCACAGTTCATCTGTTTGTCTTGTGTATGTCCTCTGTCTGAAGTGATTCACTTGCTTGTAGTGATGGGGTGGGCAGGGATCATTGGGGGACCCTCTTGGGGGAGTTGAGCACCCTGGCCTTGTTGGAAGTGGAGCCCCTGCTTGCCCCAACACCCAGCCGTGTGGACTCTGTGATTGACAGAGGCAAGGGGATCCTGAAGTCAGCAGGTGCGTTCTCTTTCATCTGTTGCAGCCCAAACAACTTCCAGATAAGTGGCAGCATGACATGTTTGACAACGGATTCAGCGGCTTCAATGGTGCTGCTGGGGGTGGCGGAGGAGCCGGGGTGGAAACTGGAGGGAAGCTTCTTGTGTCCAATCTCGACTTTGGGGTCTCAGATGCAGACATTCAGGTATTTGGGCTTCACCTGTTTCTCAATTGTCATTTCTTCAAGCACCTTGACTAAAAGTTTGCTCAGAAATTAACATCAACGTGTGATTCTTTATGTAGGAACTCTTTGCTGAGTTTGGGACTCTGAAAAAGGCGGCAGTTCACTACGACAGATCAGGAAGAAGCCTTGGAACAGCAGATGTACATTTTGAAAGGAGGGCAGATGCCCTGAAGGCCATGAAACAGTACAATGGCATCCCACTTGATGGTATGCTGCAGACGTTTTGCACTGATTTGTCATTACAACATGAATAATCTGATGATTCCAGTATCACCACCCCTCCGCAGTCCTTATGATTATTACTTTGTCTCCCTTAGGGCGGCCCATGAACATACAACTCGTCACATCACAGATTGACACACAGAGGCGACCGATGCAGGGGTGAGTTCAGCTTTCTTTTGGATCACCGACTTGAATAACAGTTTGGACACGGTTCTTACAGTCTCTCTTACCTTAGCCTAAGCAGAGGTGGTGGAGGCATGAACAGAAGTCGTGGGGGCATGCAGAGAGGCCGCGGAGGACGAGGTGCAGGTGGCGCCAGAGGAAGAGGACGAGGGGGCCGAGGCGGCGGCGGCAGCAGCAAGCAACAGCTGTCAGCAGAAGAGCTGGATGCTCAGTTAGATGCCTACAATGCCAGAGTAAGTTCAGGTGTGAACAAGGGGATGTCATCAGGCTCAGTGCGTTTTGGCAGCTGTCTTATTGAACCTTTCTTTTTGTTTTCTCAGATGGACACCAGCTAAGAAAGAAGTTTCTCCCAGTTGACCTCTTCTTTTCTGCACTGAAGGGCAGCTGTTACAAATGTGCAGAATATTTTACACATGGTTGTCTTCTGAGTGATTGACTGTATTGTTCCAGCCTCTTCTTTTAAATGCTCCAAAGTGTTTTTTACCAGATTTTTTTTTTTTCTCACGAAAAAGGTTTTGGCTGTAGGTTATTATCAATTGGGTTCTCCCAATTCTCTCCTCTTCCCTGTAGTGTATGACAGTTGTAATAAAACCTGCAGTACATATTAACCTAATGTTGTGTCTGTATTTCAAGTTCTTTGTGTGTATGTTTTCTGAGCCCTGTTAAAATTGATCAATGAAAGGGAGCAGTGTCTGGGAATATTTGATACGGATACTCTCCCTTGTAAGGGTACTTGTGGACACTCTTAGGATGTTATGGTGAAAAAGGAAATGGTTTATTTCAAGTTGCCCTCTATGATTTTTGTATTTGGTGATTAATCACTGATTCAAACATACATAAATGCTGATTTAACTATGAATTAAGTTTCTGCAGAATGCAGCTCACTTTTACACCCTGAAAAAAAGCTGAAGCTTAGTGTCAGAATTTTAACATTTCATTCAGACAAAGCCATCCACTTAATGTGTGTTGGGTCTTTCAGTGAGTATGATGGGTATGACATTCATGTAATATAATTTATATTTATGTTGGTAAACCTTCCTTATGATAATATACATCAGTGTCAGTACACAAAAATTATAATAAAGTCTTCAAGAGTCTTCCCGGCAGAAGTTCTCGTCTTTATTAATTCACGGGACAGTTTTAAACAACAGACGCTTTTATGCATTGCCGCGACACCACCACTAGATGCCATCCTCTGTCCAGATGTAGTTTTGATCTTCAGTAGTCAAGGGATCCGTCAATTCGAGTTTTTGAACCAGCCAATTTTGGTCATGAACGTCTTACTAACTGCTTGCCACGCCTATAATTGAAGTTTGACGTGCACTTGTGATGCATCATGGTAGACTAGGCACTCGTGCAGATGCCCACTGTTTGCAAAGTTGAAGTCTGTTTTTTAAGTTTGACCTTAACACAGAGAAAGTGTAACATTTCTGAAAGTGAGTGAGAGTAGTATTTGAGTATGGACTCCAGTTCATCAAGCCTACGCGTGTCCGAAGCGCAAAATTTCCCGGAAGCGAGCCAAAGATCAAGCTCTAGATTTGTGAAAAAAGCAATTTCCGGTATGATTTTCAGTACCGCAGCAAATTTACCAAATTAAAGACGCAAAAGTACAGTGCTGCTGTGTAATCAACGGTTTTAATGATTATCCGCCCTAATAATAAGAATAATATTGATAATAATAATAATATATTAGTAAATACATGAATCCCCAAGCTGTAAAGATTTCCAATCACAATTGCCATATCCAAAGTACAGATTTTGAATTTTATACTTTTGATAAGCATACATACAAACACGAGTTTCATTAAATTACCTTGAAGCTTAACAAATGAGTACTCATTTGGTGGCTAACACAATGACCAGCCATCACATTGTTTACACCTTCGCAATCTAACCTTTACCTTTACAAAGTTTGTCATTTTTTAGTTTGTGTTCATACGTTCAAAGACGTGATTACTGCTCTTCTCTACTGTCTTTGGCATATTATAAATTTATTTATATTCATATATATATATATATATATATATATATATATATATATATATATATATATACATATTCAGTCTTTTTAAAGTTTGATTATTATCATTGTTTTTTCCCTTTTTTCATATTTTAAATTCCAAACTAGGATTGTTACTGCGGGGAAAAACAGTGGAAAGTCAGAACATGAGTTAGGGCGAAATTTATATTGATGCCATTTCATGCAATTCTAGATTCCAAAGCAAACTAGATCATCAGTGGCATTTGACAGACTTTGCATACCAAAACCAGTGCAAGGGGGTAGGTGTCAGGGGCGGCAGTAGCTCAGGAGGTAGAGCGGTCGGCCAATAACTGAAAGGTTGGCGGTTCGAGTCCTGTCCTATCCCTAGTCTGTCCGTTGTGTCCTTGGGCAAGACACTTAATCCACCTTACTCCCAGTGTGTGTCCTCCACTGGTGTATGAATGTGAGTGTTGTGTGGTGGTGGTCGGAGAGGCCGTAGGCGCAAACTGGCAGCCACGTTTCTGCCCCCAAGGGCAGCTGTGACTACTAAGGTAATTTACCACCACCAAAGTGTGACTGTGTGAGCGAATGAATGATGTATTCAATGTAAAGCGCTTTGAGGGTCTTTGATAAAGTGCTATAAAAATCTGATGCAGTGTTATTATTGTAAGCAGTTGAAGAAACAGCTCTGTTCTTAAAATTTCCACACAAAATATTTAAGGCAAATGATGTATCTGACTTATAAAAGCCACTAGGTTGAGATTTTTTAAATCAAAATTCACTAGACTAGGCAAGACTGCGTGACTCAGAGTTGACACAAAACAAAAATTTCTCACTGGAACTTTAACAACTGCAAATGCCTGACTTTCCAGACAAACAAACAAACAAACAAAAACCTCTGAATTTAAGGTTGCTTAAAGCTCATGTAAAATTCAGTTTTAATTAAAAATGTTGTAATTGGGCTATATTTTGATTTTTAGTCTCAGTAAACTATAAAACCCTTGAACATTGGACTAAATTCTGTTGCAGGAGAATTATTTTTTAATTATGTATATAATGATTGATTGATTGATTGATTGATTGATTGATTGATTCAAAATTCTTATGAGATAGCTTTTATTTTGAAAGGTTGATACCGGATGCGGTGTGGAGTAACACCTGGTCGTCAGCTCAGATTTTCCTCCGCGGCTTCACTTCTCTTCCCCTCAGCACCATTCACTCAGGACCCGAACAGCCGAGCTGCGGTATTACGGTAAGAGTTGATGAAACTGTCTCTGAAGTCCTCTTGAAACTTTTTTTCAGCCGTCGATAACTTGCAGCTGTTGTGCCGAAGTTATTTTTTCGAAGTATTTGTATGGGCGTGAAGCAATGAAAGGCGGAATTTGCTTATCAGCGACTAACTTCCTTCTTGTCGGTTGGGTCTTTTTTGACCCAAATGATTAAAATTCAGAAGTAGTGCCTACATTTATCTCTCTGAGAACTCATAATTAATTCCCCAACTTTTTCAAACTTGTCCTGCACTTGTTCAGGGTGTAGAAACTGGAGTTTCTAGTTTCCGGCTGTTGAGCTCTGTCTGAGGTGCTGAGTGGCGGTAACCATGGTGGAGTCTATTCCAAGTTTTTGTTAATAATTGAACAATAAATAAGTGGATGCATTGGACGAATGAACACTGAGATAATGCTCATTCCGGGTTAAGTGTGCTTCAAACTGTGTGCTAAACCCGGCTGTCATGTGTCACATGAGGAGCACTTTGTTGCACTTCCTGGATCTGTCTTAATTTGAGCTGGCAGGAGGGCTCACACCTAAACTAAGCCTCCATCTTGGCTCTTGTGAATGTCTCCTCTGTCGATTGCACAGAGTTCACATCATATGGAATCAGAAGAGCTTCAAGAGGCTGTCACTTTTTAAGATAGTCTGGCAGAGTGAATGACTGAGAAGTCTTTTATCAATGAGCTTAAGCTAACCGTGAATGCCCCTTACGTCCTGTGTCAAAAATGGCCCTGAGGTCTTTTCCTCTTTCTCCTGGGACTTGAATAACCTTTTGGAGATACCTTTTGGCACCTGGTTTTTCAGTTTCTGGATCAGCATGTAGTTTTTTTGCAGGTTGATAGAAGCCTGGATGTCCTTTTATCAGTGTTTGTTTCTTTGATAGATCCTAAGTTGAACCACCATGTAGGAATTTTTATTGTAGGTAATTTTAAACCTCTGTGTAATAACCCCTGAACATGTTTATGTATCTCACAAAGAAAGTTCAAAGTTCAAAACTACACACCTGAGCCATTTCACAGTCGTGAGAGGCACCTTTGTTGAAGTGAGAACAGGATCAATAATGTTTTTTCCCTATTAGCTCCAATTTGAACCAAACAAATCAATACTCCCTCTGTGAAACTCTGCACTCTGGAGTTTTAGATTAGATTAGATTCAAATTTATTTTCATTGAACACAGTACAAGTACAGGAAAAACGAAATGCAGTTTAGCATCTAACCAGAGGTGCAATGTAGTAAAGTGCAAGGTACATATTGGCAGTGCAGGTATGAACTGAATTTACTATATATGTGTATGTGTATGTGTGTGTGTGTATGTGTATGTATGTATGTATGTATGTATGTATGTATGTGCAGTGACTCTTTGACTCTTTGGACTCAGAGCAGTGGCCCTATGTGTTAGCCCGTGGTCATGCAAGAAAAGGTGTCGAGATGCTGGCAGCTACACTTAACATACACACCAAACATATGTAGACTAAACAGAAATTCCAAACATGCTCCTTGAAACCAGTTGTAAACGTCTGAGAGCTTGAAATGATAAAAAAAAGTTTCTGAAAACTTCCTAAAGATTACAACAATCATCAGATGATCATTTTTGACATTTAGAAAGTTTTCAGTTTTTATTCCCTAAACCTCCTACAAGTTCCACCTTGATCTCTAAAATCTGGCAATAGGAAACTCCAAAGTTTCAAAAATGTTAAATTCTAAGCTTCTCAAATAAGCTTCCAAATAAAACTTGCCCCCCCCAAAAAAAAAAGTTTGTTATGCTTGTAAATTTCTTATCTAAAAATTCTATTAGAAATATCTTTATTCTTTTTTTAATCACTGATTTGTCCTGAAATGTATCAAATATAAACCCCAAATTTACATTTCTAGAAAATCTAAAAGAATCTAGAAATTTTAATGAAAACTTGAAATTTTCCAAGCGTTTCTAAAACTTCCACAAAAAAAAAAAAAGAGTACCAAAGATAAGACTCCAAAGTTTTCAAAGTTACTTTCCAAAATGTCAGAACATTTCAGACAAGCATTTCTCAAAAATTCCACATGTTTAAAATTTCTCCAAATGCCTCATGGATCCTCAAAATTACAATTTAAAGTAGCAAAAAAATTGCTTAAGTCTCCAACAGTTTCCAAAATACTAAAAAAAAAAAAAAAAAAAAAAAAAATTGTATATATCTGTACATTCTGAAAGGGTCGAGGAATTGCAAATCAAAAAAGTCAGAAACTCCAAAGCCTTCCCAATAACTTCAAAGATTGCTGATAAACATCTTGAAACCTTGCATCTTGACTCTAAAGCACATTCTCCACAAACTCATCTGCTTTAAGACAAGAAGTGTTAGTTGAAGCTGAACCACAATGGTTTAAGATACTACGTCTTTAAATGTTCTCTCTTTACATGGGAAACTGTACTCACATGGAACACATTTACCTCCCTGTTTTGGGGTTTTCTTTGCTCTTTTTCTTTTTTAACTGAACCACTCAGCATCAGTGAAAAGACTCTCACCCTGTGACTGTCTCCTGGGGAGGCAGTCTGAATCTGAAGACTGCAGGAACAAGCCCTGACCTCAGAGCTGGCAGCTTGACTCTCCCATTCACTCCCAGCTTCCTGCTGCTTCATGCTGGGATTTCTCATCAGCTATTTTGGAAGCTCCCTATTTGCTCTGGTTCTTCCTGGTATAGAGTTTTGTCTCATCAACCTCTCTTAGTTTCTCAGATAAGTCCTCTCCCTGCTGATATCAAAAGTCTCCTTGAATGTTCAGCCTTTTACTTTTTAATATGATTTAAATCTAACCGTCTCTTGTTTCTCATCTCAATGATTTCACCCTCACCCCTCCTTGCCTTCTCTTGCATTTCACTTCCTCTTGCATCAGATCTTAAAAAAGCTCTTGGAGCAATACTTCCTTAAAGCTCTGGTATGCGCAGAACAACATTTTATCATATAATGATTTAATTGACCAGCATTACCCCCAGCTAGTGCCATTGTGCTTTTGCATTAATAACACGGAAGAAACCCTTTGGAAAGATCAGGTTGGGTCAGCTTCATGTGCGCAGTGCTTCGAATAGGCCTCAGGTCTACTTGTGGTTTTGTGCTCTAGAGGATATGAATCATCATTGAGCTGTTTGCTGCTGTAAAAGGAAGTTTGCAGTCGCTTCTTTGTAGAGACCTTGTGGAAGTCTAAAATGCCACAGAAGTAACTAGCAGCAAGTCTAAAAGCCAGACTCTGTTACCCACATAGGTGTATGCCATCCCAACCAAAGTTTTAAAAAACTTTATAATACTGTCTGTCAATAAGTGTTTAAAAATGACATGCATTAGCATTTGCATTGGCATAGCTGGAGGATAATTTCATCAGATCAAGTTACACTCGCATCACTTTTGGAAATCAAGAGTCCCACCCCAGCTCCATACTCTTTTTATCAAATGCTGCAGGATCACAGCAAAGGTCCACGGCAGAGGACAGAGATGAAAGCAGTTGTGGACTGTAGGTAACATCTTCAATAGCAAAGCGCCAAGCTAAATGTCACCTTACAGGGGGCGCTTTCTCCCCCTCACTTTTGGTGGGTCAACTTTCATGTCCCGGATGTTCTCTGAGGTAAAAGTCAGCCCCTCTGCTGCCAACAGCACCAACCACCACTTGTGAGACTTCCACTTTTCAAGTTATCTATCAGTGTTTCTCCACTGTGCTTTGCACAGCAGGCTGTGTTGTGGTTGCACAGCTTCTGTTAAATGTGTGTCTGATGTCTGGCTGCCTTATGCTAGCTTCATTTCCTTAGAACACAGGGTGTATAAGAGTCTTGGTGTGATATGATAAAGAAGTCATAATCAAAGACTGTAAGTTGTGGGCTTTCTATGCATCATATCAGACCTTATTGTACCATATCATATGGTGTCTTGCCTTATTGTATCGCATCACATTGTTGTAGATCATTTAGTTCTATACCATAATGTATCCTGTTAAATGGTAAAGTATAGTATCATATGTTATATCTATAAGCTGTTTATAGAATAGACATCATCTGCCTCCTCACTTGGTGAAGCCGCTGTGAGAACAGCACCCTCTGGTGACTGGTTGCATTGTGGGTCATAAACCCTGCCTTCTCCAGCAAAATGAATGGAGCTGTGGACAAATTATTTTTATTTTTATTAAATTCTCTCCCCTCTGCTTGTGATGTTGACATGTAGTTACTGTCAGACTGGTTTGTGCTCAAGTCCTCTTTTTTTTCTGTGCAGCTCAATTTTTAAATGTTATTAGGGGGTTAATGTTTTCTATGATTGACACTTGATACAGCCTATGGGTGTACGAAGATTGCATTTCATCGAGGGGATACGCTGTGTCATATCCAATGGAATGGTATCATATCAAAATTTATCTCATTGCAATGCACTGTATTGAACTGCATATTGGCTTGCTGTTATTTGACCATCACATATGATGATGTGTATGTTCAACAGTCACATAGCAGGGCATGTGAAGTTAGCCATATGACCTAAAACAGAATGCTGTCTGTCACCCTTTCCTCTATTTCCAGGATTAATCTACATCCAAACATCTGACTGATATCGCTGTAATGAAGCACCTCGCGTAGACACATAGAGAATCAGAGACTGTTTCTGCTTATCACATAACTGTTATATGTACACACGACACTGCTGCCATCACAAAGTCCCCAGTGAGCACTTGGTAAAGTAAGACAGATTTTAAGACCGTGCATTCTTGCTCGTCCTGTTTAGTAATGTAGTTGGGACATATCACCGACAGGACTGACAGTGTAAATACTTTTCACATCTACACCTGCAGCATACATGCAGTTAGTCCAATGCTCTCACCAGGAAGTCAGAGCAGCTGTCAGAGGAGGAGGAGGAGGAAATAGATTTATTTGTTTACCTGTTATATTATAAAAAGGAAACCAATATTATAGCAGGATATTCTATTTTAATATAATCTGGACGAAACATAACATTTCACTGCACGCAGTGTCAAGTATGTGACTGATAAAACTTTAATGTAGTCCGAGAAACACCAGGATTATTACACAACAGATGGATGGTCTCATCTCACACTGTCCATGCACACACAGCGCTCACTTCTTAAAGCCTGCATGTTCACACGGGGATTCCCTGCTCATCACTTACCTTGTGTCAATCCTCTTGATGTGTCAGCGTTGACACCTCCAAACACATTCCACTTTCCTGTCCCTGAATGCCTCATTAGCCATAATCCCAATCTCTAATCTCATCGCCGAGCTGTGTTGCTAAGTAACAGGGCTAATCTCAGCTGCTGCCAAGCGTGGTGTGTTTGTCAAACTGTGCTGCTTAACCCTGTCAAACAAACAGATTATTCTCCTCCTGATGCAGAACAGTGAGTGTCCAGGTGGAGGTGAGGACACAGAGGTGGAGAGGTCCAGCTTGTGTCTGGTGTGTTTGCACCGTCTCATGACCCGAGTGTGTGTGCTGTCTCCCAACAGGCTGAACAATGACCCTCCTTTTGCCTGTCAGCTTAGCATGTAGCCAGTTTTGTTGCCACAGGCTGCATTGTTTGAGCTGAGTTAGCCAGAAAGAATGTGAGAATCAATCTGAAGGTGGTGTCATTATTGTTAGACTAAATCCATTTTAGCCAGCCCACAAGCCTTTAATTAGCTGAATCGACAATAACATGCTTGGTTAAGATTGAATCTCTGACTGATGTGGCTCTGTCTTGTTCAGAGCTGTGAGATTATTATTTTTTTTTAATAATATCAATGTGATATTTATACACAGCTTCATCCAAATTACCTCTGCTACTCCCTCTGTCCTTATACAGTTGGACATAATTTAAACGTTCTGTCAGAGTTATGGGAAAGTATTTGACCTGACCCAGAACTCAGTAACTCCATACAGCTGAAACAGGTGAAAAATGACTTCCAAACAACAGTCTTTGCTCTTTTGTCCTCTTCATGCCTTTTAAAATTGTCTTGAGGGAACCTTCCCAGAAGGATAAATAAAGCTGTATCTAGTCTCATCTATTTTACCTAAGTAGTATCTCTTGACCAAGAACTCTAATCTCACTCAAATGTTTGTGAATATTTAATGTGGAAAATGTAAAAACAGGCCTGTTTCTGCAGCAGCTCACCTGAACCTACCCCCAGATACCAAAAATTACAGGGTGATATTGTTATTGCTAATGGTCTTGTTTGCTTTTGTACATCATAACAATTTCAGTCTATATAATAATGTCAAAAAAAAACACCAACTCACAGGAGCTTTAAATGGTATTATAAAACCAGAGTAATCAAATAGCCAAAACTAACCAAACACACAAATTGAGCAGACTTTATTTTCATAAAACAACTAAACATGGTCGGGGTCTGCTTGTAAGTGCTGTAAAATTGCTTTGCAGAGTGTGGCTCAGCAAGGGGAGGGGGGTGTCAGAAAACAACAACAGTGAAACAGACTAATAACAAATTGTTCTATGATTGTATGACAGCCACCAAACTAATCATGTCAATGATTTATTGATTCTCTTTGGGGATCAATAAAGTTTTTCTTACTCTTTGCACAAACTTGCAGGAAGATGAATCATTTAATCCTAGTGATCATGTCTTTATGATGATTGGAGGCCGAAACTGTAGTTGACGCTGAAAATTGGTAAACTCCCAAAACCCTAATCTGCAGACTTTTTTCATCAATACTGAAGTTTTTTTTAAAGCCCTATTGGTGTCTCATCAAGATGCATGCAATGTGTTTCTCTACTGTAGACAGGCTGAGGAAGGAGACATTGTTGTTATGAGGTCCCTTTCTGTTTGTTAGTCCCAGCCTGTGGACTGTAGCCTATAAACTCCAAACACCTGTACAATGAAGATGTCCATAAAATACCCAAATAAGAAAAGGAGATCCAGACAGAGACTGCACTCTCTGCACATGCAGACACTACCAACACCTCTTTTGCCGTTGATTAGGTCATCAGTAAAAGTCTTTTATATCTTGCTTTCATTGCTCTTCACAGTACATCAAATGCTGCTCTCTTTTATGGCTCCTTCTGCACCAGCTCTGTGTGCAGGTTGAAAATGAAAAAAGTGACTAGAGTCACTTGTTCTGAATGCCTAGGTGTTCATTATTTTCTGCCGTGTTTGTGTTAGAACGGGTAAATTGGTTCGTTTCCTCTGGTATCCTCATGAAATGAAAAACTCTGTCCATCTATGCACTCTGTCCATGCTTTCCCTCTATTGTCTTCAAATATGACATAGGCCTGCTACTTGATCTACTACATTTTTGTAGTAGTCTGTAAATATGTGTATAGTGCAGCTCTCTGTTAAACATGTCATTATTGTTGCACTTCCTCCGCTGTGACTCTGCGGTATGCTCCAGTCAGTGTGCAGCCAGCAGAGCAACAAGACTGCAGAGGAAGTGAAAACACTGAACCTGATACTTAAACAATGATATGACAGCATCGCTCTGTTATCTGGGTCTGTTTTCCTCTCTGTAGTACAAGGAGACTCTCTGGCTCATTAGAAACACACACAGCTGACCAGCCAAAAGCACACCCCTGGCATACGGGGAATCTGTGTTTTTATGGGGGACAGAGGCCCCATTTGGAAAATTGTGGCTGTGTTCTCAGTTCCTGCTGGCTAATACCCAACTACATATGCCTGACACAATGGAACAGAGAGGACACACACACACACACACAATCCAGTTTTTGTGTTGTTGCATGGCATGTGTGTTTGTTAGAGTGTGATTTATTGTTTGCTCTTTGTGTTAAACCGGCCTCTTTGTGCTCCAGTGTGTTTGCATGAGTCTTATTTGTTAGCTCATAAAGGGATTATTTCCTCCATCTTTAGATAAGGGTCATTTTAATGGACTTAAATGGAGAAGCGGTTTGTTTGTCACCTCCTAATGCCTTCCTCTTTCACTTAACTTGAGTCTGTACTGGCGGTAAAAATATGTGGGACATTCATCCTCTCAATTTGATCAATTTGAACATCTCTTATAAATGACAGAGTCAGTCTTTGCTCGGTTAATACAGGAAGTTATATTCTTGAAACATGCAAATGTGTAAAACATGCAGGATGACAGTGAAGGTTTAGGAGTAGTTTTATGTAAGCTGTATATAAAGCACATTTACATTGTACAAAAACAAATAACCCGAAGGAGTGCTGCTGACATCAGTACAACACCAATTAACTCTCAGAGCTGCATTCTTGGCTCATTGTTGGTTGATGATTCAACTCTTACTGTGTTTCGATCAGACCACCGAGAACAAGTGATTCGAAACTAGAATTACCCAGCTGCCTCTGAGCTGTTGCAGGTGTTGATCAGCTTTGTTTAAGTGTGTGAAACATGTGTGCCCCAGATGTTCCTAACAGAACTTAATTTTTATGTGTTTTCTATATAGACCCAACAAGAGTGCTGTCGAGCATGTATGACTTCAACAGAACAGTATGTGATGTTGATGTATATGGTTATGTTACAGTCAGATCCATTATATGTATTCATTCGGTACATACATTACCAAACAGAACAATTGATACAATATGCCACACACTACTTACTGTTGTGTTTGATGACATCACGTCACTTTCCATTGTTATGTCACATTATGTTAGATTACACCCATAGACTGTATATAAGATGGACAGAGTCTGCCTCCTCGCTGGGTGAAGCCACTCAGAGAACAGCACCCTCTGATGGTGGGCTGCAGTACAGGTCATAAATCCCGCCTCCGCCAGCAAAGCTTATGGGACTGTGGACAAACTTTAGAAATTTATTACACAGAACATAATTTTTTCTCCCCCCTGCTTGTGGTGTTGAGATGTAGTTATTGTAAGACTGGTTTGTGCCCAAGTCCTTTTTTTTCTGTACAGCTCAGTTTTTAAAAGTTATTAGGGGGTTCATGTTTTCTATGATTGACACCTGGTACAGCCTATGGGCGTTCAGGGATTGCGTAGCTCACCCGGGGGGATACGCTGTTTGAGCCGAGCGTCATCACAGGGACTCTCTGCGACTGCGCGGCCGAATGCGCACAACGCTACTGCACAGCTCTGGTTTCAAGGAAGTGGAGAAAAACTCAGAATTACCGAGAGCTTTTTGGCTTCAAATCCGTATACAGGCGGAAGGCGGAACCACGTTGTCCATCTTATATACAGTCTTTGATTATACCACATCATGTTACATTACCTAAAGTTACGATAGTTACGTTACATCTCATCACAACCTGGGGGGACAGAGCCTTCTCAGTCACCGCCCCCACCCTCTGGAACTCACTCCCACTGGACCTCAGAAACTGCGCCGACCTTACCAGATTCAAGACCCATCTCAAAACCCACCTTTTCCGCACTGCCTTTCATCCTCCTTAACAGTATTCTGCCTTAAAGCTCCCATCAGGAATTTCTCTAGATTTATGAAATAGACTGAAATTAAAGTAGATGCCTTTTCCAGCCATACAAAATCCAACAAGACCACCAGGGATAAGATTGACAGTTTGTTAATCGTCTTTTTTATTTTATTTTTATTTATTTATTTTTTTGTGTGTGCCTTTTAACCAATTTGAGGGGGTAGGTGTCAGTTCAGCATTAAAGGAACAGCTCTTATTTTACCATTTCCACATAAAATATTCACAATTACTGACACATTTGAGCGTCAGCAGGGTGAGATTTTTGGCAAAAAGAAAAAAACAAGCATGTAAAAGATAAGGAAAGTCATTTAACAACACATCATGGTTTCTGATGAACAATAAAACACAAAATTCTCCACCATCATTCCTACCATAGATGACAAAGTAAGCAGCACATCTTTAGCTTGAAGAAACCGGAAGAGGCAGACTCTTGACATTTTTGCTTAAAATTGTCACGAAATGATTTCCTGTCTCCTACAATGTGACACAGGATTCTGTTGATTGGCTTATTGTTTCAGCTGTGCAGTCCTTGAAGCACCTCTGTCCTTAGAAAACAATGTTAACAGTGTCCTGGTGCATCTGCTTCAAATCAGCGTCCTCACTCTGAATCGGTCATGACTGGTAAAACCGTGCAGCTGAGTGTAGAGAGTCACAGTAGTGTTGCTGTTTCTCTGCTGTAGTCTGACAGCTGTTTGTGGCAGGATACAAGCATATGTGAGACCTCAAATTATCATCAAATATAAACAAACATATTTAACAAACTAAACAAAACTGCCTCTACTGCCTGTTTTATAGTGAAATCTTTAGCTAAACTGTGCCTCACTCTTCTCAGTGAAAGAAGGCTCAGCAATGTTTCCTAACTCCAGTAGATCATATCCAAACATCAGAAACAGTGTCACTCTTACACAGTATTTATGTCCCTGTGAACTTCCCCCCCTAGGGTCAAAGTCCCTGAGATCTTCCTCTTAAACAGTAGTCAGCTGTAGGTCTAATAGCATGGCTCTTTTTGGCTCTACATCTAGGGTTGATTTCATGGCAGCTAAACAAATGAAAAAAGTGGAAGTGGCCTGTTTTGTGTCCTCTTACTGTCACTTTTCACTACACCATTTCCTTGTTTTCTAACTGGTTCTCTCTGCTATCTCTCCGTGCCCGGGATTAGCACACACCATGGCAGAGCAGGAACCTACACCTGAGCAGCTTGCAGAAATCGCAGCAGCCAACGAAGAGTCTGAAACTACTGTCAACTACAAAGCTCCCGCCCAGAAGAGCTTAGCAGAAATCCAGGAGCTTGACCAAGATGACGAGAGCCTGCGCAAGTACAAGGAGGCACTACTGGGGAATGCTGCACAATGCGCAGGTAAGCGATACAGAGTTGGTTTCAAGCTTATGACACTATCTTTCCTTTTGAGTATTGTAGAAATAATGTACCCTTAGCTTGTGTAACAGCTGGTCAGGTCCTGTTTGGTGTGTTTGCAATACTAATAGAACAAAGAGTCAAACCACATTATTTGTTGTGAAAACATTTTGCTGACTCAACATATACTATGTATGTATTCATGCAAAGAACTCCAATAGCGGATGCATTTGAGTGCTTTGACACGCAGGGGTAACAGGGTGGAATCGGACACTGAATCAGACACACAGGCTGTGTCTCATTTCAGAGACCGCATCGACCTAAGTGCCCTTCTGCACCGTCGAACGGTGCATTTGAAGCGTGCATGACGTCACGACGGTGCGAACGGTGTCCCATTTGGCACGAGATGCTAAAAAATGCTAAGCGCGCTTAGCATGTTTTCAAGCGTCCATCTATGCACGCTTTCGTGCCGTCGGTATCCCAGAATGCTTTGCGTGCCGCTGCACAGCTGCGCATTTCAGGTGAGAGGCTGGACTCGCTTGGAGACGCAGCGCGTCTTCAAAGAAATTACAAGCAATCCAAAAACAGCAGACAGTCAGCTCAGGCTGTATGAGAGCATGATCTCTGAACTCACTAAAATCTGTTAACCAAACATTATAGATTTAGAGACGAACTGATCCACTCTGCTTCAACAATAAAAAACATTAGAAATAAGAAAGCTGACAAAACTACAGCAGAGTATCAGGACAACATTGAGTTTTTTTTCTTTTAAGATTTAGAGATTAAAGTTGTAAATTTAGGAGAATAAAGTCATAAAGTAAATAAAGTCATAAAGCTGCTTTTGTGGAGGGGGAAATGACTGAAGTTGGTCATCTGCAGGGTTATCTGTGGATGTATCAGCGGGTCATTCAGAGAGATTTTGTGGTTTCTGAAGAAACAATCAAACTGATGATGATCAACATTTGTGATCCAGAGGGAGTCGAGCTCCGACGAGCACCACGTCTCTGACACCGGCCGTAGCCTACACCTGCAGAGACACCAACACCTTATTATGGCATATGGATTCATATCATAAATTAAAGCTCAATGTCATTCACGGATATTTACGGCTGCATTGACAGATAGATCCTCAGCATATTCATTTCTGCCTCCACAAAAGCAGCGATTTCCTTCAAGTACACCAGTTTTTTTCCCCGTGGAAAAGACGTATTTCTCATATATTCTTTTTTAAAAGTCTTTATACTTATGACAATGTGATGCTGATGTGCCAGAGGATGAAGTATCTCCTATCCTCCTTCTCAATAGGGCCCTCATACTCCTTCATACAAAACAATCATTGGATGAATTTTGTGGGAATTATCTGTGCTTGTATCTACTATTTTGTGTCTGTGCAAGGTCGCACAATTAAAACAATACGTGCTGCGCTCCGCAGCTTTTTTTCTAATCAGTCGTGACGTAAGCCTGAGGGCGGGGACATTTGGAGACCTTCGGAGGACTTCCTGGTGGAGTTGCCAAATGTCCCCGCCCTCAGGCTCGCGTCACGACTGACTTAAAGGAAACCCGCGGAGCGCAGCATTTATTGTTTTAATTGTGCGACCTTGCACAGACACAAAATAGTAGATACATACAAGCACAATTCATCCAATGATTGTTTTGTAAGAAGGAGTATGAGGGCCATATTGAGATTTAAGACTTTAAGGACTTCGAGATTTAAGTCATTAATTTATGAGAATGAAGTCATAACCTGTTATTTCAGAGAGACTTGTTAAAATTAGGGCCATGAAGCATTTGAAGGAACTGTGCTTCAGTATAGGTTTCACAAACAAGGAGATTCTTCATCCTCTGGCACATCAGCATAACATTGTCATAAGTATAAAGACTATATGAGAAATACGTCTTTTCCACGGGGGAAAAAAATTGGTGTACTTGAAGGAAATCGCTGTTTTTGTGGAGACAGAAATGAATATGCTGAGGATCTATCTGTCAATGCAGCCGTTAATATCCGTGAATGACATTGAGCTTTAGTTTATGATATGAATCCATATGCAGTAATAAGGTGTTGGTGTCTCTGCAGGTGTAGGTTACCGCCGGTGTCAGAGACGTGGTGCTCGTCGGAGCTCGACTCCCTCTGGATCACAAATGTTGATCATCATCAGTTTGATTGTTTCTTCAGAAACCACAAAATCTCTCTGAATGACCCGCTGATACATCCACAGATAACCCTGCAGATGACCAGCTTCAGTCATTTCCCCCTCCACAAAAGCAGCTTTATGACTTTATTTACTTTATGACTTTATTCTCCTAAATTTACAACTTTAATCTCTAAATCTTAAAAGAAAAAAAAACTCAATGTTGTCCTGATACTCTGCTGTAGTTTTGTCAGCTTTCTTATTTCTAATGTTTTTTATTGTTGAAGCAGAGCGGATCAGTTCGTCTCTAAATCTATAATGTTTGGTTTACAGATTTTAGTGAGTTCAGAGATCATGCTCTCATACAGCCTGAGCTGACTGTCTGCTGTTTTTGGATTTCTTGTATTTTCTTCGAAGACGCGCTGTGTCTCCAAGCGAGTCCAGCCTCTCACCTGAAATGCACAGCTGTGCAGCGGCACGCAAAGAATTCTGGGATACCGACGGCACGAAAGCGTGCATACATGCACGCTTGAAAAAGAGGCGGGGGTAGTGTGGTTTTGAGACCGAATTTGAAGCGCGCTTAGTATATTGTGCCAAACGGGACACCGTTCGTGCCGCGTGGTGACCTCACGTACGCGTCAGATGCGCCGTTCGATGGCTGCTGTATCTGAAATGGGACACAGGAAGGGCACAGAACGGCTCAAAACGGCTCAAAACGGCAGTGCACTCAGCTAAGCGCCGTGAAGTGCGCTTATCACGATGCGGTCTCTGAAATGAGACACAGCCACAGACACCGAGTCTCCTTTTATAGGATGCACAACTCCACCTTGAGGCCGTGTTGACAGAACCCCAAAACATCATATTTCTAGACATTTCTGAAACTAGCAAACAAAATAGATGTGATAGACAAACAGATAATTAAAGTACCAAATCTATTTCAAAAAGCCATCTGAAACTGGTAGGTAAGTTAGTATGTGAACTGCACTTGATTTTTGTACCTGGATCATAACAACATAACATGTCCTCAAGTTTTAGAGTTAGGACTTAAAAACTCACTCTTGTGTCAAAAGATGATCAGACTTGTGAAGTTAGTGATTTATTGCGTCTGATCTTGAGTTTCGCTCTCTCTCTCTCTCTCTCTCTTGCTCACTCACTCACTCACAGATCCAAGCGCGCCGAATGTCCAGGTGACAAGAATGAGCCTGGTGTGTGACTCGGCGCCCCCTGCACTTGCCAGCTCGCTGGTCCTTGATCTTACAGGTGAGTGGATGAGACAGAATACTTGCCTTCTCGTTAACTTGAACCTAGATGCTGATGTGTTTTGAAAGTCAGTGGTAGAATGAGCTCACAGTGACAGTAATAATGATCAGGCAGTGGTCCCCTCAGTGCATGTGCAAACACAGACCAGACCACCTACTACATTGTTAGGGGGCTAATAAGTAATGACATGATTCCTGTGGAAGTGGGCTAATGAGACATTTCCTGGTGTCACTCCGAGAGCAGGAAGGCTGGGTACACTTGAGGTGCTCTGCCACCTAGTGGTCAGTATTACTACCACACAGTATGGTGTTAAAAACCCAGATAGAAAACGGAGCGGTACTTTTCTCTCCCAGAACACCCCACTGGATTATTGACCCTCACTGCCACAAACATGGTAAAAATGACATGTATTTAAATAGATAAACAGAACTTTTAAAAACTAAAGTCTACTTTGTGTTTTGACAGAAAAAGCTGAAAAAATTATAATTGTGACAATGAAGGATGTTGCCAAGTGGAAGTATGTAAATAAAGAATAAAAGTGGGCTCAAAACGGAACCTTGCAGCACACCACAGGCAATATGAAGGGAGAAGGGAGAGTGCTCACCTGAAGCAGCCGCATAGTTCTATCTAAGAGAACCAACTACATGCTGTGCCCTAAACCCCCCACTCAGATCTGAAGACCCTCTATTAATATAGCATGGTGTCAAATGCACTCTGAAATCCAAAAGACTTCAAACCACACTCTCTCCTTTGTCAGCAGCCAAAAGAAGATGGTTTGTGACATTGAGGAGGGAGGTTTCTAAACTAATAATCCTTAAACTGATAGTGTTCCAGAGTCAAACTTTTTTGAATCTCCTTCTTGATCCTCATTCCTTCTCATGCTGTGTTTTGTTGTCTTTCAGGAGACCTGGAAGGCTTCAAGAAGAGGCCGTTTGTGCTGAAAGAGGGAGTCGAGTACAAAATGAAGATCAACTTCAAGGTGAGAGTCTGGTCCTTGTCACACTGAGGAGCCCTCTCTGTTTGTTGCTTTAAACTGTTGCAGGCATTGAGATGTTCCTGCAGCCTCAGTGAACTGTCTTTGTCATGCTGAATGGTTGTCCGCTGTGTTTTTTCAGGTCAACAAGGAGATTGTGTCCGGCCTGAAATACATCCAGTTTACATCTAGGAAGGGTGTCAAGGGTAAGGTTGTGATTTTGTTCCAACTCCATCAATCCTGATGGTGATTTTGAGAATGTTGCCAGTTCTCTCATTTATACTGCTCTGTGTAAACAGGAAAGTAGTGCAGATATCTTTGTTGTTACCTTTGTGAAAATGATTCTCTTGTAGGCTCTGGTGGTTTTATTCGTCCCATCACATATTTTTCTCAGGTTCTCACCAGACACTTAATATAAACGTCACCACCCCAAACTGCTCCCTAACAGTCAGTACATCTACATGACACTCGAGAAAACCGAATTATTGCCTTTATCCGATTAAGACCAGACAACTGAGGTGTATTTAAACACCTTAGTCCGACTATAGCTGGAGTTTGATAACTCTGATTGGAGTCTGAGAACTCTGATTAAGACACCCAGATAATGTGATTGGAATTCGATTTTCTCTACCATGTAACCAGTGCAGTTGGAGTATAATTGGACAATGCATGTGCGCGTACGTCACTCCCCAGTAACAAACACACCAGAGAAAAGGAGTAGAGTGCACCTCATCTGCAGAAAAAGTAGCGCGTACATCATGTACAACAAAAACAACACTGTACGATGCTCCATCTTCCTGCTCGAAAATGCCCAGTAGAGGTTGTAGCCACTTCTGAAGTCTGGCACGGACCTGCTGTTGTTGTTTAATCGTTGTATGGGGTCGGAAACAGCGCAGCTGAAAAGACCCATATCAACCCCTAGTTTTGGGGAGGAGGACACATTCATTCATTCACATGTCATAATTTGATTTTCTCAGCTGCATGTATATGCGGATAAGGAGAGAAGTCTGATTTAGCGAAAAAAAATATATATATATGAGCTTAGTCCAATTAAGCCGTGCATGTAACACACTGATTGTTTTCTGCTATGGTCCCCATACACTGCCAGCTCATATTTCACTCGGGGGCTGCAGGAAAAACACTAAACCCCATTTTTAGTATATCATCGAGAAAGTTGAAGCACACCCATTACTGAGCTTGTTAGACTATGTTATTCTGATATTGTGCAGAATATGATGTACATGTATGTCCAGATACTTACTTGATGAAATGGCTGAAGAATTCTTTACTGAACAGTACAAGAAGTTATCATCAAGTAGATCTACATTTTTGTGAATTCCACCTTTTAAAGAAGTCCTTTTTCAAAATCTGTGATTGAACCTGACATCAGGCTCCCTCTGATCCCAACAGTTGACAAGACTGAGTACATGGTGGGAAGCTACGGCCCCCGACCAGGCCAGGAGTACGAGTTCCTCACGACCATGGAGGAGGCACCCAAAGGCATGCTGGCCCGTGGCACCTACACTGTCAAGTCCAAGTTCACTGATGACGACAAGCATGATCATCTCTCCTGGGAGTGGAGCCTCACTATCAAGAAAGACTGGAAAGACTAACCTCCCCGCTCTTTCTCCTCCTGCCTTCCTCAGCTTCACCGCCCCCGCTGTCATTCCATTTTTTGCTCCTTAAGTATTGATCGAAGCTTTTGCTCTCTCCGTCCGACAACATCCATGACTTCATTTTCAAGTTCTTAATCCCAATCACTCCATCATTCCTCCCTGTTGTTTGAGGCGTCTTTGGTGTCACCCACCCTTTGGTTAAGTATTACTATCAAACGGAGAAAGCAAACAGTGTACACAATCCAGAATTTTAGCTTACTTTGGTTTGTTATAAAAGAAAAAGAAGAAAAACTCTCAATCGCTCTTGAAAAGTAATGAACTCTCTGATTTCTTTGCTGCTTCCCTCTCTCCCTTTTTCATCCTGCTCTCCATTTCAGATGCTTTTGTATGACAACCGTGATCTGCCTTTTTGAAAGCGTGTACAGTGAGCAGTAGTGCTGTATGTACTGTATGTAGCCACTGTGCGCTCATTGAGCAATCATTGCTGGACATGACTCTTGGACACAGCCCTCCTTAAGCCTTTGAGCAGATTATTTGTACCAGTCTTGGTAAATTATTTGGAATTAAGGCCACCTCTTTAAAGGGCCCTAAGGAGTCTGCATAGAGAAGTGAGGGAGAACAAAATGACCTCCAACCCTTTGCTGCCCACTTCTCTCTGGATCAGGGTATTTGATCAGCAGCTGTGTGGCCTTATAAACATATCTGAAAACGGAGCAAGTTGCCTTCTGATTACTTTTGCCAGACAGACTCGTGGGCCTGTTTTTATAACTGTACTTGTAACACATGAACAAGGCGTCAGGACTGAGTATTTCAGGTTCTATCATTTTGAAAAACCATGGGTACCGTTATCATTGCAGTAATTGTATTTTTCTAATAGAGTAACTCTTTTAAAGCTACAAGAACTGTAAACACAAGTCCAGGTTGTGCTAATGTCCGTCAAACGAACACAAGGACTCACCTCACGTCACTCAAGTGTAGGATGATTAACACTCACTGTGCCTCTGGTCTCTCACAACCTCATGCTGCTCCCGCTGACTCGGTGGCTCTTAGTGCTCAACATCAGTGAGCTGAAAAGTCTGTATTTGAATTCCTGAACCAGTATCAAGACCAGTCCCACAGCAACAGACATCTCTGCCAGAAAGAGAGGGGTTTTTGTATGATCATACACTCCAAGTCCAGCAGATTTATTCAACCCCTATGTGTTATGGGCTGATGTATCTGTTGGTGGGTTTTGACTCAATGTGTGCCACCTGTGTTACCTGCAGTTAACTGATCTCCTGTGTTCATATTAAAGTGTCCAGACTGGGTCTGCGAGTGTCTTCTTCTTTTATTTCACCAAACATGAACATTTCTGAATTTTTCACTGCCTCCCTGAGCACAGGATAAAAATAAGACTCTTCATACATTTATTTGAATTAATAGAGAAGCATATGAAGGAGAAAAAACATGAATATCGTGCTAGCACAGTGTAGAGGTGACTCATTGTAGAAGATGATAAAACATCCCTGAAACAGATCTTTACCCTGCAGCTTGAAATGCATGCCATCAGGCTGGTAGAAAGCTTTTGTGATACACCCTCAACCAACAAGTAAAGACCAGCCTAGCACTGAGAGTCATGCTTCAACTGGCTTCAGTTTGGAAGCCAGTGCCAGTTTTCTTCCATTTTATAAATCGTTTGGCTTCATGGTTGTTTCTCATCAGTAGTTAAGTCATGTCTGCACCAGCACGTTTGGTAAAAACACTACACAAAAGACTTAAATGTCTCAAGACTCAAACTAAACTTTCGCTCTGATAACCATCAACTCAAAAAGGCATTTTATCCAACTGGACATTTGGCTGTTTCTCTGAATCAGCGTAGAGGGGTTGTCCTCTGACTAACAAGACAGTAGTTATTTATCATCACTTCAGGCAGGGGGGACAGCCTTAGAAACAGTACAGTTAATAAAGACAGATGTGCAGTCACTGTTCTCACTGCAGGTAGCTCATGGTTTCACCAGGTTATCATGGCAACCATTTTCCTCTAACATGCTAAGGTTGGGAGGCTCGCCAGCCATAAACCCATACTGCTGTCACCAACTCTTTATTCAATCCATGATCAATCAGCGACTGAGAGACTTCAAAACATGGAGGGAATTCAGCCAAATGTCAACAATAATTTACTCTTTAGATTTGACGGTTAAATTATTCAGCAATGTCCCACTTTAACCTTTGCTCCATTTGGACCAGTTAAAGGACGTTAATGAGATGATCGTCAAAGGATGATCACAGCTCCAAGTCCCTCCAGTTTTCAAGAGTTGAATCAAATAGCCGTCCCTTACTAAAAAGAAGTCTGTTGAAGTGTAACTCAAGTATACTGTGTTTAAACTAAGTACGCCTTCAGTTGACTTTTTATGCACTTTTCAGAGATACTCTTATCAAACTTACTTGTGAGTACACTGGTAGTATATTTGTATTTGGGAAGTATACTAAAATGAACTTCAGTATACTTCTTTTTGGTAAGGGGGGACATGACTGTTTTTTTAGACGCACTTCACTTTTAAGACTCACAGCCCACAACACAGCAGAGATGACAACAGTAATTGAGCTCCCCAGCCTGATGTGAGAGCAAAATGGGCGCCATGTGAATCTGGTCTTCCCAGCTCATTTGTGAGACTTCCTGCTTTTGGTGGAATTCATGTCACTCTTAGTTTTCTGCAAACGGGAGAAGATCTCTTTGAACAGGGCCTTGTACTCTGGTGTGTTCTGGCTCAGCCGTTTGTCCACCTGCTCCACCTGCCTGCTGATCCCCTCCAGGGCCTCAGGTGTGGAGGGGGTTTGAGGGGGCGTGGGAGGCGCGGCAACTGCCCCAGATGTGGATGGCCCTGCAGATCCCATGTTGTACTCCTTCACAGAGGGGTCTCTTGAGACCGGCCGTGAGGTTTGAACCCCAGCGTGGCACAGGCTCTCCTCATGACGCCGGCACTTCCCCAGCAGCTCCTCATACTTCTCCAGCAAGGCGTGGTATTGCTCATCCACCTCACGCAGGATGGACATGCCACGTTTGCGCGCGCCATTGGTGTGGAGGGCGTAGCTGCCTTGACGCCTGCCTGAAGTATCACGTGCATTAAGAGCTGTGTCGCTGCAGCTTTTCCTCACCGGACCTCCCTGCTGCCCTGCCCCTCCCACCTCTCCGATACTTCCTTCATCTCCCTCCTCTACCCCAACCCCGTCCTCTTGGGTGTCTGTCTCTGGGCCGTTGTTCAGTAGCATCTCCAGACCTTCTTCCATGCCTCCAACTAAACACATCCTGGACTTCCTGAGCTGCTGCATCTCCTGCAGTTCAGCCTCCAGCTCCCGAACCCGCAGCTGGCAGCCCTCTGCTCCCAACAGGCGCTGCTCTAGACGCTCAAACTCTTGCAGCACAGCCGCACACTCCCGCTCAGCGCCCTCCCTTTTGGAGCGCTCTGTGGCCATGGCTGAGCGTAGTGAGGTAACAATGTCTCGTAAACGCTCATTCTCCTCGTCCACAGGCTGTCTTTCAGCCAGGTCTACACTCCCTGGATTGGCCAACAGGAAACCATCCTCATACCTGGAACAAAACAGATTTTGTATCACTTCATGATCTGCGTATAAAACAACTTGGTGTATACTTCACCCAGGTGGTCAATACAACAATATAAGTGTTGAAACTGTACAATTCTCCTTTTTTATAAAAATATATGCTGGATTTAAACTACAAGGAGGAAAGGGGCAACATGTGCTACAATCCAGGCAATACCTTTTCAGGAGAGACTTTCATATTCACCAAGACCATGTCGAACCATGTTACGCTCAAATTACAACAGCATGGCTCAGGAGTAGAAGGGGCCAGATAAGAAACTGACCTGCTGGCAGTCCCAACATGTCATCCACTGACAGAAGATTGTATATCATGACATAAAAATGTGACAAAGCAGACCCTCAACTGTTGAGCAGCTAAAATCCTGTAACAGAATTAGATGAAAACCCCGGAAACTGGTCTCCTTGGTTCCTTTTCATAGCAATGTTAGAAAGCAGAGGTGATGCAGCGCAATAATAAGGATCTTCCTATCCTCACTTTTTGGAAATGTGTTGCTTGCATCAAATTCAACGTAAAGTAGTAAAATTCCTACATTGGCTCAGTTTGGACTTCATATGTGGCCAGTATCAGGAAATTGCAAATCATAAGGAGGATTACAGTGTGTACATTTGTCCACAGAGTGCCTCTGTGTGCTGTAAGTAAACATTCAATCTGCAACAGGTCGTAACCTTGGCGCGGTGCAGAGCTCTTTAAGGCAAGGGAAAGAATGGACAGTCTTGCGCCGCTCCTTCTTTTCCCTGCGAACCCTCAGCTCCTCCAGAGTCCGCAGCTCCTCCACCCGAGCTGTCAGAGAGTCCACCTGACCCTGTAAGGTCTCCATGGTGCCCATTAACCTGTTCACACAAACACACAAATATGGTTCCAGTACATGTTACACCATTGTTATGAAGGATAAGTCCGTCTTTGCTCAGCATACCACTCTGCTAAATCTACAGCTTGTAGCTGAGGTGTACCAAGAAGGAACAGAGGCAGCTATTTAGAGCTCTGTTTAGTCCTCAGACCACTTACATGACTTGTAAAGAATCTAAATCCCTGATTATGATTACACGAATAGCTTTTAAAAAGACCGGGGTAGTAAGTTATTTCTGGTGTTTTCTTATGATGTATAAATTGTATAATTCTTACAGAGAGACAGAGGATGGTAAAAGTGTGAGAGCCGTGGATCACCTGTCTATTTTCTGCTGTGATGCCTTGCTCTCCAGCACCAGTTTCTCATTGGTGATCTCCAGCTCTCTGGCAGTCACATCCAGCTGCTCATAAACCTTTGCATGCTGTTCATTCATCTCCCTCAACATTTCCAGCTGCTTGGACAAATACTGGAACAGAGACAACAACATGTTAAAATCAGATGATCCTCAAACACATTCACCTATGTCTGAAACCAGCAGGGGAAGCATCTCATGTTCTTAGTCCTTAACTTTGTCTTGGCTGCACCTGGCCAAAACTATTTTACCACAAAAAGTAAAAATATATGTATATACACTACAGGCCAAAAGTTTGGAAGCAAGATCAGATTTGTACAAAAAAAATCATAGTTTCATATATATAATTTGGAACACAATAAACGTGACTGTTGTGTAAAGAGTAACTTATCAGACATTTTGACTATAATTATTAGGTATTTGAGTTATTGTTGCTTAGACTTTGCTTCCTTTAAAGTAACCTCCTCTGGCTTTAACAGCAGCTTGGCATATACCAGGCATTCGTTCCACAAGTTTTTTTAAGGTATGTTCCAGGGATTGCATTCCAAGCTTTCTTAAGTTCATTAAAAAGAGACTGCTGATTCGTGGGACGTGTTTTTCTGACCGATCGATCCAATTCACCCACAAGCTCAATTGGAGAAAGGTCTGGAGACTGAGGGGGCCAAACCATCTTTTGAAGAACACCTTCCTCTTCTTTTTTGTCTAGGTAACTCTGACAGAGCTTGGCAGAGTGCTGGGGGTCACTGTCTTGCTGCAAAACAAACTTATGAGCCACAAGTCTGAGTCCAGATGGAACAGCATGGTGCTTGAGGACGGAGTGGTACTGTTCCTTCTTCATGATACCCTTTACTTCAAACAAATCTCCTACTCCATCACCTGCAAAACATCCCCATACCATGGAACTACCACCTCCATGCTGAATTGTGGGTGTAACACATGGTGCTTTCAGACGTTCACCAGTTTGTCTGAGGACATAGACTCTGCGTTTTGAACCAAACAGTGCAAACTTGTTTCTAGTCATCATGAGTCCAATTTTCGTGAGCTTTTGCCCACTCATATCTCTTTTTCTTGTTCTGTGGACGAAGTAGTGTTTTTTTGCAGATACACAACCCTTCAAACCAGCCTTTCTCAAACGTCTTTTCACGGTTGTCAGAGATATGGGTTTTGACCTTGTCATGTTGATTTCCTCCCTTATTTGTGGTGCTGTCTTTCGCCGATCTCTCTTACTGATGACAATGCTATGTTTATCCTCTGCTTTTGTAGTAACTCTCTTTCATCTAGGCCTTTTTCTATCATCATAACTTCCAGGTTCCTCTAGTCTCTTCAGAGTGTAGTGGACTCCTTTGTTAAACACCTTTAGGTATTTTGCAATTTTCTCTTTCTGTGTATTCTTCTTTCCTCGATGTACAAATCTGTACTTTTGTTTCTTTACTCAGTTGCTTCTTTCTAGCCATTTTTGTGGTGGTTTGAACGCAGTTGAGCTTTATTAGGATTTTTGTATGCAGGCTCTCAAAAGCCGAAAAGTTAAAGTGAATAATCCAACTGTGATTTGTTTTTTTGCTTTTGCACTGAAGTTGTGACTCTTGCAAATGTTTTCAACCCTAAAACTAAGTCTTTAGCAATGGTCTGTTAACATCAATGTATATCTAAAGGTAAATGGAGTAAAATGGTGCATTTCCATGAAAGCAACATCTGATCATGGAGTAAATACATCCCAAAATACATAAAACTCGTGCTGGATTTAAAAAAAAAAAAAAAGCATTGTGAACAAAAACTTGAAGTTACTCCCAACTGTTCGGCCTGTAATGGCCTTGCTTCCAAACTTTTGGCCTGTAGTGTATATAAATTTAAATCAAAACATAAAGGGCTAAAACAGTTATCTAAAAGAACAATAAAACCGGCTAACGAAATTAGCACAAACTAAAGATCTTTAAAGTTTGGCCTGAAGTGGGCTAGCTTTGAGTAATGAATATATAGTGGATCAGAAGGAATTCACAAATAGTTAACTGGTTGGATGAAAGAAGTGGAAGATAATTAATATCTTCATAAATCTTTGATTACTAGCTTGAATTAATGGTTAATTTTACAGCTAAAGGTAGGCTAAAGGACAAATAGCTGTAAAGCTAGCATAAAGTACAGATAGTTTAGTTGGATTATATAGTGGAAAGGATGGCTAAACCTCTTAGATCAGTGGTTCAAATCCTTCTCTTGGGATGACGCTTAACTTTTTGAGAGACAGTATGCTAATAGATGACAAGCTAAAAGTAAAAGCTAAATGGTTGATGGTTTTCTTAATGTAATGGAGAATGGGTTATAAGAGGGTAATTTTGGGTTATGATAAAAAGATAACTATCCAAACTTTAGGGATAAATAGTTTAATCTTGGGCTGGTAGTAATATAGAATGTTAAAGTTTTTTGATAGTACTGGGTTTCTGGTTGAAATAGATGAGCTGGTGCATAATCCACAGTTCAGCTGTCTGAAAAAGTTCGTATAAATGTACAAATTGTCTCGTTTATGTCAAGAACGATTAAATTGACAGCAGTTATAAAAGGACCGTGATAGCCCGCAAAACAAAACAGACTGTGATGTCAGTTTTTGCAGACCGCTCAATAGTTCTCATTTGCAAGTACATTAATTTAAGAAAAGTAAAACAAACACTGGCGAAGATAAGAAATAAGAACTTTACTGATCCCCAAAGGTCAATTCAGTAATGAAAGTTTCACATTGTTCACTCTGTTGACAGCCCAGCACTCAGGTGCTCAGCCCGGCTTCCCTACTGCGTGAAGAAGTGAGTTTTTATCCTTTTACATATCTGTTCATGTTCCCAGAATAAACACTTCAGGTCCTCTGCTCTATACTCCTTCATCCAGCTGCTCTGTGCCTTCTGATGATTATCTTGGTGTGAAATCAAAGGAACCAGCTCATGCAAGCTGTTTCAGCTGGTATCTCTGCATTTTGTGTGTTTATTAGCTGACTCAAATATGTGCTTGCGGAGTTATAATTGGCAAAACGAGCACGTGTACCTCTATCTCTTGCACTTGCTCCTCATTGTTGATGTACATCTGCTGCAGGGAGTCCTCCAGCTCCTTGTTACGCTCCAGGAGTGTCTTGCCAAGCTCGGCTGCCAGGTGCAGGTCTGATGGGAGCAGGGAAATAAGAACAGAAAAACAAGTCAGCTTCAAAGTTGAATTATTACAATATTCATCTCCTCTGGTAGAACAGTGGGGAGCAGGAGCTGAATCCTGGTGGCTCTGCAAAACTGGCAGCCTATAATGAAGAAGGGGAACATGTGCAATTTGAGTATAATATATCTGTTTGTTTTGGTGGTTTTCAGCAGTGTGTCTGTTCCCTCCAAGGGAATAATTAAATATATTGTACTGCATCATATTGCATCTTGGAGCATAAATTATCATGTTGTATCGTGTTGTATCATGTATCAAATCAAATATCATCTCTTTTGTATCCTGACTTTGCCCCATTATATTTTATCAAACTAAATTGTATTACATTGTGTCATGAAATATAGCTGTGTTGTTAGGTATCATATCATGTTGCAGCATGTTATCAAGTGTCTCATTGTATCCTTTGCTATCCAGTCATATCGCATTGTGTCATGTTGCATCACATTATTTTTAATACACTAACAAACTGTATCGTATTTTGTCATATCAAATTATACAAGTTTTACGTTGCATTATATCATGTCGTATGGTATGTCATTCATTATGTCATATAGCGTTGTATCATTTCATACTACACTCTGCCATTGTTTTTGTATCATTATGAATCCAAATGTATCATATAATCAGATCCTATCTAAAAGTATCACATATCATATCATACATTACATCATATTTCATCCTATTGTATGATATCAAATCATATATCAAAAAGTAGTTTATTGTATTCTATCTATGGTACTTAAATTGTGTTTGGTACCTAAATTGTGTATATTGTATATAGTTTTATTTTCTTCTCCCCTTTTCCTTTTTCTGAATTTTTTCTTAATTATAAATTTATTTAAGTTCTTAATATCACAATCTTTATTTTTATAACAGAATTTTTGCACTATCTTTGTCCCCCATGGGGGATCAATAAAGGAATATTCTATTCTATTCTACACTGTGTGCACAATTATTAGGCAAGTGAGTATTTTGATCATATCATCATTTTTATGCATATTTTCCAACTCCAAGCTGTATAAACTTGAATGCTTATTGGATATAAGCATATCAGGTAATGTGTATTAGTGTAATGAGGGAGGCTGGGGCCTAAGATCAAAACCCTATATCAAGGTGTGCATAATTATTAGGCAGCTTCTTTTCCTCAGGTAAAATGGGCCAAAAAAGAGATTTAAGTGACTCTGAAAAGTCAAAAAATGTAAGAAGTCTTTCAGAGGGATGCAGCACTCTTGAAATTGCTTAGATATTTGGGCGTGATCACAGAATCAGCAAACATTTTGATGCCAATAGTCAACAGGGTCGCAAGAAATGTGTTAAGAAAAAAAGACGCAAATTAACTGCCAAAGAATTGAGAAGACTCAAACGTAAAGCTACCAGGAACTGCTAATCCTCCAGTGCTGTCATATTCCAGAACTGCAACCTACCTGGAGTGCCCAGAAGTACAAGGTGTTCAGTGCTCAGAGACATGGCCAAGGTAAGGAAGGCTGAAATCTGACCACCACTGAACTAGACACAAGTTGAAACGTCAAGACTGGGCCAAGAAATATCTGGAGAGATTTTTCAAAGGTTTTATGGACTGATGGGATGAGAATGACTCTTGACGGACCAGATGGATGGACCCGTGGCTGGATCAGTAATGGGCACAGAGCTCCACTTCGAATCAGACACCAGCAAGGTGGAGGCGGAGTACTGGTATGGGCTGGTATTATTAAAGATGAGCTAGCTGGACCTTTTGGGTTAAAGATGGACTTAAAATCAACTCCCAAATCCAATGCCAGTCTTCAAGCAGTGGTACAGGCAAAAGTCTGCATCTTTCAAGAAAACCATGATTTTTATGCAAGACAATGCTCCATTGCATGCAACAAAGTACTCCACTACGTGGCTCGCCAGTAAAGGCCTTAAAAACGAAATAATAATGACATGGCCTCCTTCTTCACCTGACCTAAACCCTGTTGAGAACTTGTGAGCCCTTCTTAAACGGGAAATTTACAGTGAAGGAAGACAGTACACCTCTCTGAACAGTGTCTGGAACAGTGTCTGGAAGGCTTTGGTTACTGCAACACAAAAAGTTGATCGTCAACAGATCAAGAAACTGAAAGACTCCATGAATGGAAGGCTTATGACTGTTATTGAAAAGAAGTTACATTGGTCACAGATTTTTTTTTTTTAATTTCAACAATTTTTATTTGTAAATTGAGTTGTTTGTTTATCATTCTCACTTTAACAAGTGAAAATAAACAAGTGAGATGGAAAATTTTTCATTTTCAATTTAGTTGCATAATAATTCTGCACACTAATAGCTGCCCCCAATAATTGTGCACACATAGATATTCTCCTAAGGAAGCCAAAATCTCACTTTTACTCCCTGAAATATTCAGGTTTGAGGTTTATTAACATTTTGGATTGACCAAGAGCACTGCAGTTGTTCAAAAATAAAGTTTATCCTCAAAAATACAACTTGCCTAATAATTCTGCACACAGTGTATTATCCTATAATATCACTATGTATTATACCATACCAAGTATTGTTTCCTATTGTGTTGTATCAAAAAAGTATCAAATCATACAGTATTAATTAATTAAGTTGTATTGTATCATATCGTGTCCTATCATGTCATGCAGTAGTGTATTGTGTTGTATCATACTGTAACATACATAATAGCAAGCATCATATCGTATTTTATCCCATCAAATTGTATTGTGATTATAAAGTACTGAATTATACCATACTTAAACCATCCTATCATATTGTATTGTATTATAGGTAGGTAGTAAGACAGAGTCACTGACAGCCATTACTTCACATGACCAGTGTTCATCAGCAGAACATGGAAAGTGACAGGAACAAACCTGTATGCTCACAGACACTCGTGTCTGTCCTCAGCCAGTATAACAAAGATTACAGTTAGAAGTGATTTAATGTTGATCCATCTGTAGGTGTGAAAACTAACATACACAATTGCAGCAGGACTCCTCCCGAATTCTCGAATGAAACTACTCAACATCATGAGCTCATAGTGTGTCCGCCTGCCTTGACACACTTGCATCTCATGCAGAGCTGATAATGAGCTGAGTGAGAGTGTGTGAGGAGAGAGCACAGCGAGCCTTCACCCCCCTCGAGGTTTGAATCAGTCACAGCTCTGTTTCTGCTCCCAAGGGCAGACACGTGCCGTGTATTGGTTATATAATTCCACATTTATGTGCATGGATGAGAGGTTTCTGTCGAGGGAATACCAAACACTGGATACCTGAAACATAAAAGGCTAAATCAGCGTATCTGTCTTCCAGTTACATCAGTACATTTTAACCGCATCTGCTCATTTGTGTCCAACTCTAAGCGTGCATCTCTGAGATGCTCTCTGGTGTATGAATCTCACGTTCCAGGACAGGGCCCTCAGATGAGGCTGCAACATGACATCACCACACCATGCCATCTGGCCACATCATACTCAAAACATATCATGGATGGCAGTGGAGAAGTTGTGTAACAGCATTATTTCCTGAGCAAATTCATCACGATTAGGATGATATTACTTTGGCAATTATGCCTCACATCTGACTCCAAAGCCTGGCATCCCTGAGCCAGACTAAAGACGTCTAGTCTGGGGCTCCCTAATCAGATCATCCAGGAGCAGGGGCTTAATGACTTAATAATGCTGAGATGAGATGCAGACAGCATTGCAGCACCTGGCTTTCTCTCTCTGCCATGATGAGATACAAAGCTGCTTTGGTCTCTGGGTCAGCAGGTAATCAGGGGATGGGGTGATGCAGAGGCCAGCCCTGCCGAGGTACAATTGTCCTGTGAGATGAATCCAGAGTGTTTGATTGACTGTAAGAGAAAACTACAGATGTGGAGGATGCTGGGAAGCAGGGCCCTGCAGAGGAAGGAGGCGAGACAGAGGCAACACTCACTCAGTCAGACAGCAAGTCCATCCTGGGAAGCACCACTGACAACATCCCAATAATTGGCAGAGGAGGGAAGCGGAAGACATAGGCAGGCGAGACAGACATTCAGCATTAAGTGCATTTCATATCGGATGCAACCTCCCCCTTCATTCCCATCCTCCATATCCAAGAATTTATGGATCTCAGTATCTAAGCCTGCGTGGCAGTGATTGTGGATGAGGTATTGTTGTAGAGTGTGATCCTCCCTAATCAGTCACACACACACACACACACACACACACACACACACACACACACACACACACACACACACACACACACAAATGACACAGATGTAAAAATCATGTCACCTTGCTCCAGGTCTCGCTGGTCGTACCACGGCTCTTCGTCCTCCGTGACAAACTCCTCCATCCTTCCCGCACGAAGCATCGAAGCTGGTCGACTTCTTCGGCTAATTCACCAGCGGCTCGGCCCGAAAGTGACAACAAAAAAAACAGCAGTAGCCTCCCCGAAAGACTAAACCTTTGGAGCAATTTCTTAGAGGCTAAATCCCTGCGGCGCACCTGCTCCTCGAAGCATCTTCGGAAATAAATGAACCCGCATCCGACCCGCGGACCTGAGGCCAAGAAGTAAAGCACCGAATCAGTCGGAGAATAAGGTCTTGATATTTTCTGTGCTGGTCTCGGCAGTTCTTGATGTGCAGCTGGGCCCTGTAGACGCAGGTTTGTCAGCCCGTTATCGCTCGCTGCCGGGGAACGCTGCTGCGTTCGCTTGTTGTCGGAAATATTCCGAGTGATATAGACTCCTCAAAGTTTATGTCCTACTCATATATCACTGCCTCTAGCGGGTTGATTTGTTAGTGCTGTGCAGCGTTAGTCTAATTAATACAAGCTCCCTCCATTATTTCTGACAGAAAACACTTGCAAACTTTGTGTTGCCGTTTTTTTGTTGGCTTACTTTGATAAATAATTTAGAATCATAGTGAAACATATAAAACGAAGGAGAAAACTGTATCTGGACACAATATCCTGTATCCAGCCATTAATAGGTAATTAAAAAGATGTTATTCATTAATATTTTTGTCGGTAAACGCACTACTTGTCCATACTTAAATGCGATAAATTATTTGATTAAACGAATAATGGCACAAAGTTTACATATTGAAGGTTTCAACACAAAACGATACCAAATTAGTAACATGGTTGTTTTAACGAAATGTCGTTGAAATCAAGTCTTTGTATTCATGTCTTTATCGTAATTCATACATTCACGAGGCTTTAAGAGTTATGTGTTAGTTCATAGTTGATGAAAAACTCTGTCGATTCTTCACCTTCAGCGCTTAGTTACGTGGATTTTTTTTAAAATCGGTCTTTTTGAATAGTCAAGGAGAGGTTTGAATGGTCCAGCAAATACACAAGTGTCAACTTTAATGTCGGTATAGTTTATGCTTTGAAATCATTCTTTTCCATTTACAAAGAGCACCTGAAGGCATCACCATTGGAGATGACGTCACCGTTACTTGACAGTTTCTCCGGCCGGTACCGACATCTCCTTTATCAGTCCCTCAAGTATAATGTTCCCATTTAAATGTCGCAGAGAGGGCCTGACACTGAAGCCCAGTGTTTCTCAAATTGTGGGGGGTGCCCCGCTGGTGAGAAATAGAGACATGACAGGTGGGGCGCGACAAACGGGAGGAATTTTTTTATTTTTCATGCCTTTCCTCTTAAATGCTTTTCTTTATTGGCAATAAAGATCTTTTACTTTAAACAAAACACCCACACACAAAACAATAAATGTCCTACATGTAGCTGAGAAGAACAGAAAAGAACATCAAATTATTAGACAGCATTAGATTAGAGACAGGAGAAAGTTGTAATGCAGAAAATAATGGTTGACGTGTAGTGATTTGTTATGAAACATGTTACTTGTACCTTGTTGGTTCAATAAATTAAACGTATGATTTGTCCGGATTTTTGTTGGGGCAATGGGTGCAAATTCCCCCTTGTTCAAAGTGGGGAGAAACCAAAAAAGTTTGAGAACCACTGCTGTAGCCAGTTTGTACACTTTATTGTAAATATGTAGAAACGAGGAGAATTGTGGTTCAACAGACAGACACACTTCGTCCTTGGGTTTCGTTCTGACTGTGGAGACAAAACGCCTCTTGCAGCCTTGACAGGCACCATTTAGCTCAGAAATATCCCCCTATCGGAATTAATATAAAACACAATGAAAACGACATAAAACATGTAATATTTAATAACACACATTCACCCACGAAAAGGACTGTTTTAAATGTTTTCAATCGTTCAGGTCCATTTAGTAGCCCGTAGCAGTAGTAAAATGTATGCATTATTCACCCTCACTCCGCCAAGTTTTTGTCAAATATTTAACTGTTGTTCCAGTACAATCTTGGACTTACTTAGTCTCCAAAGAATAAACCCTAACATCTTTGGTAGCCCCATCCACTTTTACACAAGACATAGTTCAAATTATTTGACTGTTAAGGTCATGACTTTAAACACAGTATTTGGCGCTAATTAGCAAATGTTAGCATGCTAACTCTCTATGCTAAGATGGGAAACATTCAAAACTGCTGCTCAAACTTTGGCTCAAACTGTGGCTTAATTACAAAAACACCTGGCTGTTTACTTTCTACAATTTTATAGCAGGTCTTTTGTTTCCATTTGTTTTAAGTCCATGATAGAAATGAACCTGTTTCGACACTTTAAAAATGATTTTCATTTTAGTGCAGGTTGAATTAGCTTGCTGTCTGTCGAGACAGAAAAATGACTATCGCTTGTGTTTTTCCCTGCTGGCACGTTTATCTCTGCTTTCTTGTGTTCAACAGTTCATGTGATATTGCTTAATATTGTTATGGAGAAGCACAACTCAAGCTGCATGAACTTTTGTCATGATGCCTGCGATCATGGCTTAGGCACAGTCTGGAAGAGAGAAGGTCTAGCCCTTAGAAAAGGCTTCATTTCCCTTTCCATTATTCCTTGTTCTCTGTGGTTTTACAGCTTTGTGGTCTTCTAAGGTGTATCCAGTCGGCCTCACTCTCGCAGCGTTTAACTCTGCTGAAGAACTTCTTGATCAGAGCTTTGGCTTCTGCTTTGACTGCGGACACAGAGACACCAATTCAATAAGTGTATTACTCAAGTTTATAATCTTTTTCCACCTCTGGCTCACCTTGTCCCTTCCCTTGAGTTCTCCCTTCAGTGAGAAGGTGAGACAAGTAGCGGGCAAAGGCCTTAAACAGCTCCTGCAAGGACAGAAAATGAAGCAGCACTGACTCTCTTGTTGTGGTGACATATATAATAGTATCTATTCTTCTTACTTTGTGGGCAAATTTCCCCTGTTTGTAAAAGGGGTCCAAGTATCGGACCACTATATCAGCTGCTTCCTTCAGTGTCGTAGTTGCAGGTACTTCATTTACAGGATGCAGCGGTCTTTCCTGCACGTTGGGGTTGAAAGTCACTTTTTTGCTGCGTCTGTCTGTTGAGGTTCTGGGCTTTATGGGAGGAGAGCACTCTGGGTTTGCTTTTGTGTGGTCTGGCAGCTGTAAATGAAGAACAGGTACCAACATTCAATATCTCATGTCTTGAATTTGTCATTTACTTTTGTAACTTTACAAATTAGTGGAAGTAACTTCAATTTCAAAATAAAAGCACATTAGTGATAGAAACAGGACATGCTGTAACATCTGCCTTAGACAGGCAAAAAAGGGCAGGAGAAAAGCATCTTCAAACACTGTATTTCTTTTCGAAAGCTTGATCATACACTGGGTTACTTACACCTTGGGGTTTAACTTGTACAATGTACAAAGGCTATAGTCCCCAAAACAGGTAACCCAGGTTTTCCACTCTCTCTTCAAGTCTCCTGCTTTATCCACTATGAGAAAGGTATAAACCCAGCCTTGTGAATATGATATGGTGATTTAAGTGTATCATTTTTGTCTTTTACATACAGTAGGTAACTGTCAACTCTGCTCTCAGAATTCCCTCTTTTCTACCTTGTATGTTAAACCAACTATCAAAGGGTACATCATGCAAGCCCACTCCAGAAAACCCTGAGCTATCTCACAAACATACAAAGAAAACAAAACACTCACCACTATTATTTCAGGTGATTTTTCTTCTGATTTATTTAGTCTGTGAAAGAGAAAACTAAGTTAAAGTTAAGAAATTAAACCTATTTATAAAGCTTTTATCCAGTAATAGACTCATCATATGTGTTTAACTTACTCCTGCTTTGGTTCCTGCTCCAGCATTTCTGTGTCTTCAGTTTCTTTCTTCTTCTCCTCGTCATCATCAGGTATGACTGTAACATCTGCCTTACTTTCCTGGTGTACCACTCTGTCTGCAGGGCGTCTGCGCTTTGCTGGAGGAGAGCGTTCAGTATATGCTTTTGTATCATCTGACAGCTGTGAACAAAAACACAAGAACGATACGAGACTTGGCAGGATATAAATCTCAAAGAGACTGGTAAGACTGTGGAAAATATTGACAACAAAAAAATATTGTGAGACGCTATGATGATGCTCTGCTCAAACAGTGTATCCCCCGGGTGAGGTACGCAATCTTCCTACCCCCATAGGCTGTATCAAGTGTCAATCACAGAAAACATGAACCTACTAACTTTTAAAAACGGAGCTTCACAGAAAAAAGAGGACTTGGGCACAAACCAGTCTTACTGTAACTACATGTCAACATCACAACCAGGGAGGAGAAAAATTTACATTCTGTGTAATAATTTTCTAAAATTTCTTCACCCAGCGAGAAGGTAGCCTGGCTGGGCCATCCAATTGCGTGAATCACTTGCCGTTCCTTGCCACAACAGTCTGGACTTCGGCCAATTGGGAGCCATAAAAGTGGGCGGGAGTACTTTCCTTGATAGACAGACTAGGGTAACCAATCACCGTAACCAAACATCTGACGTCATCACAGTGCGCAACTGTGTTCCTTGCTGGGCTCTCAAGCATCAAGTAAAGGTTTGGTAATATTTCAACGTGTGCAAGCAAACAATGTCTTTTACGCCTTCTTCTGCGGATATAAACGATTTCTGCCGACTTTGCAAAGTCAACTGCAGAATTAACGGCGTTCTGAATGAACGGCGCTTTGAAAAGTCCCGCAGCATGTGTTAGACGGCACCACCTACACATGGACCAATCAGGGGCTGCCTTTCCCTGTTGTCCAGGGAACAGTGGAAACACGATCACTGATTGGCCCGGTTATTTTCTGATTTCTAATACACGCTCCCAATTGGCCGAAGTCCAGACTGTTGTGGGAAGGAATGGCAAGTGATTCACGCAACTGGATGGCCCAGCCAGGCTAGCGAGGAGGCAGATGGCATCCATTCTATATACACTCTATGGTTCAGATACAGAAATTACGTAATGTGCTTCAGCAGAGGCAGCAATATTAAACATGTGCTTTGACTATTTACACTAAGTCCTATAAGTTTACTCTTTTGGACTACGTAAACCAGTCTCAAAGTACTTCATAGAACCCCACTTCAAAGAACCTTGACTCTCCCAAAAACATATGCAGCAAACAAAACTGTTACCTCAGTGGTTACAGGTGATTCAGCGTTTTCTTTTGATTCCTCTGGTCTGTGGCAGAAAAAAATTAATTAGATGTATAAAGAAAATTTTTTTCCATCAACTTTGTGTAGCTTTTACTTGGCAGTGGAGTCATGTTAAAACGTACTTCTTTTCTTGTTCCTCCTCAAACATTTCTGTCTCTTCAGTTTCCTGCTCCTCCTCTTCATCATCAGTTAAAACTATTATGTCATTCTTACTTTCCTCTCGTATCAACTCATAAATGTCTGAATCCTCAGAACTGTAATCCTCCTGGGAAGCCTCAGCTTTAGCATCATTAGCTAATGTAGCGTTCAGTCCATTTACTGTTCCAGTCTCCTCTTGCTTTTCTTCTGTTGTTGGTTTCTTTGTAAAATACTGGGAGATATTGCGGGTATTCTTTGCTGCTTCTACTAGTTTCTGCTGCTTCTTGCTCATGGCTCTGCCGGCCTTAGTTGGGCTGTTCAGGGAGGCAGCAACAGCACTTGCTCGAGCTCTAATGGATGATGTTACAGCTACTAATGTATCAGTGTTTGACTCTTCTGAGCTGTAGAATCCACCATTCTCCGACCCTTTGATGGGCTCACTCTCCAACATGGAGGGCTTCAGGAGATCTTTAGCAGTCATGAAGAGGTTGGAGGAGCCCCTCTGACCTGCGCCCACCCTCTTGCGCTTCATCTTGAAGAATAATTTCGAAAGAATTATACACGTAAATCAAAAATAAATGTTTGCAGCCACAAGAATCTGCAATAACTGCTGGTAAAGTACGTAAAGAAAGTGTGTATCTTACTGAATAGACCTCTGATGCAGATTTAAACCCCTGCAGCTCCTCAGAAACTGGTAAGGAAGAGGGGGAGCAGGTTGCCTCCTCATTAAGTTTGGACTCAGTTTCTCTGACTCCACCATCTCCTCTTTCTCCTCCAGCTGAAGCAGGAGCTGTTTTCTTCATCTCAGAAACCTTTAAGACAAGATACCAGCTCAAGAACACAGCCTCTTGACATCAACGTGTTCTGCCTGTGAGGGGGTCTGCAGTTACCCTCTTCAGTATCGCAGCCTTGTACAAGTTGGACGACTTGCTGCTCTTGAAAACTTCAAGCTCAATATCCACTGCCTGAGACAGAGTGTCACAGCTGAGAGACGGAGAAGACATTAAAGACATTAAATGGAGCAACACTGGTGAGTGAGTGAACTGATGGAGGAGAAAAGTGTCTGAAGAGTTACTTGAAAGGATCATCTGCCCTCTGGTGGTCATATAGTGCTTCCTGCAAGAGAGACAGGCAGTGCTCCTGGCCTGAAAAAATAGACATAAACAGTACAGAAGTTTATTTTATTTAGAGACAACATGTGAAAATCCCCTCTTATGGGGACCAGGTATCAAAAGGGTATCAGAGAAAGGCTGACTCTTAAAGAAGTAAAGACAGTGAGAGTTAACAACACATTTCACCTCACAGGCAAACCTGATGAAGCCTGTGAGGCGAAACGCATTGTTCTTTTAACTAATAAATAAGTTTACATTTTGACTACGTTGTGTGCGATGGAACTCTCTTCTTTTTAGGAACTTTTTATACAACTATGACATTTAAATTTTTTGTGTAAATTCAACATGTTTCATTCCCAACTCATCATATATTGATAGACGAGAAGGAGCACTTTGAGTCAGTATGTGACGCACACAGGGTACCTCTCGTCCCTTTTTTCGATGCGGAGGGTTGGCCATAAACTTCAATAAGAGTCCTTTTGCGTCAGATAGTGAGGCTTTGAGACTGTACTCAAGTTGTCTTTGCTGGCGGAGGGTTGGCCATGAATTTAAATGACAGTCCTGCTTTGTCAGATATTGACTGTGCTGAAATTGTCTCTGATTTGGGGACTTTGGGCACGACTGTCATTTAAGCCTATGGCCGACCCTCTGGTTCAAAAATAGACGCAAGAGGTACCCCATGTACGTTGCTTACTGGCGAATGCAGCATGCAATTCTAGCACCCTTTTTGATAAACCAGTCTTTGCTTATCTTGTTCTCTACATGTTCTACAAGTTGCCCTTTTAAAACACATTTCATGTGGGCATTGTAGAATGAAAATAAAATAATTGAATCATCCCTGGGGGATACATAAAGTTCTTCTTGTCTTATCTTAAAAACATGGTTGTTTCTCTTGCTTATTGGCTAAATTTACCATATTCCACCAATCTCAGGAATTAAAACCTAAATGATAAAAAAAAAAAATCTCTGAACTTGTTGCTGCTGGTCTTGTTTGCATTTGGAAAATATTAAAAGGCAAAGATATCAGTGTCAGAGTTTTTCATAAATGTCAATTAATAGTAAGTAAATTAAGTTTCATATTGCTTAATAATTTTCACTTTTCAATGTCAAAAACTACCTCAAAATATGTTGCATCAAAATAAAGTTAAATAAGTAAAAATCCTGTTCTGTTGTGTGACAGTCATAGAAGGTATAAAACGATTGGCAGCATTACAGCTTCTCAAAAGTGAAGCCCAAATATTTGAAGCTACTTTTTAAAAAGCCCAGCTCTTACCTCCAAATGATGTCACCAGCACATGTCAAGCACCCACCATTGGAGTTACTTTGGCATCACTTTGGTCAAACATAACGATGTGAAGGCACGCTGTCCTTGTTTTTATACAGGTAATGGCTAATGTAATATTTTAGTTGCATATATATTGACAAGATTTGAACAGAAAACATGATCATATCTTGTTCAGGGAGGAAGTTACTATAAAGAGCTACTGCAGTCTAAGGCTACAGGCAGCATTATTTTATTTCAGTCTCTCTGATGCTGTATTAATACTACTATGTCCACAGAGAGCATCACCGTCTCTACAGTTAGTCTTTATGTCTCATCACACATGAGTCCCTAAATTCCAGAAGACATGTTAATGAGTGCAGTGAGTATGAGGAATGTGTTTGCAGTGCTGTACCTTCACAGTGAGTCTGGGGATCCTCTGGCTGGAGGCCTCTCTGAGCGGACAGTCTACATCTACACAGAGGGACACAACTGTGAAATGACTGCACAGAGCAGGCTGATATCTATCCATGATCATTCTTTCATTCGGTTGTTTTTACCTGGGGGGATAAAGTCTTCCCTCTGACTTTCAGCTCCCTAAAAAACAGACAAAAATTCATTATCACGTAGTCATTACAAAATAGAGCTTTTATGTAACAGCTCCAATGTGGATGAAGCAGTATGATGCAGTAACTCTGTTCTATGATTTCCTGTCACTTACCTATGGCACTATCAAATAAAGGTGGGGAAAAAAAGTAACAAACACAGTGGATGAGAAAGATAACTATTTTTCTTGCCAATGGTGATACTGCTACTGAGACTCTGGAATCGACTGATGCTAAATACTACTCCAATATTTGTGGATCATGTTACACTGTATAATCTAAATCTGGCAAATCATGGAATCATTATTTTGTATTGATAGCAGACTAGCAGTGTCCAAATATACTATTAACAAATGTATCAAAGGCTATTGCCAAAACCAGTTTGGTACAGATACAGCATGATTATTTAAACTGATACTGGTATTACTACAGATACTGGTGAGGGTATTAGAACTGATAATGGCAGTGTGAATACTTGTAGGGGTATTTGAACTAATAGTGATATTATAACCAGTGTTATAATATCACTATTAATATAACTCTTATTGTTAATGTTCCTTTGACGTTTCCTTATATGTGTGGATGAATGTGTACATGCATGTGTGTTTCTGCTAGTCAGGCATGGCACAGAGGAATTTTTGTTGCACTTTGTGTAATTGTGTGTGTACAAGTATAGAAACAGCTAGCGATATCAGTACTGAAACTAGTATGAGTATTGGAAATAACACTGTTAACTGTACTGACAATGGTACATACTGATATTGGGGCAGTTATTGGTATAGGTATTGGAATAACACTAATAAAAAAGTAGTAGTAAAGTTTGAACCAGACAGCAGTTTTAAGGTTTTGACTTTTGATAATTATTCATGCTTTCACAGGTTTTCACATCTATAAAAAGTGAAATATGGGATATTGATATCAAGCATACAGATTGATCTATCATACCATCAAACCAACTGTGCATCAACATCATCCAAAGAGATATGGCTAAGGTCAATAACAAGTTAACATGGCATGGACATTAACACCAAAGTCTGATATTCAGACAAAGAATCACATCAACCACCAGGATAAATCAGAGGTGTGGCTGAAGATTTTAAAGCCATTTGATTATGACTTTGACTGTCTTGCTTTTGGCTGTTATCTTTTCTTAAGTTTATTATCACAGCTTTCCTGTTTTTATTGACATAGTTATAAACCAGACCAGACCACCACCTACACCTGTAGAGGAACAGTTTCTTTCCAGTATTGCTTCAGTTCTACACATGTGGGACCAATTTACCAAAGTCCTCTCTTTCAGGGGGCCTCCGCCTTACAGCTGCCAACAGCTGGCAAACAGATGGACAAAGTTGCAGAAACAATTTTTTTGTTTGTTTTGGGGTAGTAGTATAGGACTTTGTGTTCAGTTCTTGTAATAATTCACCTTTCGAAAGTTCATCTGCTTCTTATAAAGGTCAGAAAACTCCTTTTTTCTCTTTGTGCCATCGTCTTCAGTGTCACCAGCTTCAGGTTCATCATACCTGCAAGGTGCAACCCCAGAGTCAGTCTAAAGGTTTAACCATGCTGAAATTTCTTTTAGAAATCCAACACTTGTCGCATAAGCAGTCCTGCCTTTCGAAGCCATAGCCCTTCTTTCCTCCTTCGTACTGTTCTGACAGGAAACCAAATGGACCCCCGGGCTCTTTGCTCACTGCTTCAGTCTTGGTGCTGAGTGCGGCCGCTCGCGCCAGCTGAGCGCGTACAATTTTGGGATTTTGACAGAAGTCACAGGCGCCGGCACAGTTTGGCGTCTTGTCACCAAAGAAGTTGGAAATGGTGGCGTGGCGACAACTGATGAACAGAGAATAGAGGATAAAACTTAACATGCATTCAAGAATGAGATACTGATCTGAAAGTGAAATTAGATCACACAGAAGTTGGTTTCACATTAGCATGATAAAGCTTCGAAGCACATAGCATCATCACGTCTCTCTATCATACACAGAACATCCAGTGCATCATTGATCTATCAGCTATTGTGTAACCAACCATATGATCAATGTTTTTGTTATGAAATGAGTCAAACAAAGCTCTCTTTACAAATGAAATAGACAGTAATTGCACTGATTACTATTTATGCTCTTGAGTAGGGAAAAAAACACAGTGCCAAGTGCGGTGGTTTGGAGAGAAATCAGACGTAGTTAATAATTTCATGATCTTCTGTCACAATAAAACTCATAACTTCTGATTAAGAATCCAGCTATGTTGCATTTCTTTTTATTTCTATGAAAAGCCTCACAGTTTTGTACCAGAGCTACAAAACTCGGCCTACATGTACCACTTCAACAACAAACTCACTACCTCAGTGGAAACACAGACTCTGCCTGCATAGTCGTGAAAGACAGGGAGGCATTCAGACCAGAGGAGGAGGTGGGGACACACACGGAACAGAGTCACTCCCACAGAGGAGTGTCAGAGAGAAAACAGGGACACTGAAGTGGAGCACTCAGCAGAAAACTACTCTGTGTGTGTGTGTGTGTGAAAACTGTAAAACCAAGAAGAGGATCAACAAAGCAAAGGAGCAAGTAACACAGCAGTTTGAGCTTCATGGAGCATGAAGGTGGACAGAAGAGCCATAAACAGCATTTATTTTTCCCTCTCATCTCACAGAGCAACATCAGTACCTGAGGATTTACCCTGCCACCTAATGCTAATTTAAGCCTGATTACTAATCCCAGGCACCATCTGTGGACTCCACTTCAAGGAAAAAAAAAAAGGAAACTAACAAAAAAACAAAAAGGGAAACCTGACATCGCTGCCCTGAAGGAGTTACCTTCCCTCTCCTTCTCCTCCTCTCAATCATCTCCAACTGGTCTGCTCACTTCTGTTCAGACCGTTTTTGCCCGTCAGTCTGGGCTGGGCTCAGCGTGTGAGAACAACAAACTCTCACAGGTAGGTGCATTTAACTGTCTGTGTGTATTTGTGTTTGAGTCCCTGTGTGTGACAAAGAATGTGAAGAATGTGTTAAAAAATACAGACTTAAAGGGGGCAAGGCTGCAGTAGGAAGCTAAATATGTTACAGTATGTTGCAAAATGCTGATCAGTTAACACTCATAACAGAGCACAAAATGAGTACAGTTCAGACTTTTCTCAGTTACTTAGTTAACTACAATGGTTTAAAGTGGGGATCTGACAAATAAAGCAGACTCCAAAAGAGGACAGAGAGCTGATATGGGCACCGCAAAAGGTGAGTCAACAGTCCATTCATCTAACAAGGTAACTTTCAGCAGGGAAATTAACATCTGCTGTGACGGCATATACTTAACCCATGCGCTTTATTTGCTTCAGCTTGAGTGTACAAAACAGAATAAACAAGTGCAGGGACAACAGCAGCAAGTGTACCCATGTTGCAACCACACTGCCTCATTATTATTAGAGGTGATGGTTTCACCTGATAGACACTCATTTAGCAGCCGTAGTTTGATGGAAACAAAAACAACCTTGAGTGTGCTGTGGTTAAAGCTGTGAGGAGCAGTTAGTTTGTGTGGGTTTTGGCGCCCCCACTCTGGCCAAAGTGGTTCCTCGCACCTTTGCTGAGCTTACTTTCTTCATAAGACTTGTTTGAAAAGGTCCTGTGAAAAGCTTATACCTAGTTGTGGAACAGACTGAAATGAATAATAGTTACTCTTCATTCCCTAGGAAAAAAAACAAGCCCATTGACAAAAAGATTGAGAACTTTGTTTTAAGGTCTGAATCCACTGGTAAGGGACAGGTGTCAGACCAAGTGATTGACTACATTCTATACTTAGAAACCATATTTCACATGGTCAAGGGCAACAACTCTTGATTACATATTTAAGGGCCAAAGACAGCAGCATGAGTTGTTTTTTTTTACAGATGTCCACAAGGGGTGCCAAAATCAGCTTCAACCAAAAGTTTCTCACAGTAGCTTCTAAGTTTTTAATTTTGGGACATTTTCATGAGCAGAAAATTCCAGCATCAAATTATTGCAGTAGTGCATGAAACTGCAGTTCCTCTAGTGTCCACTTCAGACTGGCTCTGAAAGTAAAGTCAATCTTCTTCAAAGTCCATTCAAAATGCTAATATTATATATATATATACAGCGGAAATGAACATGTTTACAACTAAGGGTGGGAATCACCAGTGGCCCCACAATACAATATTATCACAATACTTGGGCCATTATTAGATATCATTGCGATTTTAAGCATTTTGCCATACAGTGAATAGTGCGATACCATATATTGCGATTTGTATAACTTTTTTTGCTGCTTAGCTGATTTAACATTTGTCTTTCTTTAATTTTTGTCTTAATATTCTAATATCCTAATATTTTAATTTCATGTAGCACATCTTGCAAACCTTATACGTCATGTCCATCTCATTTGTGCTCTACTTGCATTCCTAATGTCCCTCCCTGGATGCTGTTTGTTGTACTAACTTTGTGCTGCTGTATGATATCACCTCTGCCATCTTCACTGGACAAACAATTGATTTTATTTTTCCATCATCACAGATTTGACTTCATATAAGCAACTGATTTGAAAAAAAAACGATAATTGGTGGATGAGACGATGCAATATATCACCAGACAAAATAGTGCGATATTATGCTGTAGCGATTTTTTCTCCCACCCCTGTTTATAACCTGCTTTAAAAGTGGTTTTGGTCTCGATAGCTCCTTCCTTCAAACAAACTGTGCAGGGTTGATGATTACACACTGAGTTTTCATTTAAAGGTACTGCGAGGAACTTTTGGTTCATGTCAAATTTGGCAAACTCTGTAGGTAAAGTAAAAGACAGAAGAAAATAAGCCTCATCCTGCTGACTTTGGACAGTCATTTATCATTTATTGTGAATTTTTAAGATAGAGAGTCTAATAACAGGGCGGTTTTTGCAGCTGCTTCACTGATACCTACCCCCTCACACCAGTTTTAAGGATCAAAATTATGACATAAAACTTGTCTATCTAGTCGATCGTGATGTTATTTGCTTTTATTTATCATAATTAGGTATCAATGTGAATTTCAGTCTGTTTCATGAACATTAAAAAGATCCTCACAGGAGCTTATAATAATGCAAAATTAGGAGTGCTCCAGATTGACTGAGTAGTTGGTGCATTGTGGTTGTGGTTGTTTGCCAGCGGCCTAACCCCAGCTCTATAACAGAGTAAATAATATAATATATACTGTATGTACCACCATCTTTATTTAGAGGATAGAAGAGTGGGGTCCAGTGAGAAAGGAGAGGAGATAATGGGGTCAATGTAGGTAGTTGAATCCAGGGCTTCCACTTCAAGGACCGCAACCCTATGGAGCAGGAGCTTTAACTGCTAAGTTAAAGTAATAAAATAGTCTTGTGTACTTTGGTGGATCTCAAAAACCTGTCATTATTGATTGCTGTCTGTTTGAAAACCACTGGAGCTTTAATGGAGAGAAATGTAGTTTCCAGAAGTCAGTTATGGCAGCTCTGCCAGCACAAATAAAATAAAATGAAACAATCAAACCCTGCTCTGTCTATAGCTAAAAAACAACTTCTGTCATCTTGTTTTATGCTTACAAAAACAGACAAATTGTTCTGCTAACAGTGTGAAAGACAATCTTCAAATACTGCAACAATCTGCATCATATCATGCTGTTATTTAATTTATGTTTTGTTATGCTATTCAATCTCACCAGACAAACTGTAGCTGCCAAAAGCAGCAGGCTGCCACACCCAGGGTCATATTTTACAGCAGAGCACACGAACACAGTCACCTGGAAATCATGCATCAACTGAACACTAAAACCGCCCACTGAAAACAGACCACAGCCTGAACACCATCAGCACAATGAATTCCAGCACTGTTTTCTTTTCTTTAAGGACACAGTCATACACAAACCCTGGAGGAAGGGGAGCCTGTTAGTTATCGTGAATACACTAAAACGGCAGGGCATTAAAAAGTCACTCTCTGCTTAATAAACACACTGTACACCAGCATGCTGACCATGAGGACTCTTTTTCACTGTAAACATCCTGCTCTCACTGTAAAACCACAGATAGAAAAAGTGTTGAAAGGACATAGTCATGTCCACAGATTAACAAGCTTGAGTCAACACACCAGAGCAAGCAGCAGGAGTCACATCCTGATGACACTACACTTAGGCCATCAGTTTTAGGACACTCATTATCTTGATTTAGGCCAAGGCTGGCCTGGTACTTCACTATGTCTCTGTCCTGCACTCCTCATATGGTCAAACACACTCCTCAAGGAATATATACATCATATACACAGTGTAGTCTTTTTAGGTTGACAACCCAGCTTTACACCGTCATGAAGCTTGAGCTAGCTACCAGCAACCCTAAGAGGACTCTGTGCTAATTTAGTGGGGAAAAAAAGCTTTGGGATCTAGTAGGGACCCTTCCCAAACATAGGTATCATATGAAACACAAAGACCAGCAAAAGGACATAATAGTAGGTAAAGCAGGTTTAAGAGCACATGTATTGACAAGAACGTGGCTGCTCGGAGACCACAGAGCATTGCCCAGTGTACCAAAATATGACTTGGTCGTGACAAAGGTTGAGGTTTAACTTCAGATAATACAAAAGTATATTCTGCCCAGGTCCTAAACCTGGGTGGAGCTTTTGTTAGAATCAGTAGAAAGCATAAGAAATAAAATAATAGAAATAGAAGTAGAAATAACATATCTGTATCAGCCAGTAAAAGATTAAAAGTTATTGACTGTATCAACAGACAAGAAAAATTCCCCCCAATATGTTTGGCCAGTAAGAAGATGGATCAGTTATTCACATGTGCCAACAGCCAACTTTAACATGTCAGCTGTACAAAAGTATTTTGAAGCGTACAAACATACAAAAAATACCAATTTAAAATGCCTCTGTAGCAGGTGTTGAGACAAAACAACCAATGAACTTCATCAATTTAAAAGTGCATCTCAAGAGCTGAACGGCATCAAGAGTTCAGCGAGAATCAATGGGCTGCTACTTCCTCAGTCACTAGTCCCATTAATGCACATCTGCATTTAACCTTTGCTTTTCTGTATTTTGTATTTTAAACTGTCATATTCTTTAAGTGCATCTTCTTTGAACCACTTCCAAAAAGTCTCCACCTCCTCTCTGCCCATGCAGGATGGACGCAAAAGAGGAAACGCTGACCATCCTGAACAGAATCTGGGTCAAGCTGCAGGGTCTGCCCGACGCCAACCCTATAGAGCTTGGAGCTTTCTCCATCGTCTTAATCTTTATTTGTAAGTCTCTCCTCTTCATTCCTATTTTATCTCTATTTTTATGAAAGTGAGCTTGTTAAAATGCTGTTTTTACTTCTGCAGTGGTGGTTGTGCTCATGGTGACACTGACCTGTGCAACCTGTGGATGCTGCTGCTGCTGCTGTCGCAAGACCAAGACAAAAGGATCAAACATTTAAGGCTTTATTTCAGCAGCTCTATCATGCAATCTTACACTCCTCGTGAATGCGTCAGTCCTGTCACAAAGAGACAGACATGTGAGACGTTTCAGCAAGAGATCAAGTCTCATTCAGGGCGTGTTGAATGCAGTTAAGGAAGCCCAGCCTTTTAACAACAAACTCAGGAGGATGTCCTGACTCGCTGCCAAACACATTCGCTAAAGATGTTTGGGTTTTCATGAGGATCTACATTCCTTAGGGGAGTCCTTACAGGTGCCTTTCAGGGTTACAACAATGCCTTTGTCCAGAGAAAGGGTCAACCCGAAGCATGAACACAAACAATGTGTGGACTGTTTTACAAAAACACTAAGTTGCACAGAGGGACAAAATGAGGTTGTTCTATTTGTGTTTTTCTAAAGTTAAAAATGTGTCATCCTTGTGGAGTCAGAATGTGTGAAGTTGGATAAGTATAGATATAGTCTGCCCCCTGCTGTGCACAGATAGGTCTGTCCTTTCAAATGTTCCTAAGGCACAGCATGTACAGTATGAAGCAAAAATATATATTTACTGTCTAAAATTGCCTGTTGTCTGTGTGCAAAGAGATGTGGATCCAATCTAATTAAGAGACCTATGATACTCATTTTGACCTGTAAATGTGTCAGTCTTGGACACCTACAGAGCAGCTTTATGAATACTTTTGCATGACATGCTTTATCAGGATTTTTTTTTTTTTGTCTACAAACACTACATTCATATGTGCTGGATAAGAGGTACCACTCTTTCAACACAAGGGGCAACAGACCAAAGCCACAAGATTACCCAAACATCTGAATGTGTCATAACAAGGTTTGGTAGTAACATCCAACATTATAACATTATATTTCAGTATCAAAATACAGCTCAGTATAATAGGCCAAATATGCCTAAGACATTTTCACAAACACAGATTCTATTCACACAGATTGTTAAAACTCACTGAATTATGCCAAAGGCAGTGATTATTTGGAGAGATTTAGTTTGAATGAGATGATCATTGCAACATCATGGAGTATAGACAGCTTCATTGGCAAACACGACTCCTGTGGTGCTATTTGCACCAGCACGGCAGAGTAAAGTAGAGATAGGAAGAAGAAACACACCATGAGACGTGAGTCCTTGAATTTCTTCAACAATTAGAGTCTGTTTAAATAATGGCAAGTTAGCTACTAGCTGGTGGAAAAGGTGGGGTGTCAGTGTCCCAGCTTCACCAGCTTCTTCTGAGGTGCTACAGTAATCAGTACGTTGGCACCCATTGTGTTCTTCACTTTTGAATGATGGGAGTAGATGAAGACATCACATCCATCTTTTTTACACTGTCACTTCTCAGAGCACATTACTTACCCTTCTTGCTCACAGAACTTCACCATCGCCTCAAAGTCTGTAATGGCTGCTTTGTCTGTCTCCTTTGCTTTGCCACGTTTCTCCTGTTAAAAAAATTTAAAAAAAGAGAGAGAGAGATGCAATAAATAACCACCCAAGTGTTATTTACAGGTGCCTCTGACCCTAACCCTCAGATGTGATTTTGCTAACCTGTTTGCGCCCGATTTCCTGGCGAATGAGGAAGTTAAGCTGCTCCTTGTCTCTCTGGGAGTAGTATGTGCGACAGGAGGAGGGCAGCCCATCTCTCCCAGCTCGCCCGGACTCTTGGTAGTAACTGGCCAGTGACTTTGCCAGGTTCCAGTGAGCTACAAACCTATGAGATGAGCCAAAATATTAACTTAATTAGAGTGTGACTCTGTGGTTAATGCTGCATCATAATGGAAGTCTGTTTCCTCACCGGACGTTGGCCTTGTCTACTCCCATACCAAAGCTTATAGTAGCTACAATCACCAACACCTTCCCTGCCATCCATTCATTCTGCACCTCTGTACGCTCTCCTGCCTTCAGACCTTCACAATAACAGCACACAAAATACACTTGAGCACAGAGCATTTTTAAATTTTTACACACATACTATGAAGGATAGAAACAGTCCCACCTGCATGATATGCTTTAGATAAGACCCCAAGTTTGGTGAGCTGGTAGGCCACCGTTTCACAGCCCTCTCTGGTGCGACAGTACACAATCCCACATGCCTGGTCAGAGACGTTAAAGGAATTAGGGTTATTCATAGCTGACTTTGATTTGATGTACACTGATTAGTTTTTGCCTTTGTGATAAGTGATTGTGCAAGAGTTCAACAGAGTAATAGGGTCACTTTTGAGAAAAAGAAAACATCTGTGATTTGAAGAATGAATAAAGTCATGAAATTATGAGGAAAAAGACTTCATACAATGATTATAAAGTTTAAGAGGAAGTTGTAACAAAATGGCAATAAATGGGAAAAATTACATATTAAATAGCTGACTTTCAACTGCCTTTCTTCTACGTGGACTGAATTTTTATTTGACAATCTCTTTAGAGTTGAAGTTTTTAAGCTTAAACTGATGTTTAACTTTAAAAATGGCTGTCTTGTAATTATAATTTTCAGGTATTGATCCATAACTGACTGTAATGTCTATATCTGTGTCAGTGGCCTCTGGGAAGCTCCATCTATTTAAATTGGCTATGTATGTCTAAACATGTGTAACATTAGACGTCAGAAGTTTAATTTAGTTGGGGTTGAATATTGGAAGATGTTGGCTCTGACTAAAACCACACAGTGTGTCTTTGTTTTAATGTTAAATGTCCTGTTTCCACAATATTCACTTTTGGAGTTGAATCTGATTGAATGGACCCTTTAGAGAAGTACATTCATAAAGATTAGATTTTACCTGGGTGCTAGGTTTTTTACAATCTGGTCATTAAAGGGATATTCTGGCGTAAAATTAATTTAGGGTCAAACACACTGTGACACTGAGTTAGACACCCCCTCGAGAGATTAATGTTGCTGATTGCTTGTTTTTCTTTTTCAGTTATACCAACTTTAGTAACAACTGCACAATAGCAATACACAGCGGTCTGAGGAGCCGCACACAAACCTGAACCAAAATGCCACTGTATAGCCACAAATAATGCTCAGAACAGCACCTAACTTCATCAACAGTACATAAAGGGTCCCAGCCATCATACTAGCCATCAAACATCCTTTTAACTTTGCCTGATTCCTTTAGCAAAGAGACTCAACTCAACTCACCTACTCTCTTCCACCAGCTGCTTGTTTGTAAAGAGACCTAAGGCCAGTCCATTACAGACAGCTGCAGGGTGACGCAGCTTAAGGAAGAACATTTATGATCATTTCTTCATGGAAATGCAATCAAACCGAGACGCTAACGCAGAAGAACTACCGAGTCTGCAGGTCCAAAATGATAAATGTGGTGATTATTACTTTAAGGAAATGATAAAGTTATGATCATAAATGTTCTTCCTTGAGCTGTGTCACCCCGCTGTTGTCTGTAATGGACTGGCCTGAGGTCTCACTACAAACAAGCAGTTGCTGGAAGTGAGTAGGTAAGTTGTGTTTACTCTATTTGCTAAAGAAACCAGGCAAAGTTAAAAGGATGTTTGATGGCTAGTACTATGGCTGGGACCCTATATGTACTGTTGATGATGTACTGTTAGGTGCTTTTCTGAGCATTATTTGTGGCTATAGAGTGGGGATTTGGTTCAGGTTTATGTGTGGCTCCTCAGACCACTGTGTATTACTACAGTGTGGTCGTTACCAAAGTTGGTATAACTAGAGAAGCAAGCGGTTGGCAACATTCATCTCTCGAGGGGGTGTCTAACTCGGTGTCATGGTGTGTTTGTCCCTAAATTAATTTTATGCCGGAATATCAAGTGGAGTAAAACTGATCATTAAATTAGTCCTTCTGTTTCATTGTTTGTTTACTAAAAAGCTTTGAAGTTCTCTCCTGACAAAAACCAGTGTAGAAATATGTCTGCCTTTTCTTTCTTTTCACTAAATCTTTGCGATTCCATTTGTGATACTAACTTTACTTTGGTGGTTTTGTTTCACTTTCATGTGTTCAGATTTCCAAAAAAAAAGATATTTATAACAGTTTCTAACACACACACACACACACACACACACACACACACACACACACACACACACACACACACACACACACACACGTACTTTCTTTTCCATGTGCCTGTCTTTTCATCTTCATCTAATAAGGTTCTTAAATTTTTGCAATAAGGATGGCATCCTCTACTACAGGCACTAGTAATTCAACTGTTTCAAGGGACTTATGCACAACAACAACTGATCTCTAAATGTCTCCTCTGTCTTCCCATTGGCAAGTCTCACTCAGCCACCCAGTAATAAACAAAAGGGTTTCTGAGCTACTGTAGAAAACATGGCAGCCTTGAGAGTGAGGACCCACTACTCCTAATATATAAATGACTTTTTCTAAGTCACCAGAAACTAAATAATAATAATGATATTTCCATTTAATACTAACTAATTTAAACGTGCTTCTGTGGAACAAATTTCATTTTCTTGGAAAAAGTGCTGCTAAATTCTACTCAGTGTACCTTTAACTAGTATGTCCAGAAAATTGTCAATTTAATAAACTGAATATATTTAGGACAAACTTGAAAATAATGTTTTGTTTTGTGTGTCACACAGAACAAGTCTACCTACCTGTCCATTGGAGCTGCTGTCTAGTGCAAGTGTCTTCTTTATAAAAGCATGAAGGTGAGCGTAGGGGTTTGGCAGCAACTCCCTGAAGATCACATCATAGTGCAGGTTACTACGGAAGACCGGGGTGGAAAAAGACAGTGGGGACTGCAGCCTCAGGGACTTTACAATGTCTTCCTGTACATTCTTTGGTGCTGTGGCGGTCAAGGCCAAACAGGGAACCCCTGGACAGTGGGCCCGCAGCTCTCCCAGTTTGAGGTAATCCGGCCTGAAGTCATGTCCCCACTGGGAGACACAATGAGCCTCATCCACAGCCAGGTAAGACAAGAGGCCACGGATACACAGGTCTGTAAGGCAGGGCTGGAAAGAGGGAGAGGCCACCATTTCTGGAGTGATGTAGAGGAGCTTCAGCTTGGGACTCCTACTCCCTAAATCAGCCAGGATGAGGCGGCGCTCACCTGCTGGAAGTTTGGAGTTAATGGAGCAGGCAGGGATGTTCAGACTCTTCAGACGGTCTACCTGGTCCTAAGAAGGAACATCAGATGGAATTAACACATGAGTGCAACTGGCTGGAGTGTTTGTGTTGCAGCCGTGAACTCAAAGACTGACCTGAATGAGAGCGATTAAAGGGGATATAACCAGAGTGATTCCCTGAGCCAGGACTGCAGGCAGCTGGTAGCAGAGGGACTTCCCTGCTCCGGTAGGCATGCATACAAACACATCCCTATCACCTGCAACAGGACAAGCGTGTCACAGTGGGATTTTTAGTCGCGCTTGGTCTGTAAGAACTACCCAGTGAGGGAGAGTTCAAACTAAACCTCATTAACAGATAATAGCGAAAAGGTCAGTGAAGCTCTCTTGTTGCTGTGGGCCAACGTCAGTTGGTTAGCATAACCTCAGTTAAAGTATAATAGCACAAATAAACAGTTTTACCGTCTTACCTCTGATGACCGCTTTGACAACATCTTCCTGTAGTTTAGACCGAAATTTCTCGAAACCAAAGTGGCTTTTCAAATGCTGTTTCAAACTTGTCATGGTCTTTCTCTCATTACAGAACTCATTAGCCTCTCTTCTGAAGACGTACGTCGCACGCCGATGTCGTCATCACGTTCCTGTAAACTGAAAATAAGCCTAATTTGCGTCCAACTACTTATGAAGAGAGACACATTTGTGATTTCGGACACCCAAGGGCAGTTTAAAATCTAAAGTTTGATTTATATTGCTCTCGTAATTTACTTAAGTTTTCTTTTTTTTTTTTTTGTTCTGTTTTGTTTTGTTTTGTTTTGTTGACGTTTTGTTGACGTTAGTGGGGTGTTACCATAGTAGCTATGTATACAGCCTATAGGTGTTGCCAGTTACAATAACTTACGTCAGAAGATAAGGTAAAGGAACTGAAATTAAACAGGAGAAATAATAAGCCGATAAAAAGGTTCAATTTTATAAAGTAATAAATTTGATTTTAGATTGTTAAATCTTGGAAATTCCATAGGCTATAAATAGGCTTGAGCATATGGGGTGCCGTTTGTAAAGCAGCCCATTATAAAAAACAACAGCAAGATTTGGTCACATTTAGCTTCGAACAGCATTTAAAAAAGTGATGTGAATTTTCGGCAGTCATTTTTTTGCACATTTACAACAACATTTAAATACTAAAACTAAATGTTAAATGTTAAATCTAAATGCTAAATCTAAATGTTAAATATATATGTTTAATCTAAATGTTAAATCTAAATCTAAATGTTAAATATAAATCTAAATGTTAAATCTAAACGTGTTGGGCGAAACTAAATATTTAGCTAATATGCAAATTCACGGTCGGAAACCGGAAGTGCCAAAATAAAAGCTCAAGACGGTCATATTGATGATTCTTGTGTCGAAGAAAACGAATTAAAACCAATTTAAGGGGGGAACAATTACTTGGGGTGACGTTTCGTGTTAATAACTACGTACAATAGCAACAGCAACAACAAAAACTTTATTAGAAAGACTCGAGTTTTCAGTGTCGCTTCTCCGTGTGGCGCGGACACTATACGAACACACGCACACACACATGCAGGTGCACTCATGATACTGCTGCTGTCCGCCACAAAGGAGCAGTAGGTAGGTAGGTAGGTATGTAGTTGTAGGTAGTTATTAACACGAAACGTCACCCCAAGTAATTGTTCCCCCCTTAAATTGGTTTTAATTCGTTTTCTTCGACACAAGAATCATCAATATGACCTTCTGGAGCTTTTATTTTGGCACTTCCGGTTTCCGACCGTGAATTTGCATATTAGCTAGTTTCGCCCAACACATTTAGATTTAACATTTAACATTTAGATTTAGATTTAACATTTAGATTAAACATATATATTTAACATTTATATTTAGCATTTAGATTTAACATTTAACATTTAGTTTTAGTATTTAAATGTTGTTGTAAATGTGCAAAAAAAATGACTACCGAAAATTTACATCACTTTTTTAAATGCTGTTTGAAGCTAAATGTGACCAAATCTTGCTGTTGTTTTTATAATGGGCTGCTTTACAAACGGCACCCCATATGAGCACTACTTCTGTTTTTCTCTTACGTTACATTTTGAAGATAATTATCAGAAGTATTCCCAGAAATTACACATGTTGAAGGAGAATCACTTCATTTTACAGCCGTACAGTGTTAAAAACTTGACAAAAAATCCCTTTTGAGAAAGGATGCCACCTTATACCTTTGAGGGAAGATCAATAAACAAGGGTAGGCTAATAATCAAACCAATCTGACTGTCGAGAGGTTAGAGTTCACTGACCCTTCTGGTTTGAAAAAAATAAAAAACCTAGATCGATAAATTCTTTCCGGCACCCTGTGGCTGTCAACAGCCATTTGATGATAAAACTAGAGACTAATTTGGATATAGCTTTTTTTTTACTGCAGCAAATGTGCTGAATTTTTTTTTCTAAGCTTAATTTGACATTTTATTTGAAAACATGAATTCAAAATTTTCACCAGGTCAATAATAGAGCCAGGACAAATTTTGCGCCTCTAATTTCCCCCAGTGCAGTTAAAAGCCACTTTTTTTTTGTCTGCTGTAAAATTATATTGGATTAATATTTTTTTCAGATTTTTTTCATACATCTCTTATTTTACTTCTGCCCTGTTCAAAACTACCAAATGTTTCATTGAAATCCTTTTTTTCTAACCCTTTAAGTGCCAATTTAAGACAAAAAGTCACTAATATGACAACAAATTTAAGGAAAACGACCCATTTTTTTTATAAAACATAATCAGAAACTGGTAATCTCTTGCAGGGTATTAAAGTCTTGAATATGTCAGAGATTAGTAATATCATTGGCTTTGATGCATTTCAATTTTTCCTGTAGCATCAGATTTAATGAAAAACTGCCTTTGGCGCCTCCCAGTGGCCCAATCTACTTTGTCTGTTGTAAACATATTGGATTAATATTTTTTTTAGATATTTTTTTCATACATCTCTTATTTTACTTCCACCCTGTTCAAAACTAGCAAATGTTTCATTAAAATACAAATTTTAACCCTTTAAGGGCCCATTTAAGACATAAAGTCACTTATAAAGCAAAATAAAATGGAAGGAAATGACCTATTTTTTTTATTCAGTGTGTGTGTGTGTTTGTGTGCACGTGCGTGCATGTGTGCACGTGCACATGCGTGTGTGTGTGTTTGCGCGCGCGCGCGCCTGCATGAGACAGATGGGTCTAAAAAAGTTAAAAAAAAAACATGCTCTCAGATCAAAGTCTAATACAGCAGATCAAAAGCACACAAGCATCAAAGTTGTTTATGCACCTGCTGTCTGGCCTTTTGATCTCCGTGGGCTCCACCCAAGGCCCCACCCCTGCACCTTACAACTAAAAGAGTATCATGATCATTTTCTCACATATTCTCGTGGGAAGAGCCAGAGAAACACCATGAAGAGACGCTTTAGTGATTCAGAGGCCCTTGCAATGGTCCTGGAGGCCGAAGACATGGAGTCTGACCCCGCCGTGGATCCATCATCTTCTGATTCAGAAGCCACCACCACAGCTTCAGAATCGGATCCCGATCTTTTCCCGCCGCCCTTGTCTTCTTCTTCTACATCTTCCACGGAAACAGAGGAGGAGACAGAGACTACACTTGACCACTCTGGATGGAAGGGGAGAAATGGACCAAGCGAGACGGGTTGTTTTGGAGTTGCTGGAGGACATGACTGGGATCACGGTGACCTGTGATAACTTCTTCACTTCTTACCAACTCGGCCAGGAGCTGCTGAGGACAAAAGTCACCATGGTTGGGACAATCAGAAAAAACAAAGCTGAGCTCCCACCCCAACTCCTGAATTTAAAAGGCCGAGATGTCCTCTCCTCAGTCTTTGCATTCACCAGCAACACAACAGCGGTCAGCTACATGCCAAAGGGGAAGAATGTGCTCCTCATAAGCACCAAGCATCGACAGCCAGCAGTGGAAGAGGGCCCAAAGAAGAAACCCAAAATGATCACAGACTACAATCACTGCAAGGGGGCTGTAGATACTCCGGACCAGGTATGTTTCTTTCTTTTTTTTTTTTCAATTAGTTGTAAGAGATGAATTTAGAAGATGTATTTTGTGGTCTGATAATATTTGCATGATTATTTTCACCGTCATGTGAGGGTTTAGAATAAAGAATCATTCGGAACTCTTTTGTGATTTATTTCTTATTTTATCTTTACAGCTCATCCACAACTTCAGCTGCCAGAGGAGAAGCAGGCGGTGGCCACGGACTTTGTTTTTCAACATGCTGGACATTTCAGCTTATAATGCATACATCATCTTCACCCATGTGGATTCCTCCTGGAACGAGGGAAAGTGAGCCAGGAGGAGGCTGTTCCTTCAGGACCTGGCAAGTGCTTTGACGGCCCCTGTGATAATAAGGAGACAAACCCTGCCTCGTACACCTCAATCTTCGGCCGTTGTGAAAGAGATGCAGGCTACTGCACATGGCTCTGCCGCTTTCCAGGCAGAGCACAGAGAGGAAGAGCTACCCCGCAACCTCCCTGAAGTGAAGAGGAAAACATGCAAGATGTGCACAAACAGAACCATCAGCACTTGTGTGAGCTGCGGGCATCCGATTTGCAAAAAACACCGAGCACCGTTCTCCTGCCAGTCCTGCATCCAAAAATGAGCTCATATTGTTTGTTTTTGTTTATGAGAGAATGTCTCGCACATTACTACCACCTGCTGTTAGTGAAAGGGAATGCACTTATAGAATCACTTCATCAATGCAGTTTTTATGAAAATCTGATGTTACACAAAAATGTACCAAACATTCTGCTGTTTCTAATCCTCCACAGCTTCAGATTATGTTTTATGAAAAAATAGGTCATTTTCCTTCAATTTTTTGCTATATTTGTGACTTTATGTCTTAAATTGGCACTTAAAGGGTTAAAAAAAAACTTATTTTTAATGAAACATTTGCTAGTTTTGAACAGGGTAGAAGTAAAATAAGAGATGTATGAAAAAAATCTGAAAAAAAAAAAAAAATATTCAATATGATTTTACAGCACCCAAATGTATGATGCTACAGAAAAACTTTAATAGCATCATAGTCAATGATATTACTAAACTCTGACATATTCAAGACTTTAATACCCTGCAAGAGATTACCAGTTTCTTGTCTTAAATTGGCACTTAAAGGGTTAAAAAAATTGTTTTCAGTGAAACATTTGCTAGTTCTAAACAGGGCAGAAGTAAAATAAGAGATGTTTGAAAAAAAATCTGAAAAAAATATTAATCCAATATGATTTCACAGCAGACAAAAAAAGTGGCTTTTACAGCCACTTAGGGACTGTAGAGGGAAGTGTTTTATGAAATCTGATGCTACAGAAAAATTTTAATAGCATCATAGTCAATTATATTACTAAACTCTGACATATTCAAGAATTTAATATCCTGCAAAAGATTACCAGTTTATGATTATGTTTTATAAAAAAATGGGTCATTTTCCTTAAATTTTTTGCCGTATTAGTGACTTTTTGTCTTAAATTGGCACTTAAAGGGTTAAAAAAAATGTTTTCAATGAAACATTTGCTAGTTTTGAATAGGGCAGAAGTAAAATAAGAGATGAATGAAAAAAAATCTGAAAAAAATATTAATCCAATATGATTTTACAGCAGACAAAAAAGTGGCTTTTAACAGTCACCGGGGGACTTCAGAGGAAGTTTTTTTGAAGGTGCCGGAAGGGTTGAATCAAGTCTTTTATCTAAAATAAAATGATTAAAATGAATGACTGAAAAAGAAGAGTAACAGAAAGTTTAAACAGATAATACAAGAGGATTAATAGCAATACAGAATTGACATAGATTGTAAATGTGGAGAATGTGATGGAAAGAAACGCATGTTTCAAAGAAAAAAATATGTGAATATATTTTTCTGTATGATGTAATCTTTTTGACAAAGCAGGTTCAAATATTCTGCATCTAGTTGTTGTTGTGTCAGTTCTGTATTTGTCAAAATCAGCAACTGTTTTCCAATGGAAAAGGTGAAGGGCAGGTGAAAGGCTGATGAATTTCACTGCATGTTTTTCACACAAATGTCACAAAACTCTTCTTGAATTTCTTCTTGAAAGTTCTGCCTTTTTTTCCTCAGACAAAAGTCATTATAGATAGGAGCGATAAATACAGTTATGACAAATATACAACACTCTTAATCAAAAATTACCATACATAAGCATGTATAATATCCATACCACTCAGCAAATTTGAGTAAATCAAACATTGACCAAACTGTTACATAAAAGCATGAGTAACTATCTCTTTAGAAGCTGATTTTTTTACATCTTAAAGAAAAAAAAAAGATTTCAAATCAAGGCAATTATTCTCTGTTTGTTAGATATACTTTGGCAGAGGCTGGGACTATATGTTTTGTGCTCTATTCTAGTTTTTCTTTATAAATCTATGTCATTCAGTGTCGTGGTGTCACTTTACAGGTTTGTCATTACATCTGTGACCATGATTAAATTGCCATGTTTGGGGTGCATTTATCAGAGCAAAACATGTGAAGTGCTACAGCCTCAATAAAAGGAAAGCTGTTATTTTATTTTCTTTCTCAATCATTCTGCTGTTTTTCATCTCGTTCCTCAAAATGTCCTGCTGAACTCAATGACTACAGACCAGTGGCCCTCACTTCACACATCATGAAAACCCTGGAGCAGCTGATTCTACGCCTTTTGAGGTCTGAGGTCAAGACAAACTAGACTCCCTGCAGTTTGCATACAAGGAACACATTAGAGTGGATGATGCTGTCCTCTACATGCTTCACCATGCCCTGTCTCATCTGAAGGAACCTGGGGTTTGTGTGAGGTTCATGTTCTTTGACTTTTCAAGTGCATTCAACTCCATCCAACCCACCATACTCAAAGACAAGCTCACAGAGATGGGAGTGGATCCTTCCTGTGTTTCCTGGATCACAGATTACCTGACAGGAAGGCCACAGTTTGTCAGGCTGGGGAACTGTGTTTCTGGGACATTAAGGAGCAGTACAGGGGCTCCACAAGGGACAGTGCTGGTGCCACTCCTGTTCACACTGTATACGTCAGACTTCAAATACAGCACTGAGTCCTGCCACATCCAGAAATACTCAGATGACACCGCTTTTGTGACATGTATCAGAAATGGTCAAGAAGCTGAATACAGAGATCTAATAGGAGCCTTCAGTGACTGGAGTCACAAAAACTGCCTCCTCCTCAACACCTCAAAGACAAAGGAGATGGTCATAGACTTCTGTAGATCCAAACCCCTTCTTCAGCCAGTGAACACCTGTAGAGTGGACATCAAAGTGGTGACATCATATAAATACCTAGGTGTACATCTGAATAATAAGTTGGATTGGTCTAAGAATAGACATCTGTAGTAAGATGCTTCAGATGTTTTATCAGTCTGTTGTGGCAAGTGTTCTGTTCTACACTGCAGTCTGCTGGGGAGGAAGCATCAAACACAAAGTTGCAAGACGTCTTAACAAACTGGTGAAAAAGGCTGGCTCTGTGGTAGGACTCAAGCTGGACTCAGTGGAGGATGTGGTGGAGAGATCTACACTGAGGAAGGTGGAGACTATTCTCAAGAACATGGGTCACCCACTTCACAACAAAGGGCAAATGGTGGTGGACGGCTCCTCCCTCTTCGCTGCAGGACAGAAAGATTCAGAAGATCTTTTGTACCAACAGCCATCAGGCTTTATAACTCTTATGTAAATAATAGATACGTTTTATAGACATATTACGTGAGACAACAGACAATTGAATTTTCCTTCGGGGATCAATAAAGTTCTTCTTATCTTATCAATAATAAAATGGCTTTAAAAGAACAGCTAAGTTTTTCTCTGATGTCTGCAGACCTTCACAAAGGGAATTATGCATTTTTTCCCCATGCGTCAATCTCTGAGCGCCACAGTGCCGCTCTGGCTCTGATGAACTTTGAGAATTCAGTCTCGCTGCCTTTAGACAGACTGATGCTGTCTTTGCAGATGAAGAACACATCCATGCCGAGGAAAAAGGCGTTACCAGCACTCACAATCACCTCCTCACTTTTCAGTGCTTTAAGAGCAGAGGCTGCATCGACAACTGTGTCAATGCTTTTTCCTGCAAATCCAATTTGGCTAACAATCTTACTTACCCCTAAAGCCACTTCTACCTGACTTGTCTCTATTTTGACTGTCTGACTGGTAACCTCCTCCAGGCAATCCTGGAGATGCTGTGCATCCTCAATGAACTTCTGGATGATTTTATTGACTTTTTTTTTGTTCTGTATAGTTCATGCCGACCTCTGTTGCTGTGGTAAGTATGTTGTTGACTGCACTGGTAATGCTACATGCTATACCACCAATCATGAGACTTAGAGACACCCCAGCTGTGAGAGGAATCAATACCAAACCGATAATGGAAAGCACACCGGTAATGGAAAGCACACCTTTAAGGTCTTAAGGAATTGCAGCATCTTGGGCTGCCGCTTGGAGAACTCTCTAATAAAGCCAGAGCATGAAACTCCCTGGAACAAGAACACCAGCCTGAAGTCTGGGTCCAGTCTGACGAAGAAGGAAAGGATGTTAAATTTCCAAAACCAAGGCCTAAATGACTCCAACACACAGGCTTTTGCTGTCTAAACCACACAAGTCACAGAACAACAATGAAATAACTGGTGAAAGGAAACATGCCTCATACTGAAAGGAAATTAAAAAATACAACCTTACTAAAGAAAAACTACACTTGTTATACAGCTGTGAAAAAAGTTCAAGAGTAGAATTTATTGGATTGCAGGTAAACACTTGTACTGAATAAGGTGATCATTTAAATGCACAAATTCAAAGAACCTGTCACAATTGCCCTTAACAAACAACATCTGTAATACTTACCTAATGTCAATGAGATGACTGATATGACAAAGCATTTTTTGTACGTCATCATCAGACAGTGTTGCATCGAGGTTGACAACAATATGTGTTGGCTTTCTTAAAGAGAGATGACTGGAAAAAAAATCAAGAAAATTCGTTATGCAACTCATACTCCAGAAAGTGAATTCTGTGAGTAAAATGTTGCCAAGATAATTTTGCATTAAAGTCAATGGGACGAACCAGAAAAAAGAGCAATTTTTTTTTATTTTTTCAAACGTCTACTGTTCGGATGTTTTCTTTATATAAATGAAAATAAAATATTTGAAAAAAGGAATGTTTGCTGTAGGTGTGCTCCTTTTAGTATATAATATCACAATGATACTGGTATTAATTATTTAAGATCTCTGAAGAATCTCATCATAATGTACTCTCACCAGCAGAGGGCCCCGTGGGCCGTGCCCTTTAACATTTCCCAGAGGGAACTTTCTGGTTTAAATGTGCGGTACTAATTCTAAATTTGATTGTAGCTGTGCGCTCAAAAACGTTGGGACATTCTTTTTGGAACTCATGGATACCACTTCCACTGGTCTAAAGAGGAGAGGGACAGTATCCCTGATGGTGATGTAGGGACCCATAAATGCTGACATTGGGGAAGGGGCCATCAATGCTAAACATTAAAACTCTGGGTTCTACAGATATTACAACAGCATGGCTCAGCAGGAGAACAGTCCAGGAGCTAAACAGACCTGCCTGATATGTCACCAATGGAAAACATTTGGCGTTTCATCAAATCCTAAACTGTTAATCATTTTTATGGACATTTTACACATAGCTGTCACTAGTACTTCTTTTTGAATCCATTCTTGGTTTTGTTTTGTTTTTTTGCACCCAAATTTTACATCTCTTGTTGCTGATTCCTCATTTGTGACTCTAGATAACTTATCAGTGAGCATACTGAATTTCTAGTTAGTTAGTTAGTAACCTTTATTTAACCAGGAAATAAACCCATTGAGATTCAGAATCTCTTTTACAAAGGAGTCCTGGCCAGGATAGCAGCACAAGAAGTTCCACATAAAGAAAAAAATAAAAAAAATAAAAAAAATAAAAAAAACACACGCAGAAACACAAAACAGTTACAGTATGCAAAACACAACAATAAATCAGCATTCAGTAAGAAGACATGTGCATTCAGTACTCAAAAACTCCTTAATTCTAGTTTTAAAATGTGCCACACTTGGCAGATAATCCAATTTAAAATAACCCTGTAATTTACACCAGGAGGAGGGTGCAAAAGCCTTGAAAGCGCTTTCACCAAAAACCGTCCTTGTCAGAGGAATAGCGTACATGATCTGTCCATCACACCGGAGATTACACACTGGTGATTTTGGGAGTTAAGAGGGAACATAGGTAAGAGGGCAAGTCACCTAGAATGGCCTTGTAAAGAAAGATATACCAATGTTCCAATTTACGATTTTGCAGAGAGGACCAACCAACACTCTCATGTAAGTTGCAATGATGAGTACGAAAATCTAAGCCAGTTACAAATCTTACTGCCGCATGATACACTAAATCCAGCATTTTTAAAGAAGAGAGATTTGCATGCATGTATAAGAAGTCACCATAATCAAGTACGGATAAAAATGTTGCCTGTATAAGCCTTTTTCTTGCACCAAAGGAGAAACAACCCTTGTTTCTATAGAAGAAACCCAGTTTCACCCAGAGTTTCTTTGTAAGACATTCAATATGGTGCCTAAAGGACAAATTTCTTCCAAGTGAAATCCCAGGTATTTGTAGACAGAAACTTGTTCAACTAATTTCTCATTTATAGTAACAATCTGACAGACATCATCTGATTTCAATGATTTTGAAAAGCACATCATTTTAGTCTTGTCAGGATTTAATTGATAGAGATTTTTCTGAATAATATTAAAAGCAGACTGCAGATATTCTGTTGCACTAGCTAATGATGGAGCTGAGCAATACAAAACGGTGTCATCTACATAAAAATGGAAATTGGCATCAGTTACATTTTGACATAATACATTAATATAAATAGTAAATAAAATAGGACCCAGTATGGACCCCTGAGGGACACCGTTTCGAATAGACAAGGAGTTGGAACACAAACCATCAACCTGAACCCTTTGTGTTCTGCCACTCAAGTAGTTACCAAACCATTTCACGGCATTAGAAGACACTCCAATATCCTCCAATCTCTGGGACAAGACAGAGTGGTCGACCGTGTCAAAAGCCTTTGACAGATCTAGGAACAAAGCAACACAATATTCTTTAGAGTCAATAGAACAAATGAAATCATTTAACACTTTCATCATGGCAGTGACTGTGCTGTGATTCATTTAAAATGCTATTTGATGTCAAGAAATTTTTCAGCTGATCACTTATAAGCCCTTCCAAGACCTTGGCCAAAACAGGTAATTTGGATATTGGCCTATAATTATTGGGATTAGACCGGTCACCACCCGTTAGTAAAGGAGTGACATATGCTGACTTCCAAATGCTAGGTATTATCCCAGTTTCTATTGTCCGATTGGAAACATAAGTCAGGGGGTCTGCAATATGCTCAGCAGCAAGTTTTAAAAAGAAAGGACCCAACCCATCAGGACTGGGGGATTTCTTGGCATTTAACCTTAAGAGAGCATCTTAAACCTCATCTCTAGACAAAGGGGCAAGATCAAAATTAAAAGGTAGATTTTCCCTGGACAATAAGTGATCCTGTTGACTCACCACTTGTGGTATGTCCTGCTCAAACAACAACCCAGAAGATATAAAGTGCTGGTTCAAAGATTCTAGCATACTTTTCTTGTCTGTAATGGTCACATCATTCAACTTTAATGTATTTGGCAGCACAGTATCCTTTGACCCTGAAGACAGTGATTTAATCATTTTCCAGAATTTAGAAGAGTTGTTTGCACTGTCACAAATTTCATTAAGATAAAAATCGGCTTTGGCTTTACGTATCTGAGAGACACACTTGTTCCTCGGGTGCCTAAAAAGTTGCCAGTCTGAGCTATTTTTGGATTTTCTTGCAGTTGCCCAGGCAAGATCTCGTTTATGAATTAAATCAAACAGTTGCTCTGAAAACCATGGATTATCGCGACCTTTAACCTTGTATTTTCTGAGAGGAGCATGTTTGTCTATAATGTCCAAAAGTAAGGAATTAAAATACTGTAAAGCTGTCTCAGCATCTGGAATCAAATTTACTCTGGTCCAATCACATAGATATATGTCATTTAAAAAGGCTTGTTCAGAAAATGACTTAAAATTACGCCTAAGTATGATACGGGGTTTACATTTTGATAACTTTGTGTCTCTCACACAAGTAATAACGCAGTGATCACTAACATCATTTGCAAACACAGCGGTAGCCTTGTATTTCTGGGGAAAATTGGTTAAAATCAAGTCAAGGAGTGTCGACTTCTCAGGGTGTTTAGGGTTTGGCCTAGTTGGTGAGTCAATAATTTGAGCCAAAAGAGCTGAGTCACAGAAACATTTAAAAGAATCAGAAGCAGGGGTTAACCAATCCCAATTTAAATCCCCATTAAAAGCAGATCATTGTAGTTAATAGTTGATAAGCAGTCAGACAATGAGAGTAGTGTATCCTTTAGGGCAGAAGGAGATCTATAACATCCCCCTACTGTCATAACACAGCTCTTCGTAAATTCAACTTTCAAGACAAGCAATTCAAATTGTTTAGGCACAGACTTGGATAATTGTACTGTTGCCTGAAATGTATTTTTAACATAAATTGCTACGCCTCCACCTTTGGCACGGCGATCAGCACGAAAGATATTATACCCATCCAAATAAATATGACTATCAGGCGTGGATCTACTCAGCCATGTCTCAGATAAAACCATAATGTCAACATTTGTTGATTTGGCCCAAATTCTAACCATATCAACTTTGGGAAAAAGACCTCACATTCATATGTACAAAACCAGTACCAGACCTATTCAAAAATTCAGCAGGGGTTTGTAGTGATATCACATCAGACACAGGGCCTGGGTTAGGCTGAACATTCCCTGATATCAACAACATAAGCATAATCATACATTTCAACATGCGTGTTTCATGAAAATGCTTCTTGATTTTCTTAGAGACATCATTCATCGTAATAGGCCAAGAGTCATTTGATGGGATAAAGCAGTCCTTTCGGAGAAGAAGGCTTAAAAGATAATTAAAGTTTACATGCTTTGATACCTGTTTCATTTCAAGCATCCGCACCCTTGATTGATATCAAAGTCCTACGCCCAGCTAGTAACCTTTGACCGTGATGACATACAAAGAACATGTAGGGAAACGCTACAGACACTCACTGGGATCTCCTGGTGGGCTTCATACTCTGAAAATAAAGGCAAACAGAGCAAAGCCAGGAGGGCGAGAATTATACTCGCCATGATGGAAGTTGACTCAGCTGCAAGGCAGGATAGGTAAAATAGGCCTCAGCTGCAGAGCTGGGTGGATGAGGTAGGCCTCAGGCTCCCTGCAGGGCTGGGTGGATGAGGTAGGCCTCAGGCCACAGAGCAGGGTGGATGAGGTAGGCCTCAAGCTGCAGGGCAGGGTGGATGAGGTAGGCCTCAGGCTCCCTGCAGGGCTGGGTGGATGAGGTAGGCCTCAGGCCACAGAGCAGGGTGGATGAGGTAGGCCTCAGGCTGCAGGGCAGGGTGGATGAGGTAGGCTTCAGGCTGCAGGGCTGGATGGATGAGGTAGGCCTCAGGCTGCAGAACTGGGTGGATGAGGTAGGCCTCAGGCTGCAGAGCTGGGTGGATGAGGTAGGCCTCAGGCTACTGAGCTTTTCTTGTTGTTGGTACTGCTGCAGATCTTGGCTGACACCTCATACCTTATATCTAAGTTCTCACAGATCCTGTGGATGATCTGGATGTATCTGTCCAGTGTATATACTAACACTTCCACATTCTGCAGTTTGGGAAGGAAGAAGGCCTTTGCGTCTCTTTTGAACTCCAGGAGCTGAGGGCAAACCATTTGTGCAGCAACAATAACACCCTGGACATGCTCCAGTTGGACTTCCTCTGTTGGATGTAAAACTGGGTTCCCTTCTATGAACACATAAAGTGAGGTGACTGCCAGCTTTTCTATTGCATCCAAGAAGTAATCCAGCTTTTCCAGACCAACTTGAGTTTTAGTTAGCACAGCTTCCAGCTCCCTCTGCTGTTTTTCAGGCTTGCTGTAGGAGGTCTTCAGGCCCCTCATTTTGGACATCTCTGCTGTCCTCGCATTCATCCATTCAGAGATGCTCTTGAGGAATCCTTGCACTCTAACTCTGTAGGACAGTGTGTCTATGGTGTAGTGACACAAGGCCTCCCAAAATTTGTTCTCTGTCTGTAGATTAATCCTGCTTCGGGAAAAGATCAGTCTGAGTAAATCAAAAGGATGCTATTCATTTACATCCTACTTTATCACTGTAAAATATCAGTACACCTGTATATGCACTGCTCTATACACTGAATGAACAGGTGTAAAGGCACAAGATGCTTGTGTCTTTTATAGCCCGGATACAACTCCATGTGTGACTCTCAGTGGATAAAATATGGGCAAAGTGCCCTTTAGAGGCATTCCTGATAAATAAAATATTAAGATGGGCCATCTGGCTCCCTTTCCATTGAATAACAAGTACAAAAAGTGACCCCTGGATGTCCTTTCAATAGATACCTTGCACAGGTTATGTTTAGTTATTCCAGAACCTTTTTTTTTTAGACTAAATCAGTTTGCTCTGTCATTTGATCTTTTATTTACCTATTCAGTTTGAAAATGACCTTGTGAAAAATCGTAGACCAGGGGCCTATTCTACGAAGCAAGTTCGACCTGGCGAGGTAGTCTTGGAGCTTGGAAAAATAAACTGAACATTGTCGGTGAATCTGATTTTGAACATTAATACTTTTACAATTTTTTCATAACCGCAACCAGAAATTGTTAAAGATTTAAGATGCTTCAAAACTCCTTACCTTCCAGCAGACATTTCTTTCTCTGGTTGTCCACAGTTGTTAATGAGACCTACAGTACTTTGACCTACTCAAAACAAAAAAGATCAAACTCTAAGACTGAATAAACTGAGTAAACAAGCTTTGTGTGTTTGGTTTTACTTTCTTTTTCTCCTCGTCACCCTGGGTGACGACCATTTTTTTTATATCTCATTCAGTATCAACAGTTGGCCAAAATTCCTGTTATTTTAAGCAAAAGAAAGAGAAAGCAAAAGTTGCATTGTCAATACCCTAACAGTAAGTCAGTCTGAAATGTCAAACTGAAACTTAAGAACCCACTGACATTGTCACAAGTAAAAGGGTCCTGAATTAAGAGAAACAGAGGTATCAGGAATTACTGTAAAAAGCCTGTACATGCTTCTGCAACTGTTTGTCTTCAGCTGATGACTTTAGCTTCACAAGATGACCCATGATACTCACTTCACTGCAGACTCCAGGTGCTTCACTGCATCTGAGTATGTTAGATTAATCTCAAGTCTAAGTGGATTTTTTCGCCAAATTGGAACATTTCTGCTCCAGTGATCTAAATCTATTCTGCTTTGTAGCGATTTGAATTTATAATAAATGTCAGAAGATTAATAATCTCAAATTATGACATTTATGCACTCGTTGAAAGGGGCACCACCCACCCTTAATGGTGGGAAAATGAAAAACAAATGTCTAATTCAGAAATCAAACATTAAGTCAATCTTAATTAATCAGTTTCATATCTTAAGCCGAAATTCTTATTCCAGGGACTCCACTTCTAGGAAGAACACTAACAGACAAGAACTTAGAAAAATAATGATCTGTTTATTACAGGATAAATGATGGTACAATATACATGCAATAAATGATGATAAGATAATGAGGATAATTAATAATAGATAAATAAAAGATTCTGAGTCAGGCTAGGAGCACTAAAGTTAATGATAGTGAGTGAATATGCTCTAACATTTTAACCTACACTAACTTTGGTGTCAAGATAAATTTGGATGTGGATTTGGATGAACCTAAGATTACCAGAATAAGTGAATATCTGAGTCATGACCACATGAGAGATGAGACAGCAACAGCCCTGTTTGGAGCTCTGGAGAATTGCATACTTAACCCTTGTACCTTATTAAGGTTTCTGGAGGGGTAAGGCCTTGTCTTTGATGCTATAACTTTTTTCTATTAATGCCCTTGCAAAGAAATTCCTAGAAAATGTGTATTTTATGATGAGGCATGATATACCTGAAATTGAAGAAAAAAAACCCTATGGTTATGGGTTTTTTTTCAAATATGCTTAATCTTGCATTAGCGTCACACAAGTGCCACATGCATTCCAATGGGAAACCACTTGTCTTTTACATATACCCATATCAGTGGGAAAAAATGAATTTCAGCAAAGACTGTTTTCCCCCTTTTCTGAAGACATTTAAGATGCACTGTGCACTTTCAGCCACAAGGTGCACCTTTTTTTTCATGAATAATAGAGGCTGATCTAGCCAGGTGGTCAAAACCCCATTATTCCTTATGGGAATTTGGCAAAAATTACAATATTCAAAAATCAAAAAATGCACATAATTTTATCACTAATAAAATTAAGCAATTTTTTATCTTATTTTTACCATTTTACTTTATTTGGGCATGAATCTGTCTCAAATTTATTATTCTGGTGTTTTTGTTTTTTTTTACCATTTTGGTCAGTTTGACACACCCGTAAACCACAGCCTATGATAGATGCAGTCTTTTGGAAGGAAAATCTGCTACCTGTTTGTAATATACTGCCACAAGAGTTCAAATCAGATTTTTCCCCCCATTTTTTTGCATTTTATCTTGAGTCTATTTCCAATCCAACTTTTTCAAATTATGAATGCTGAAATTTCATTTGTTTTCATATCCGTTATTGACCTTCAGTGAGAGGCCATTTTTTGCAAAAAAACAAAAGTAGACTGTAGAAGTGAATAAATCAAGTGTGCATGTATTTTTTTTATGTGTTAGTGTTTTCCGTGTGTGCATGGTCGTGTGTGTTCGTGTGCAAATGTTTGTGCACGCGCATGATCTTGCGCGCGCTCGTCATGGCACATGCGCCCCAAGCGTCCGAGGTTGCCCTGGGTTAAGCCGCCCCGTTACCCGTGATCAGATAGCCTTAGGCCCGCGTCAGCAAAGCCGGGGAGCCGCTGGCTGCTCTGGAGGTGGTAACCTCACCTCACCACACGGAAACGGGGGTGTCGGATGCTCGTCGCCGGCGAATTTTACGCGCTTCGCGGCGGACACACACACACACACACACAAACACACACACACACACACACACACACACACACACACACACACACACACACACAAAGCTCATCCCTATCGCGGGTCAGTCCCGACCAGAGCTGTGTTTAATCCACTGCTCTGGTCCCGACCAGAGCAGTAGATTAAAACAGAGTGGCGACACTCCCATAGACATACGCTGTACAGCCCGGCGGACCCCACTTCCGGGTTATGGAACTCGTAATAGTTCCATCATGACCGCCTGTCACATCGGACGCCGTTCGCTTCTATGGCCACAAGGCAAGCACTCACCGAGGTTAAATGATAAAATATCAACAAGTTTAATGCCAATACATGTGTTATTGATATCGAGGGGACCCCTTTATATGTAAAAATGTATATCCCAAATGTAATTACGTTATTTTAGTCAGGAATTGGGATCGATTTTTAGCCACGGTTTGCTCCCACACTCCCTGAGGTAAAATATTGTATCAACGAATGTAATGCCAATACGTGTGTAAATGGTATCGAGGGACCCCTTTATATGTAAAATGATTTTAATTTTAGTATGCTCAAATTGTAATTACAAATGTAATTACGTTTTTTTAGTAAGGAATTGGGATCGATTTTTTAGCCACGGCCTGCTAGCTGGACGTCATCAGCTGTAGAGACCTGCCAAAATTTATTGTGTGACTGAGTTATGAATCACAGATAAATCATCATCAATCATATGTTGAGATGGTTACTTATGGGCTTTATTTTAGATTTCAGCCTTTATCAGTTCCCGATGTTATATGCAGTTTATTCTTTTTAGACTAACATAAGTGCTATGTAATTTGATTTCTGCTTATGGGATGATAGCGTTAAGGGGCCGCTACTTTTTAAATCCTGTCAGCATTTAAGGCGTATGTTTAGCATGGCAAAATGTTATGCAGGCCATGCTGCAAGACCAAAACATTGCACAATTGTTTAAACAGCTTGTAACACCTGTTACTTACCACTTTATTGTATTATTTTCTCTTATTAAAAAGTAACACGTGTTACCAAACTTGTCTTATTTCACTTTTATTTGTCATCCAGCCGCTAAATATACGTACGTGACTTTGACGTGTACACAGTAATCCAATAAGAGTTGCAAATTTTGACTTTTTACGGTTAATTTTAATATTTACCTCTTAAATGCGCGCTCACTGCAGTCTGCCCCGTTGAAGAGCATGGACAGTGCAGGCTGCGTTTGGAACTATGGAGGGGTACATGAACCACGTGACCGCTCCGGCGGCGAGATCTGAAGTTGTCGGCACTCTGTTTTAATCTACTGCTCTGGTCCCGACCTCTTCTTCTTCTTCTTCTTCCGGGTAACGGGGTTTTGCATCCGGCAGTCCGACGTAACTCGTAGGCTAATTGCTGTGCCGCGCCACCTGATCTGGAGGTACCTCCCCTCAGCTCCACTGATCGTAAGCACACACGCACACACACACACACACACACACACACACACTCGCACGCCGGCACACACACACACTCGCTCGCAGGTTCACGCGCGCGCGCGCACGCAGGCACACACAAACACCCACACACGCACATACATGTTTCAAACTAAAATTAAAAGGGTTAAAAGTTTGAAAATAGGAGATTTTTTTCTTTTGAGTGATTAGAGCAGAAGTCAATGATGACAGCCATAATAAAAAAGGGCAACTTTTCATTTGTAGATGACTTTATAGGCCACAAAGACAGTGGCAGTTCCGTGCCACTAATGCAAGATTAGTCGTTTTTTTTTTATTTTAGGCTGTGACGCAAAAACTGAAACTGCAACTAAAACTAATTTCACACATACTCATACCACTCATAGGTTCTGATAATCTTGCACAAAGAAATTTGATTTTGCAATACTCTTATAATTTTTAGCCCTTTTTTTTTAATTTTGGGCATTTTTTACGGTGTGTTTACACTAAAGTTATAAAGGTTAAAAGTTTGAAAGTGGGTGATTTTTTCTTTTGAGTGGTTAGAGCAGAAGTCAATGATGACAGCCATAATAAAAAAGGGGCAACTTTTCATTTGTAGATGATTTTATAGGCCACTAAGTGACAGTGGCAGTTCCGTGCCACTAATGCAAGATTAGTCGTTTTTTTTTATTTTATGCTGTGATGCAAAAACTGAAACTGCAACTAAAACTAATTTTACACATACTTATACCACTCATAGGTTCTGATAATCTTGCACAAAGAAATTTGATTTTGCATTACTCTTATTATTTTTAGCCCTTTTTTTTAAAATTGGGGCATTTTTTACAATGTGTTTACACTAAAATTAAAAGGGTTAAAAGTTTGAAACTGGGTGATTTTTTCTTATGAGTGGTTAGAGCAGAAGTCAATGATGACAGCCATGAAAAAAAAAGGGCAACTTTTCATTTATAGATGATTTTATAGGCCACTAAGTGACAGTGGCAGTTCCTTGCCACTATTGCAAGATTAGGGATTCTGTGTTAATAAGGTACAAGGGTTAAGTGAGACTGGTCCTTGGAGAAGATGGAGCAGATACCAAAGGTCCGGGGCTATTGGCGGTTCAGCTCAGAAGACGACTGAAGTCAGCCGACTAAGTAAAAAGTAAGAGCTAAGACAAAAAAAAAAAAAGAGGGCTAAGCAGTTAAGTAAAGAGGACAAGAGATAAGAGAGAGTAGAACTGAAGAGTAGAAGAGCAATAAGAGAAGAGGACAAGACATAGTGAGAGAGTGTGAGTAACCCCACTTTTCTGGTTTTATCTTCTCACACTGGGAGTGTCTCTGGTGTGTGTGTGTGAGGAGAAAGAGGAGGGGTCGTGGGGTCTCTGGCTGCAGAGGAGACCTCGATCTCTGATTATTCGATCTAACTTACACTTTTGGCTGGTAAAAGAGTCAGATCTGATACTCACTCACTATGATTAATATCATTGAATGCTTGGTTTAATGATAAATGATTTGATACTAAACACATATGAATGAAATGTAGGATCACGTCAAACATTCTCATTATGTTCTAAGTATCACATTAAACATGCTTAATTACTCTGAAATGAAACAGATAGTAACACATAGAAACTGTGAACAACAAAAGAGATTTCGGTCAACGTCCGATGGGGTCAGTTAGGTAACCTGAAAGGGCAAACAAATCTGGAAAGATTTATATGATCCTGTGTCCTGGGACCAGATAAGGAAACTTTCCTGTGAGGAATGTGTGAGTTTCACACACAGGGTTGTCTTGATTGCTACAGCTTACAAGAGAAGAAATTATAGAAACAGACAAAACCCAAAATCTTTTTCAGTTATTTTTATTGGATTTTTCAGGAAAATAAGCGGCTGAAATCTTACAAATCAACAACATGGAACATACAGAATGTCTTTTTCTATTATGTTTAAGTGAAAAGAGCTGTTTTGTTTTTTTGTAACTTGATTATAACACGAGGTAAATTGAATATAACTGGTCCACAGAAAGCTTTATTTGAAACAAAATTAAAGATGCCATTTCTAAGCATAAAAAAGATTAAAATGATTTTCATGTCTCACACTATTGCAATTATTCATGAATTAATCAAACAGGCATGATATTGATTTTGAAGAGAAAGCTGAAAGCCTCAATTTGACTGAAAAACCAAAGTTTGATTTGATTTTATAGATCTCATATCTTCATGTTAGCTGGTCATATAAAAAGTGCCCAGCACATACAGAGGACTATTGTATAACACAAACTTTTCCTTCTTTGCCACTCTTTTTATCAACTTCATCAGCGAGGACATTCATTTTGATTTCCATTTCTTCCTTCATTTCCATCTCTAGCTCTGGATAAAAAGGCGTGTCCAGGAGGGCTTTGTTTTTGTCCGACGTCTGCAAACCTTCACACAGGGAATCACAGATGTTCCCCCATGCGTCAATCTCTGAGCGCCACAGTGTCGCTCTGGCCCTGATGAACTGAGACACCTCTGTCTCGCTGCCTTTAGACAGACTAATGCTGTCTTTGCAGATGAAGAACACATCCATGCCGAGGAAAAAAGCGTTGAGCCCAATGAGACCTGCCCTGGCTGATTTAGAGAGGGCAAGGGGTCCCTTCACTGCTGCCTGTCCGATATCTGGGATGTCTGCAGCCACCCTGGGGACGTTGCGTAAAGCTTTACCTTCCTGAGCCACCACCTTACCAGCACTCACAATCACCTCCTCACTTTTTAACAACTTGACAGCAGAGGCTGCATCAACAAGTGAATCAATACCTCTTGCTACAGCACCAGCATTACCGACCACCTTGCCAACTGCGACAGCTGCTCCTAAAGGACATGCTTCTAGGTTGGTGACTGTTTGAGAGCTGGCCTTGTCCAGACAATCCTGGAGACTCTGCATGTCCTCCATGAACCTCTGGAAGACCTCACCAGCTCTTTTTTGTTGTGTACTGTTTACTCCGATCTCTGTTGCCGTAGTGACCGCACTATTGACCCCACTAGTGATGCTGAGCCCTACCCCAGTCATGGTAAGACCCAGAGACACACCAGCTGTGACAGGAATCAAGGCCAAACCAATGATGGAGAGCACACCACCAACAGCCCCAACTGAGCTGCCCACCACGCTGGAGATCTTTGCGCCCTTATTCATACGGTCGAGCTGAACAGCAGATTCCTCTAGCTCATCAAGACACTGCAGCATCTGGGATCGCCGATTGTTGAACTCATCCAGGAAGCTAGAGCAGGATTTGTCAAGAAACAGATAGACCAGTCGGAAGTGTTGGTTCATCCTGATAAAGAGAAAAGAGGAAATAACAAAAGTAGGTGAGAGATAAGTTACAATAAGCGTCCCCATCAGTCTGTAAAATGTAAAATGTGCTGAGGGCTACTATCAAAGCAATCCTGGAGCAGTCATGCCAAGATGGTGACGCCCTAGTCAAACCAGCGCCTTAGTCACACCGTGATCTGAGGAAAACAGGTCATTTACAGCGTTTTTAATCGCTTGGTTTGGTATTTTTACATGGATCATAGGAACACATTCATCTCAAACACAATGCGGAAATAAAGTGTCAATAAACAAAAAACTCTGCCCTGCCAGGTTTGAGGACTCTTTGGACTACACGCCTCAACATTTTCCCTGAGACACTTGGGATAACCCCCACAAGGACCGCCAACACAGCTTACCAGAGGCCGATTAAACTCACCAATCCCAGTTTATGGGCCTGCGCTGGTGAATCTGACCAACCCTGACCTGTGTATTTATTCTGAATCCACTCTCTGCCGTGGTCTCCCTCTGTGGAGCCCTCGCATGTAAGTCTTTACCTGTGCTACTATCTCTGCTGACCTTACCGGCCTAAAGTTACCACCATAAACAACCACAGCCTGTTCCGTTACATATCTGACCTCTAGGGGGCACTCTAAAGTTATGAACTATTACATTCACATTCGATTCAGAAAATAGGAATTTTGCATAATGTGAATGTAATAGTTCCCAAATTAGGACTGCCCCCTAGGGGTCCAAAATGATTTCTCATGAAATTTGTCAACTGATTCTGAAGTGTAGATGACCCCAGCATTGCAATGATTCCTCACATATCAAAAACTACTGTGGAATTTTGGGGAAAAAAAATCGACTCAGAAATGGACAGTTCATCCATGAACTGGATGTCAAAGTTGCCAACTTTGGACTGTCCCCTAGAGGTCAGATACGATTTCCCATGAAATTTGTCAATTGATTCAGAAAGAAGACAACCCCAGCACTGCAATGAGTCCTCAAATATCAAAATCTACTGTGGAATTTTGGAAAAAAATTGATTCAGAAATGAGAATTGCATGAAGTGGATGTGAAAGTTTATGAAATCGTGAGGTACTGTAAAAATCGTTCCACAATTGTAATTTAAAGACGAGTGGCAGCGTCTCTCAGCGGAGGTGAGCGAAGCCGAGTACTTAACTACCTTACCCGCTTGTAGTCTTACCCACGGGGTCAAAGCCTCGGTAGCAAAATGTACAAACAAATCACCACAAAAGCAGTCCCAAGTCCAAAAAACTGTCTAATTAAGTACATTAATGCCAGCCTATCAAAAATGGGAAACATTAAAAGAGAAAATGAAGAAATTTTACAACAAAATGCGCTGCCACCCACAATGCATTGCGGCCACTCAAAGCACTGTTGGAGCGTGTCCACAATCCATCCCATCCACTCATTAGCTTCTCAAAGTGGAGAAGATATGATCTGATATTTCAAAAAACACGAGTATTGGATCATGACATGTCAAATGGAGCAGCAAACTTTCGTTCGGTTTTTATGTGTCCAAAAAATGCACATATAATAATAATAATAATAATGCTTAAAATTCTTATAGCGCTTTATAAGAGACCGTGAAAGCGCTTTACATTGAATACATCATTCATTCACTCACACAGTCACACTTCGGTGGTGGTAAACTACCTTAGTAGTCACAGTTGCCCTGGGGCAGACTGACGGAAACGTGGCTGCCATTTTGCGCCTACGGCCTCTCCGACCACTACCACACAACACTTACATTCATACACCAGTGGAGGACACACACTGGGAGCAAGGTGGGTTAAGTGTCATATAGAGATGTACTTGGGTACATAAACTGTACAGTAAGCTGTCAAGGTAGAGAGCATTATATTTTCGGGACAGCAAATATTCCGAATCAGAGGGCTATTGTTTATGGCTTATCTGAATAGTCTGAATGAAATCATTAAAGGCACACGCTTTGAGTCCACCCAACGGTTATTTTGCCTTGTAATGTACTTTCAACCGCGCTCCCATCAGGGGTGCATTCTACGGCATAAGAGAATGACAAAACGCCTAGGCTGTATCCTCCTTTAAAAAGGTTTCGTCGGCAGTATGAATGTTTTATGGCTTCACAAAACAGACGGGGCAGGTAAACCTGACACCAATCTGCAGGTTATGCCGTAAGGAAGTTTCAGCGCGGTTGTCTCACACTTCAAACCTACATGCCCACCTACGTGAACACCATCCAGCATCGTTCGCCCAAATCAAGGTAAAAACAACATGACCGCAACAAGTTTGGTCTACTCTACTGCTTATTATTGACAACGTTAGTGACGTTTCTGCTAACTTTAGCTCCAAATAGCTAATACTCCCAACGTCGCGCTAGCTGCCTCTTGCTCATATTGTTTGTGCGTGTCATGCTGTGCACAGAGAAATAACTACGCAGTTTTTTTAACCATTTTTAATAACGTTAAAAGCGATACGCTATTATCGTGATAATATCGCGAATTGTGATATTTTGGGCCACCAATATCGTGATATCAAATTTTTCATGCCTAGTAAGATATGATATCCCATGAAATTTGTCAACTGATTCTGAAAGTAGATGACCCAGGCATTGCAATGATGCTCCACATGTCAATATCTACCCCAAAATTTCGAGAGAAAAAAAATCGACTCAGAAATGGGAATTTGCATGGAGTGGATGTCAAAGTTGCTAACTTTGGACTGCGCCTTATGTTATGGTATGGTATGGTATGGTATGGTATGGGTCATCAGTGATGGTGGGAAGCCCACAGCTGCTGCCCACGGGCGCCGCCTTAGAGGTCAGATATGATTTCCCATGAAATTTGTAAACTGATTCTGAAAGTAGATGACCCCAGCATTGCAATGATGCCCCACATATACCTACAGTGGAATTTTAGAATAAAATTGAGCTTAAAAAAGGTATGACAGAATCTATTGTAACATAGGCTTTTGTTAAGATGAACACTGCCATCCAGTGGTCAAAACCGTGTTTGTTTGTTTTTTTTTTTTTTTAATCTAAGGTGGAATCAAAATTTAAGCACAACCATAGGCGAATGTGGTGCCAAGTTCAGTGTCGTCATGATCGAGTGGTTGTTCATGTTGGGTCCAATGACACCTCTCATAAACAGTCTTAACTTACAAAAACACATTTTTTAGACCTTATGCGATACCCAATGCTGCTCTATGGAGCAAATATGGAACACGCTCAATACGGATCCTGTATGTTTTTGGCTTACCTTTTCACATTCAGACCACCACCAGATGCAGGTGCCCCCCGTCCACTGAGCACAAGAAACACTGATCTAGTCAACCTGCGCCCACTTCCCTGGTCCTCACGGCCCCTCACAAAGCAACATCACTTAAAAGTGGCCTTACTCACCACCCGTTCCCTCAACAACATTAGCCTCCTTACGATGATTTTATAACTGACAATAACTTGGACTTTCTCTATCTCAGCGAAACCTAGCAAACACCTCTGACCTATTCCTCACTAAACCAAGCCACCCCCACAGGACACACTTATATGGACAAACCCCGCACAGAGAGCCGTGTGTGTGTGTGTGTGTGTGTGTGTGCACGCGCATGTGTGTCATTGCTGTCATCTTCAGGAAAAATATAAAAATATCCACCATCCCCATTCCTCCACCCTTCTCATTTGAACACCTCACCCACAAACTGTCTGGTCCTTCTCCTCTGGTCACAGCCATCATTTATCACCCCCCCAAAAAAAAACACATCTCTCCTTGCTCTCTGATTTTGCTGACTTTCTGACCCAGTTACCTGCCATCTCACCATCTGTCCTCCTCCTGGGTGACTTTAATCTACATATTGATAGTACAGACAATAAGACACATAAGTCTAAAATGAGAAGCACGGGGTGCTTGTGTGTGTGTGTGTGTGTGTGTGTGTGTGTGTGTGTGTGTGTGTGTGTGTGTGTGTGTGTTACGGACTCCAGTTTCACTGTTATGCCGAAGACATCCAACTATACATCTCCACCAAAGCAATCCCCAACACCACCCACTCCACACTCAGCAACTGTCTCACTGTAATTAAAAAATGGATGCAAAAAAAATTCCTGCAATTGAACAGTGACAAATCAAACATCATCATCATCGGACCCACATCCCACACCAGTATAAACTTCAGCCTCACCTTCGACAACTGCACTCTGTTGTCCTCCCCTCACATCTGGAACCTTCGAGTCATCTTTGACAACCAACTCAAGTTCGACCGCCATATCAACCACATCACCAGGACCGCCTTCTTTCACCTCAAAAACATTGCCCATCTCCGCCCCTCACTTACCTTCTCCGCTGCCGAAACCCTGATCCATGCTTTCATAACATCCAGACTAGATTACTGCAATAGCATCCCATACAGCTCATCATCCAAAGTCCTCAATAAACTCCAATACATTCAGAACTCTGCTGCCCGCCTGCTCACTCACTCTCGAGAACACATCACCCCTGTCCTCCAAAAACTGCACTGGCTCCCCATCTCACACCGCATACAATTCAAACTCCTCCTGCTCACCCACAAATCACTAAACAACCTGGCCGCCGCCTACCTCACAGACATGCGCCACACCTCCCGTGCCCTCCGATCGTCAGAGGGAAATCTTCTTGCCTTACCCCCTCGATCCAAGCAACAAACTCAGGGGGACAGAGCCTTCTCCGCTGCCGCCCCCACCCTCTGGAATTCACTCCTCAACCCCATCCGAGACTGTACAGACTCCCGTACTTTCAAATCACTCCTAAAAACACACCTTTTTAAATTGGCTTTTAAACTGTGAACTGTTCTTTTATTCTTTTTACTAAAAATTCTCTGTATCTTAAATTGCGTTTTTTTGTAACGCTTCTTTGAGCACCTGTAAAAGCACATTATAAACAACATTTATTATTATTACTATTATTATTATTATTATGATTAAAGCAACCTGAGCTTAAATAACGCCCAAGCAGAGCCACAGACTGATCACCTCTACACCACGCCACAGTGATGCAGTGATTCATGCAGACCATGTACAGAGAGCAGAAATGAACAGTTTCCTACGGGTGACATTTCTGTATCATTGATCCTTTTTTTATCAGTCCTTTGAGATTTTTTATTCTTGAGATAAGCCTGTATGTCTGTTATTTTGCATTGTGTAAATAAATATCTTTGAAATATTTCATTGGATCACAATTACAATCCAGGAAATGGTACAATCTTGCACAGAGTCTATAAAAATCCTCAATGTATAATGTTAACCTGATGTCATCCAGCTGATTGATGTGATAAAGCATCCTCTGCACCTCATCTTCAGACAGATCCACACTCAGGTCCACCTCAGTCTTCTTAGTCATCTTCAGGTCAAAGTCACTGAAAGTGCTGTTGAGACACAGACACATTTAATAACGTCAACAGGCTTCTGTTGAACAAAATGTGCACACTACTTTAAAGGAATGCCACCTTACCTTTTCTCCATCATCCCACAGATCCTTTGGGTGGTCTGGATGTATCTGTCCAGCTGATATGCCAGAACTTCCACATTCTGCAGTTTAGGAAGGAAGAAGACAGCTGCATCTCTTTTAAACTCCAGAAGCAGAGGGCAGGTCAGTCGTGCAGCAGCGATTGCAAACTGAATATCGTCAGGGTGGACCCCTTTTGGCAGGTGAAACACCACCTCCCCCTCTTCTGAGAACACATAAAGTGAGGTGACTGCCAGCCTCTCCACTGCATCCAGGAAACAGCGGAGCTTCTCCAGCTCTAACAAAGTGTCTTTCAGCACAGCAGTCAGCTCATTCTCCAGCTCCTCACGTCTGCTGTTGGCGGTCACCTGCGTTACCTTGCTCTTCATATACTCCATAAAGGCTTTTCCTTTACTCTCTGACTTGGTTACATGGCGGATGTCTAGATCAATCCTGTCAGCCCTTTCTTTGATATCCATCATCATGTTCAGCTCTGACTCTCTGCCCAGCATCCATTTAGAGATCCTCTGGCAGAATTTCCTCACTGTGTCGATATAGATGAGGGTGTCAATGGTGTAGCGGCACAAGGCCCCACTGAGCTCCTTCCTGTACAGAAAAACAGATGGCAAAACCTTAAAGCTGAAGTGTTGAAATGAAGTTGATTGTCTTTTTTTGCATTTAGACTTCTCTTTAATAATAAAAACCAGGTACTGGCCATTTCAGGGCCTAAAATTTTGGTTTGTTGTTGAAGTTTCATACAATGACCAGCAGATGTCGCCAGAGGAGGTTTACGTACAATATCACCATGCATTGTATCATTGAGGTTCCAAAGAACAAACTTATCATAGTTATGTAATATTTTACTATACTTTATACACAACGAGAGGGAGAAAAATGTGATGTTAACAATGTCAATACCCTATTTTTATTTTCCTACTTAATTCGTGTTCATTTCTTCCCTTTTTTTTTCTTTATTTAAGCGAATACTGAAAACTTTGTCCGGATCACGTAGTGCGTGCATGAGTTAAAAATGACAATGTTTGATCAGCGTCATGAACAAAAGTCAGCTGATCTGATCACATTCGACTTTCTTTTCTACTAATTGTGTCAGTGAAAGAAGCTCAAAGTTTCTTACCTTGGCGCAGACATGTTTTTTCTGCCGTCTGATGTCTCTGCGAGTTTTACTGATGCCTCATAATATTTTCTGAAACAGGCTATTAAAAATTTGATAAAAACGGAGACTACAAACTTGTTAACTGAATGGGTCAGCAAACTTCCTTAAGTGACCTGCTCGGTTTGGTTTCGTTTTCCACACTCCGCGTCCCGAGGTGGGGCCATGCCCACGCACATACCTGACTTATAGTTCAAGACTGGATAGTCCGGTGAGTTTAGTTTTGCCAGGCAGGCTAACATTTGGCACTGGCATTGATGCCGCGTAAACCACCAGACAAGGCACACCTTTGTGTAAAGCAAAGCTATGCTACTAGAGTCACTTCCTGATGCAGCCTTCAAAGACTAACAGAAATATAAAACTTACTTGCTTGCCACCCAGGCTGTCAAAGAAAAGACTTGCGGCTGCAGGTCTCAAGTTTTCAAGGAAACTCTAATTTACAAGTATAAGTGAATGCACCGCCAACTCACAATGGGAGTGGTGGAGACGTAGCAAAGTTGACATTATGAGGAAAAAACACAACTGAGACCCCCATTTCTTCCTAAAGAGCAGAAAAAAAATAGATCCTATAGTAACTTACCTTACGATAAGATAAAGCTGGCAAGTTTCTCTTTAGTGCCGTTGTCTAAATAGCGCTGTTATTATTAGACCACATGAAATGCTGCTAAGAATCCACTCAGACCATAGACTGTCTGTAGTTCAGCAGCTACAGACAGCTGATGAACACTTAGAGAAACAGCAGCAGAAGATGGAGCTGGAGTCCCTCATAATATCAGTGTCTTTTATGCTTTGATGCCTTGCAAGCGAATCAGTTTTACCCCCCTACCCCCTTTGAAATCTCTATGCCATTCTTCTGCCATCTCAAAGCTGTATTATTTTTTTATTCCCTAAACAATTAATAAAACAACACTAGGGGAAAAAAAAGTTATAGTTGCTAAAATGAAAGTTTACCACGGAACCTTCATCATGGCGAAGTGCTTTTATTAGATTAAAGTTTTTAGATATAAGTACTCAGATTACATGTATCATACTAAAATACATAGATTGCATGTTTATATCCCTCTGTCACTCTCTACCACAGATGATCTCTATCTCAAGATTTTTTTATTTTATCTTATTTTAATTTTCAGTTTTATTCTTTCCTCACCTTCCTGCCTCTACCTTCTACTTTTCCCATTTCTTTCTCTGCCTCACCTTTGCTCTCTCCCTGCACTGGAGTTGAACTCAGAACCATTTTATTTAACACACCACAGGCCTCCCTGGCTGTGAAAGACATTTTCAGTCCTTTTCTTTCAACATTTCATTACAGTTGCAGCAGTATTGTCGTACATACTACAGGCCTGCCTGGTTGTGTTAGCCTTTCTTGGTCTTTTCATTTTAATAAATCATTTTGGTTAGTCAAAAGCTCAGCTCATACTGCAGTGTGGGGAACATATTTGATCTCTACATCATGGGGAAAGTCCTCACCCAGGATTTGAACCCAGAATTATTTCACTCAAAGTTGGCAGTGCTACCTATGTGAAAGAGCCAGGTCTATTGGTCCATTGTTTTCACATACACTGTGGTAGCTCAAAATCTTTTGATGTTCACAATCAAGTGGGAGACAGCTAGGGAACTCTTGCTCCACTCAGGAAGACCCAGGCCATGGATGCAACATCTGAACCACCTTGTTGTGAGGCATCAGTGTTAACCAGTTCACTGCAGACCATCCTTGCAATGCCATCATCTAAAAAGTCTTTTGGTAATAAAGCACATTGTGGTAGTTCAGAAACTTATTCCCATATTCCAGAGGGCCTTAGGAGAGTATCAATCTTTTGATCTAACTTTTTGACTGAGACTGAATGAAAGAGTATTCAAATTTCCGAAGCATTGTTGTGTTCTCAACCCCCCCCCCCCCTCCACACACACACACACACACACACACACACACACACACAGAGCAGCCCCTGTAGCTTCACACACGTCACTGGTGATACTTGCACATTCAGACGCTTGTCCTAATACAGTGACTCTATTCATGAAGGCCAAAAGCCACAGGAGTACAAGACCGTGACCTTGGGAGGAGAAAGCATTTACCCTTTTATCTCAACTTATCATATTGAGTTAAATTGCACAAATCAACATATCGTATAGATGACACATGTAATTTTTAACTTAGAGGAATAACACAATAGTGTAGCAACAACATTTTGCTTAAATTTTCAGACTAAAAAGGATCAGTTAGTTGAAAGTCATAGTTTTTCAAGTAGTAACAAAAGGAAGTGCACAAAATTAAAACAAAAAAAAACAAAAACCACAACAACAACAAAAGAGAGAGAGAGAGAAACAATGGAGCTTGCATCATAGTCCAAAGAGTTTAACACAGGCCCTGCCTCTGACAAAACAAAGGGCCAACGAAAGTTTTGGTATTTAGGATGACCAACAAGATTTCCAGATTTTAAGGAGGCAAAGGCCACCAACTAGAAAAAACAAAACAAAACAAAAAAATAACCTCAGCAAAGACTGGAGTGAAGCACAGTAAAATACTACTACTACTACTACTACTACAAACAATAATAATAATAATAAATAAGACAAAATAAATCATTACCACATGTTAGTTTATTTTCCACCTTTGGCAACAGAGTCCCTGTTTTAGTGTGATTAGGTTCACCTATGGATTAGTACCACTATGGTCAAAAAACTTTCTTTTTATTGAACATTTTCCAAAGTGTAACAGTCCAGCACAGTACAGACAAGTTGTTTGAGATATGCAGCAAACACAATACACATCCACAGCATTAGCTTAAAATTCTTTTAAGGTCTGACTTTTATATAGGTACACTCTGAGTTCCCAGATATTCCAACACTTTGCCAAAATTTGTTGTAAAAATGTCCTTTTGATCTTTAATACAAGATCTTAACCTTTCTTGAGAATTATATTGTTATATCAAAGACTTCCAAAATTGTAATGAAGGAGGTTCATCTCCTCTCCATTTGGTCAGTACAGCTTTTCAGCCTAACTTGAGCAAAAAATGAACAGTGTTCTTATATGTACTCTGATGATGCTACGCAACTGTTTTTCATGCTTTTGAGAGGTATGATAATTTTGGATTGTTGGAGCTTAACTTTACAGTATTAGCAGTTTACTAATGGCAATATTTGTTAAAAGATGGTTCTTTCACAACCGTGAAGGAAGTCCATAAAGGAGCAAGCACACTTGCATCCTGGCTCTTGAAAGGGAGTTTGGCTATCCATGTTCACACTAGTTAGGTATAATAACACATAGAAAGAGCAGTAAATTTACATTAAACTGATCAAACACACATGTAACTCGACGTTAAGTTTTGCAGATCAATCTGGTTGTCACTGTTGACAGCAGAACAGCTTTTTCAAAGATTCCCTTTTTACAGCATTAAATGACTAACAAAATACAAACTTCTCATCAACACAAATGCCTGGACAGATCTGCACTATAAAAATAACTGAAGCAACAAAATCTTTTTTACCATAGAAATGAACTCTTCCAATCTCTCAGCCTTATAACCTATGCATACTTTCATCTACAGACCAAAGACCAAAGAGTATGCTGTCTGATCTGTTATCTGGGCCCCTCTCTGCTCTAGTCCAGTCTGGTCTTGTTTCCTCTCAATAAAATATCAGTAACTTAGAACTGGACACAATAGTTCATAAACAACACAAGACATCAGAGGAATAATTTCACTCTGTTAAAATACTGCAGAGATTTAGGGCTCTATTTTCGTGTATGCCCATGAGGCGGTGGAGGGCGGCGAGCCGAGATCCGCCAAGCTGGGCGTGGTGGCGTGGCAGGGGGAGGTGTCGACAGAATCAGCGGGCGCAGTGACATTTTCGTGCTCGCCACCGGCATGTAAAGTGCGCCGAAAGCTCGCCGATTCAAACCTGGTAAGCTTTCAGTGCAGGCGGAGCGCAGCTGGTCTAGTAGTATTTTGGTGGCGTATCGGCATACGTCACCGGCAGGTTTCCACAGTGTCTGGCACATTTCAGTGCAATAAATAATCATCAACAACTAATAATCTGAGTTAGCACATACATTTAGATTTATAGATATATTCTGATCTATATCTGATCTGATGAGCGCGTTTGGCACGCGTTTGGACACACAACCTGACCGAATCAACACAGCTGAAACTGCATTAAATTAAATATCTAGTAAATAGACACACATGATGAAGTTAACAAGATATGTAATTCGTCTCCCTCCTTTTCTTTCTTCCTCTTCCTCTTATTTCTCGCACAGCTTGACCTGGACACGTCTCCGTGTCCTCTCTCTGTCCTGCTGCAGCAGCGGCTGAACAGATGATTTTTTTTAGCGCTCAGATGCGTTATCTACTTTAAGCCGACATACGGATATTATAATATTCATATTTGGATTCATAATATGCCATTATTGGAATTTATGTTGTGATCTGTGCGCTCAACCCACCTTTGTCACGTGAGGTTTGAATATGAGCAACTTTGTGTGAGTGTCTGTATTTGTGGAAAAGGGTGTTTGTCTTACTACTGGGTCCAACATTACACACACCAAATCCATCTGTGCTCATATGAGAGAGTGTGAAGGATGCCCAATGCAGCGCTTACAGTGACACTTGTTGAGGAGCTGCCCTTTGTCGCCATCGTGTGGCATTACTGTCTTCAGACATCTCTTGATCTCTTCGACTTCTTCATGAAAATAGTAATACGCCTCGCCGGTGGCGGATTTAAAGGCAAGGAGAGGAGCTGATGTGATTGGTGAAAACAGGTCTCGGCTGTGTTAAACCCACTCCACGCCCTATCTCCTCCCTCGCTACGACTTACGCCGCTGGGAGGAGCTGAGTTAGGGAGGGGGGATACTTACGCCGGGCTGCACCGCTCACCAAAATATCAAATTGTACTTGGGAACGCCTTGTTGGTGCGGCGGACCTCACTTACGCCGCGCATGCGCCACGTCGCGTCGGGAGAAAAGAAAATAGAAGAAGAAAATATAAAACAAAAAAGTTATTCAGACTGATCATAAACTAAAGATGTGAAATAAAGTACAATAAAATGCATCATATTTCCTTACTGCTTGACCTGTGATCATGGCTGGCACCTCTGCTGTCCTTTACTGCTCTGTTCTTCAATCTTTTATTCTCAACCCCTTTTCATCTGCTGTCTCTCCTCTTTTGTTTTCTCTGAAAGTTTTAGCGTGATTCCCATTTCTGTTCATTTTTTCCCCTCACTTTCTCTTCACTCCTTCCTTTTCTTTGTCTTCCTCACTCTTTAAATTCATTTCAGAGCTGTCCTCTTGTCTTGTCATGCCTCCTCTTCTGCTTTTGAATGTTATAGGTCATCTCCTGTCTTTTCCTCTTCACTCACTCCTGAACTAAAATTCAAAGGTAACTATTTACAAATAAAACCTATGAAACATCCAGATATATTTTGTTTGTAACAAATAGCCATTTGACTCCCTTTCTCCCTTTCACTCTCCTGTCCTATGTTTTTTTGTTATTTTATTATTATTGTGCAGCCTTTGCTGACAGTGTGTTCATCTCTGTGCTCACCCAAAGTCATCTAACACTCACAGAAATCAACGATAGTGTGAGCCAAAGACCTCAATATGAAGAGGTTGTTCACACTGCTGGATGCTTCTCCTCTGAAGCTGCTCTCTGCCTTCGTCATTGTTTTCTTTACTCACGAAGCACGTAGCAAGATCCGAGCATGAATCAGATCGCTTTATTAGCCTGTCAGAGGCAGCATGATGGCGGTATGATGATTTGATTCACCATGACTCCAGAAATGATTAAAAAACTGCAGAACGTAACAAAATGATGTATCCACGCTCCCGGCTTGAAGAGTAGAAATGCGCAGCCACGCTCCCGGCTTAGAAGGTTGAAATGCATACATGCTGTCCATGGATTTTCATTTATATATCTACAGTTATGGATATGCCACTTAACCAACAAAATAATGTTAATTCTATAATAATGTTTGTTTTTGGAGGGTATAAAGGAAGTGAAACCTAACAGTATATTTTCAAAACAAAGAGTGAAATTATTCTCAATAGAAGTAGAAATAAAATGACAAACATCTTTCCAGAAATTATTTGAGAAAGGGCAAGACCAAAATAAGTGAAAGGTATCTTCAGGGCATTGCAAACAGAAAGAACAGTTAGTGTCAATATGATTCTTGAAATGCTGTAAGAAAAATATCTTATAAGGATAGATCTTACGGATTAATTTAAAAAATACTTCTTTAATTTTGTTGTTAATCATATACTTGGTTGGTAAGATCCAGATTTTTTTCCAATCAAGATTTGGTAATAAGCTATTCCAATAAGTAGTTACATGAAGAAGAGACACAATGTCCCTTTGAAACAAAGTACGCACAGCACGAATTGCTGCTACGTGTCGTCGAGAAACAAATCCTGCCGACTTCGAGCTCTGGATCTAGAGGAGCAAAGACCTGGTATCTCCACTGTGCTTCTAAATAATAAGGAGACACCAGAAGGAATTGCATTAATGATAATGTTTTCCAAACGAAGTTAAAGAGCATTTTGTCGATGTTCTTTAAGATGTTTTTGTTAACATCAAGCAATAGGGCAGCATAGGTGAGGCGGGATATGCCCTCAGCTTTAAAATTATGCCTCTCAAAGATAGATCTCTCTGCAGCCATTGATTAAGCTCTTTCTGTGTTCTGTCGATAATAGGGTTAAAATCTAAATTACATCTAGCTTCCCTATCTTTATTTATAAGTATGCCTAAGTAGGTGAGACAGTTTTTTATAGGTATGTTACATATGAAGGGAATATTACAAGTTTTAAGGGCAAGCAATTCACATTTTCTAATGTTTAAACAGAGCCCAGTTGCAACAGGAAAAGTGTTGGCAATAGGTATCTGACAGCTACTTTTTTAGAGAGTGATTTATCATCGGCCAACTGGCTGATGAAAATTTCCTGGTCTGCTATTAGGATACCTTTCAACGGACTAAGTTTAATAGAATCGGCGAGAAGATGTGTGCAAAGAAGAAAAAGATAAGTCTATAGGGCATCCTTGTCTTACCCCACGTCTAAAAGGAAATTGGGGGGAGGTGCCAGTATACAGTTTGACAGAAGAATTTCAATTTTTATATATTGCTTGGATAGCACTTTTAAAAAATGGGCAAAAATTAAAATTTCCTAATGCATGGAATAAAAAGTTATGTTCAATTGTATCAAAGGCCTTGTAAAAATCTAAAAAACGGATGAAGCTTTCGTCTGGACATAAATCTGCATAGTCAATTAAATCGAGAACAAATCTTATATTGTTGGAAATATGTCTATTTCTCATGAAGCCAGATTGGGTCTCATCAATTATGTAATATAAAACAAATTTTATTCTTTTAGCAAATATTGAGGCAAAGATTTTGTAGTCACTATTAAGTAATAATATTGGGCGCCAGTTATCGATGAGAAGTAAATCTTTCTTGGGTTTGGGTATTAGAGTTATAAGGCCTTAGGTTAGAGTAGAGGGGAGGGATTCATTATAAATACATTCTGAAAAGAGAGCAAGGAAGAAGGGTGCTTATTGCTTAGAGAAGGTGTTGTGGGGCAGGCTTGTAGTGAGGACCCAGAAGCAGACACTGAGACAGAGCTCAACGTAAAACGATTTTAATGTCCAAAAACAGAAAGGGATAGATAAGGGAACAAAGGAAGTCCGGTTGGTTGGCTGGTAGGCTGGCTGTCGTGTGGGCTGGAGACACTGCAGGAGAAACCAGAGGAGACAGGAGTTAAGGGACATGCAACGAGTCACAAGGAGTAAAGTTCAGAAAGTTATACCACGAGGTTTTGGCCAGGAGACGCGTCTTTACCGCTGGGCAGGGTAGACAATACTCAGGCGCTGAGACTGAGGGCTGCAGGCTTCTTAAAGTCCCTTGATTGGAGACGAGTAGCAGGTGTGTCGTCTCACTCAGCCTCAGCGCCGGGGGAGGGGAGGAAGCCCTGGAAAAGAGCACAGCCAGAACAGGCAGATAGGGAAAAACAAGAAGTCCAGCCAAAATAACACAGGATGAGGAGGCGTCTCACCACAGTACCCCCCCCTTAACGAACGCCTCTTGGCGTTCTGCCGGGCTTGTTGGGGTGGGCAGTGTAGAACTCCTCCAGGAGTTGGTGGTCCAGGATGAGGGAGCGGGAGATCCAGGAACGTTCCTCTGGACCGTAACCCTCCCAGTCCACGAGGTATTGGAAGCCTCGCCCCCGAGGCCGCACGTCCAGGATTTTCCTTACAGTGAAGGCAGGGTGGTCATCAATCAATCGGGGGGTGGAGGGGCGACGGAAGGAGGGCTCAGGGTGCATGAGGCAACAGGTTTTAACAAGGAGACATGGAATGTGGGATGAATTTTGAGAGATGAGGGAAGTTTTAATCTCACCGCTGAAGGGTTGATGATTTTCTGGATAGGGAAGGGACCAATGAAGCGGGGGGACAGCTTGCGGGACTCGGTCTGCAGGGGAAGGTCACGAGACGATAACCAGACCATCTGACCAGGACGATAGTCTGGTGCTGGAGAGCGGTGAACGTCAGCCAGGCGTTTGTTGCGCTCGGCCGTGCGGGTGAGTGCGGCCCTGGCCGATCTCCACACCTCCCGTAGACGCCCAATGTGCTCCCTCACCGACGGGACGGCCACAGGTTGCTCCTGTTCGGGAAACAGGGGGGGCTGGTACCCAAAACAGCACATGAATGGGGACATACCTGTGGCTGAAGAGGTGAGGGAGTTATGGGCGTATTGGATCCACGGGAGGTGCGTACTCCAGGACGCTGGATGATGGGCCGCCACATACTGCAGGGCCGACTCGAGGTTCTGATTAGCCCGCTCCGTCTGGCCATTGGTCTGTGGGTGGTAACCCGAGGAGAGGCTAGCTGCTGCGCCCACTGCCTGGCAGAAAGCTCTCCAGACCTGAGAGGAAAACTGAGGACCACGATCTGACACGATGTCACGGGGAATCCCATGTAATTGAAATACATGAGTGACTAGGAGGTTAGCAGTTTGGAAGGCAGATGGGAGCTTGGGTAAAGGGACATAGTGAACAAATTTGGAGAATCTGTCAATGATGGTGAGTATGACAGTGTTACCTTCAGAGGGAGGGAGACCAGTGACGAAATCTAAGGCTATGTGGGACCAGGGGCGTGAAGGCACAGGCAGAGGACGCAGCAAGCCAGCCGGAGGTTGGTGGGAGGCTTTGCTTCGGGCACAGACGGAGCAGGCAGCAACAAACGCCCGTACGTCCCGGACCATCCCCGGCCACCAGAACCGCTGCTGGAGGAATTGGAGGGTGCGTTGAAACCCGGGGTGGCAGGTGAGCTTGGAGGAGTGCCCCCACTGTAGGACCTGAGAGCGTGCGACCTCAGGGACGAACTTTCTGTCCGGCGGGCCGGTTCCGGGGTCTGGGTGGTTCCGGAGGGCCTGGTCCACGATAGTATCGATCTCCCAGGTGGCGGAGCCGACGACACAGGAGGCGGGGAGGATGGTGTCTGGTTCACTGGGGTCCGGAGTATCCAAGGCGTGGATCCGAGAGAGGGCGTCTGGTTTGAGGTTGCGGGAGCCGGGACGATAGGAGAGGGTGAAATTGAATCTGCTGAGAAAAAGGGACCAGCGGGCTTGCCTGGGGTTGAGGCGACGAGCGGAGCGGAGGTATTGCAGGTTCTTGTGGTCTGTCCAGATTAGAAACGGTTGGGAAGCTCCTTCCAGCCAGTGTCTCCATTCTTGCAGTGCCCACACGACAGCCAGTAATTCACGGTTTCCCACGTCGTAATTTTGTTCCGTGGCTGAGAGTTTCCGGGAGAAAAAGGCGCAAGGATGAAGCTTCTGGGTCTGAGAGTCCCTCTGTGAAAGGACGGCCCCTACTCCAGAGTCCGAAGCGTCGACCTCCACCATGAACTGAAGCGAGGGATCTGGGTGTTTGAGCACCGGGGCGGAGATGAAGAGGGCTTTGAGGTGATGGAAGGTGGCGTCTGCTTCGGGGGTCCAGGAGAATGGAACCTTTAGGGATGTGAGCCGGGTGAGGGGAACTGCGACCTTACTGTAGTTCTTAATGAAACGTCGATAGAAATTAGCGAAGCCGAGGAATCGCTGGAGGTCTTTGCGGGAGGAGGGGGTGGGCCAGTCACGGACAGCGCGGACTTTTTCTGGGTCTGGGCGTAGCTCCCCCTGGGCGATGATGTAACCAAGGAAACTGACGGAGGAGGCGTGGAACTCGCACTTTTCGGGCTTCACGAAAAGGCGGTTTTCGAGGAGGCGCTGAAGGATGAGTCGGACGTGCTGCTGGTGTTCCTCCAGGTTTCGGGAGAAGATCAGAATATCATCTAAGTAGATGAAGGCGAACTTGTTAATCATGTCGCGGAGGACATCATTAATGAGGGTCTGGAACACAGCAGGAGCGTTGGTGAGGCCAAAGGGCATGACCAGGTATTCGAAGTGGCCCATGGGTGTGTTAAAGGCCGTCTTCCACTCGTCCCCCTCCCGGATGCGAACCAGGTGATAGGCATTCCGGAGGTCCAGTTTTGAGAAGATGGTGGCTTGACAGAGAGGTTCGAAGGAGGGATCAATGAGTGGTAGGGGATATTTGTTTTTAATGGTGATATCATTTAATCCACGGAAGTCAATGCAGGGACGGAGAGAGGAATCTTTTTTCTTCACGAAGAAAAAACCAGCAGCCAGGGGAGAAGATGAGGGTCGGATGAGTCCTGAGGTCAGGGAGTCTTGAATATAGTCCTCCATGGCCTCTCGTTCGGGCCGAGAGAGGTTGTACAGTCTACTACTGGGAAGAGGGGCTCCAGGGAGCAGGTCTATGGCGCAGTCATAGGGGCGATGAGGAGGAAGAATGAGAGACTGCTCCTTACTGAATACCATTGCTAGGTCATGGTAGACGGGGGGAACCGAGGTGAGAGATGGCGGTGGAGATGCTGACTTCTGTCGGTGGAGGTGAGGATTGGCGGAGCGGAGGCAGTGGGAGTGACAGTGAGGGCTCCAGGCGGAGATCGAAGATGTGGACCAGTTAATCTGAGGGTTGTGGATTTGTAGCCAAGGGAGTCCCAGCACCAGGGGAGAGTGAGGAGATGGAAGCAGGAACAGCCGGATGTCCTCCCGATGATTTCCGGAGAGGATGAGGGTGAGAGGAACTGTGCAGTGGGTGATGGAGGCTATAACTCTGCCATCGAGAGCGGTGACCTTACGGGGAGCCGGGAGTTCCTCCAGGGGGAGCTGAAGCCGCGCTGCCAGTCCAGCATGAATGAAGTTATCATCCGCCCCAGAGTCAATAAGGGTTTGGAGGGAAGTGGACTCCTTTCCCCACAGGAGACAAGCAGGTACCAGGATGCGTTTGGGAGAGCTGGCAACGGAGGAGGTATGGCTCATCAGTGTGCCCTCAGTCACGGATGAGCCTGGCCGTTTAACTTGTTTGGGCAGTTGATTAGAAAGTGACCGGCCTGGCCACAATAGATGCACAGCCTCTTCTCTACCCTCCTTCTCCGTTCATCCGGGTGAAGCTTAGTGTGGCCGATCTGCATGGGTTCACCTGCAGATGGCGCCGGATCCGGGAAGACTGAGGGCTGCAGAGGAGACCCGCTGACCGCAACAGAGGAAGGGGAGTCTATTCTAGGGACTAAGGAATGGTTTTTCTTCTCCCTCCGTCTCTCCCTGAGGCGATTATCAATTCTAATAGCTAGTGCTATTAGCTCCTCCAGGGAGGAGGGCTCATCACGAGTCGCTAGCTCGTCCTTCAATTGTTCAGAGAGACCCCGAGTGAATATCCCCTTTAACTCGAGGTCCCCCCACCCACTCTCGGCCGCCACAGTACGGAACTCAATGGAGTACTCCGCCACTGACCGAGAGCTCTGGGTGAGGGAAAATAGCCGTTTGGTACACTCGGGGCCCTCGACAGGAAAATCAAATATTCTCCGGAGCTCTTCGGAAAAGCGGGCGTAAGAAGTGAACAGAGGTGAGTCCCTATCCCAGACGGCTGTAGCCCACTTAGCGGCCCTACCTCTCAACAGATTAATGGTGTAAGCGACCTTAGCTCGATCTGAGGGGTAGCTAATGGGCTGTTGGTCAAATACTAAGGCGCAACGAAGCAGGAAACCTCTGCAGCCCCCAATCTCCCCAGCATACGGCTCAGGAGGAGGGACATAGGGCTCTTTGAGGGTAGCGGGTGGTGGAGGAGGTGAAGAGGGGACTGTACTCACAGAGGGGGGGAATCCTGGTTGTTGTGGTGGAGGCCGAGGGAGTAGTTGCTCCGCCAGCTGCGACATTTGAATGGAGAGGCCATGAAGCGACTGATGGAGACTCTGGAGCATCTCCTCATGTTGGCCAATCCGCGTGCCGAGCTTCTGGACGGCTAGCTGAACTCGGTCTGGGTCTGTTGGGTCCATTCTCCTGGCCTGAGTATTCTGTTGTGGGGCAGGCTTGTAGTGAGGACCCAGAAGCAGACACTGAGACAGAGCTCAACGTAAAACGATTTTAATGTCCAAAAACAGAAAGGGATAGATAAGGGAACAAAGGAAGTCCGGTTGGTTGGCTGGTAGGCTGGCTGTCGTGTGGGCTGGAGACACTGCAGGAGAAACCAGAGGAGACAGGAGTTAAGGGACATGCAACGAGTCACAAGGAGTAAAGTTCAGAAAGTTATACCACGAGGTTTTGGCCAGGAGACGCGTCTTTACCGCTGGGCAGGGTAGACAATACTCAGGCGCTGAGACTGAGGGCTGCAGGCTTCTTAAAGTCCCTTGATTGGAGACGAGTAGCAGGTGTGTCGTCTCACTCAGCCTCAGCGCCGGGGGAGGGGAGGAAGCCCTGGAAAAGAGCACAGCCAGAACAGGCAGATAGGGAAAAACAAGAAGTCCAGCCAAAATAACACAGGATGAGGAGGCGTCTCACCACAGAAGGTTTTGTAAAATTCAAAAGTAATGCCGTCTTTACCTGGAGATTTATTTAATTTGAGATGGTCTATAGCAGATATAACTTCTTGTAATGTTAGTGGTTTGTCACAAGATTCTTTTAGGTCGATGTCAATTGACTTAGTGTTTGTGAGAGATTCCAAAAAATGACAGGTAAGTTCTTCACAGTATTTAGAATCATAGAGTTTAGTATAAAAGTCCGAGCAACATTTAGCTATCTTTTGGGGATCGTCTGTGATGTTACTATCAATGTTTAATTTTTGTATGGTATTAAGTTTGGCATGAGATTTTTCAAGTCGAAAAAAATAGGCAGTATTCTGTTCCCCTTCCTCCATCCATCTCCTTCTACCTCTAACAAAAGCCCCCTCAGCTTTTACTCTATATAATAGAATAGAATAGAATAGAATATTCCTTTATTGATCCCCCATGGGGGAATTTTTTTTTGAGGGATTGTCCATGATGGATACAAGCTTTGTTAGCATCCTCCTCTCACCCACCTCCTCCAGGGAGTCCAAAAGAACAGTCCAGGACAGAACTGGCCCTCCTGACCAGTCTGTTCAGTCTCTTCCTGTCCCTCTCGGTGCTCCCTGCCCCCCAGCAGACCACTGCATAGAAAAGTGCAGATGCTACCACAGAGTCATAGAAAGTCTTGAGCAGAGTCCTGCACACTCCAAAAGACCTCAGTCTCCTCAGCAGGTAGAGACGACTTTGGCCCTTCTTGTACAGTACGTCTGTGTTGGTTGACCAGTCCAGTTTGTTGTTGAGGTGGACACCCAGGAATCTGTAGGACTCCGCCATCTCAATGTCCAGACGCTGGATGTTCACTGGAACAGTCTGAGGTGTCCTCCTCCTGCGGAAATCCACAACCATCTCCTTTGTCTTACTGGCGTTGAGCTGGAGGTGGTTTGTGCCACACCAGTTGACAAAGTCAGTGATGACAGTCCTGTATTCCTGCTCATCCCATGACGATACACATCCGACGATGGCTGTGTCATCAGAGAACTTCTGGAGGTGACAGCTCCCAGAGTTATAGCTGAAGTCTGAGGTGTACAGGGTGAAGAGGAAGGGGGAGAGCACTGTCCCCTGTGGAGCCCCCGTGCTGCAGACCACCATGTCCGATACACAGTTCTGAGGCCTCACAAACTGTGGTCTGTCGGTGAGGTAGTCCATGGTCCATGCGGCTAGGTGACAGTCCACTCCCACCCGCTCGAGCTTCCCCCTGAGCAGTGAAGGCTGGATGGTGTATATAAATCATCTAATTTGAGATGTAGCTGTATTAAAAGATGAGACTCGTTTTCAGACAAGTTAGCTCTGTTTTTTTTTGTGTTAAGGCTGTTATTTCTGAGATAATGTTTTCTTCTTCAGCTTTTTTTGCTTTAACAACTGATTTACAGTATGTTCTCAGAAATTTACATAGTTCGAAATTTAAAAGTTTCCAGTTACTGGAAAACTTTTTTTCAATTAAGGATTTTGTCAGTAACAATCAATTAAGGATTGGACGGTTTTAGATACAATTTCGTGTTTAAGAATAGAGTTGTTTAATTTCCAGTAGGAATTCCTACAATCAGTATGAGGGTTTAGCAGTATTTGTATTGATATCGCTTTGTGGTCAGTAAGAGGAGTTGGAATATTATTGACATTAATGGCATTTTTGTCAAACCCATTGGAAATCACCAAAAGTCTATCTGTGATAAGCTAGTACTTGTCTTATTATTCCAAGTATATGAGGGCAATCCTGGATTTTTTTCTCTCCATATGTCAATCAAATCATATTTATGCATGAAGTATATTAGAGTAGATGCAAATGAGGGGTTAGAATGTGGAGGCCACCTATCTTGAAGACCGTCAAGGGCAATGTTAAAATCACCGCCCATTATTATCATTGCGTTTGGATGTTTAGAGAGCCGATATAGGAAGTGAGACTCTAAAACCCCGAATAGTGTATCATTTTCACCTTTTGCATTGTATTCACATATATTAACTAAAAGAATTATGGTATCATTGGTATTAATAACTATAATAAGAAGGTGACCTTTAGTATCAGCTTCACTGTGTAAAATTTTCCCATTGAAAGAGTTTTTAAAGGTAGCAGTACCCGCTGCTCTTTCTGAAACATGAGATAACCAAATGTAATTGCCCAATTGAACCTTCCAAAATGCTGTATTATTTTTAAGTGAGTGCGTCTCCTGAAAGACAGAAAAATCCATTTTTTGTTGTTTTGCAAATAAAATAAGGTTTTTCATTTAACGTCCCATCTTAACCACCTGGCATTTAGAGAAACAACAGAAAAAGACAATGTAACAAACAAATTCTGAGAGCAAGTGCTATGTAGAAGAGAGTTTCGAGTAAACTCATCAGAGCCAAAGCCAGCCTGACCTCAGGATACCATCCGGAGGCCAACGGCCAGACCGAATGCCTCAACCAGCAACTGGAAACCGGCCTTCCGGTGCTTGGTCTCCCAGAACCTCTCAACATGGAGCAAACACCTGGTCTGGGTTGAGTATTCACATAACTCACTACCAATATCTGCAACAGGCTTGTCTCCTTGTGAGTGTGCTTACAGGTTTCAACCCCCAGTCTTGGTCCGACGTTGTCGCCGCATCTGGGCTGCAGCCCGCCAGGTGCTAATTCGACAGGGAAATCGGGTCAAAAGGACAGCGGACCAAAGGAGACTGCCGGCTGCAACATACCGGCCAGGACAGAGAGTGTGGCTCTCGGCCAAAGATTTGCACCTCGCAGAAGCTGGCGCCATGGTTTGTGGGTCCATTTCCGGTCACCAGACTCATTGGCCCTGCAGCAGTGCGACTTCATCTGCCTCGGTCCCTCCGCGTACACCCAACCTTCCACGTCAGCCAGGTGAAACCAATCAGGGAGAGTCCTATGGTCCCAGCCACCACGCCCCCCACCGCCACTTGAGGTGATTGACGGCGGTCCAGTGTACAAGGTTAAACAGTTGTTGGCAGTACGCAATCAGGGCTGGGGCAGACAATATCTCGTGGACTGGGAAGGTTATGGACCTGAAGAAAGACAGTGGATACCCTCACGACACATCATGGACTCCAGTCTCATTGAAAAATTCCATAAGGACCATCCTGAACAGCCTGGGCCGTCGGGAGTCGGCCCTAGAGGGAGGGGTCCTGCCACAACGCGGTGAGGGGTGTCTTGTCCTGGTTTTTTCTGTCTCGTCATTTTCATGTTTTATTTTGAAAAATAACTCTCCTCTCGTTTCAGGTCACTTGCCCTTCCTCTGGTGTCTCCGGTCCGACGTCTCCCCTGACCCCTGATTGTCACTCTATCTACTGAAAAAGAAGACGATTTTTCAAAATAAAGCGTTTGTTGATCTTTGAACCTCTGCGTCAGAGTTCTCCCTTAAGCCCAGGCCTGACACCAGGAGGTTGTTTAAACACTGTTCGTAGATATTTATAGCAGCATAATCAAACTTACAGAGCGATAGTGAGGGATAGAAATCCAGAAAATGCTCAGCTGCGATAACAAGCGTCTGCCTCGGTCGCCATCATTATTTACTGAGGAAGTATCATGTATGGGCCATTCCATGTCAATTCAACCAAGAATCGCCACTCATGTCACAGATTTTGATGAAATTTGGTGGAGTGATTGGCCTTCAGGGGAAACTGTTGGAGCTCAAATATTTTTTGTTCAAAGCCATTTAATTAGTGAGATAGGGGCTAATGAATTTTTGGCTAATTAGCATGACATGCGTTACAAAAGTGTTCACATCTCTGGAAGTATGGCACCTAGAGAGCTGATTCAGGTGTCATTTTAAAGCTCTCTTCAAGTTCTATCTTTTTCTTCATAACATTATTATCATAAAATTATAAAAGACCAAAAACTTAAATTGGAAATAGCAAAAAATGCGCATCCTTCAATTTTCTTCATATTCACACTAAGAAAGACTATCATGTCCACTAGCATCCCTGCAAGTTTCAGGATGGGCATTCCATAACTTTTTGAGTAATCAGTCAAAACGTGTGGTACGTTAGGTCGAAAATCGCCATATTTGGCACATTATACAGTCCTGACCTCATCTGGAGTCAGCCCCACTTGCCTGCTTGTGTAAAATATTACTTCCTCATAGTGCAAAATGCTTTTTTTCAATATCGAAAAGCTGCACAAAGCTTGATCACCATGCTAAAAGTACTTTTGAAGTATAAAGGAAACGTTGAAAGGGCTCAGGATAAATAGCCTGGAATACTTCACAGGGAAACCAGCAACAAAATTTGAGGGTGCATAGGTAGAAGTTATTTGTCAACCCTAGGATCCAGGACATGCAGGTATGTCCAAATGATTCTCCCATGAAGCTAAGATCATTCATATTCTGGATATAGGTGCAAATAGAAATGAAATGCGATGGAAAACTGAGCAAAAATAAGCTATTCTAGCCATTTTTCATATAAATATGGGATAACATACAAATGAGAACACTAAAAAAAAGCTTTAGAAGATCTTTAGTCCCCATGGCCTAAAGACTGTTTAATTCTTCTATAAATAGTAGATGATTTGAGACATAAGACTACAGAAAATTGAGTTTCCCTTTGGAGATCAAAAAAGTTCTTCTTGTCTTACTTGTCTTCCTGCTGGCTTTCCGACTTGTACAACACTGTCTTGAACTTAAGAATGAAATAGTGCACATCTGTCCAGTCTTTTTACTCTAACTCTGCATTCAAAATATTGAAATTATCAGTAAAAAATAACAGTTGCGTTTAGATTTAATATGCTACAGTGACAGAGTACCTTTTTTCCTTCAGTTTTATTGTAGGTTATGCATGGATTACAAAATTTAAAGACAATTATTTTGATGTCACAAATAATATCATACAGATAATGCTTACTTGTACAGTACGAACACAGTTTAGACCAGCCATCATGGTATTAATTGCTCTTGAAATAGGAAGCTTAGTTTAAACCTTTGTATTCAATATTAGAGAGCTAGCATGTTGACATGAAAAAAAAGGGAATAAAACCTCAATCCCTGTAACATGGCATTACATATCCTCTGAGAAGCAACAACAAATATTTAAATGCTCAATAACACTCCCTCACCTTAATTTTGCATGTACTTTGCCATCTAGAACATGAAAAAGAAAAAAGAAAATAATATATTAAATTAATATCAATGTCAAGATTAAACCTAAAAAAATTGTACCTGAGCTTAAGAGGGACTGGTATCTTTTTAGAAGCAAGGATGACTGTGGACTTCATGAAGCCGGATGAGAGAGCTTAAGTGTCTCTTTGCATATACAGTATTTGTGCAGATGTGAACCAGCTGAACAGACCTCAGCCTAAACCCGAAGCCAGCCCAATTGTTTCGAGGGGCCATCACCTCTCTTCTGGTACCGGAGTGTTGTAGAACAGCAGTGCTGCCATTCATGGCAACATTTAGTTATATCACTGGTGTTCAGTTGAAGTTGTATATGTTCATTCTGAAATTGGTCAATAGATCCTGTGCCTTTGTCAAGCGCTTGAGGCGATTCTGAAGTTGGTTTCTCTCGTTTTTTGTTCGCATGTCTTCTTGAAGCAGGAACTCAGTTTTCTCCTTGTCCTGAAGTATCTGTAGCATCTCCCTGTGCAGCTGGAGGGCAGACTGCTGCAGCACCTGGTAGCGGATCACCAGAGGAATCTGGTCAGCCAGACGCTGGCCAGCAATCTGTGGTTTTGAGAGGATGACAGGGTGCTACACAGTTCCAATCTTTTGGAGATAATGTCACAAAAATTACTTATAGTTTGAAATTTGTTATCAAATGACCCCTCTATATCATTAATAGCTTCTTGTATGTGTATACTTCATACAAACTTAGATGTGTCTTTATGTAGAGCAATAAACAAAGTTATATGTTATGCCGATGCTCTGGACCTATCGAAACCTTACAATAAAATGCATGCAAAAGGAGGTGGTTGAATTTAAATTGATGCTTTTTATGTGTCAATAAACAAGCACTGAGTATTGCTCCATGTTCTGTCTTTTGGTTTACTTCACATTTTGTGTATGTCTGCAACATAACAGCCCTGCTGATTCAGCGACAAACAATCACATTGAAGAAATATAAATTTAAAACAAACCAAAGTAAGAGTCTGGCTTAATCAGAAAAAGGAAAATCATGTTCAGTGTACTGACTTGGTAGTAGGCTTTAAAGTGTTTGATCATCTCCTTCAGGGTGGCCCCTGTCTCAGTTGTGCTGGTTTTTGTTGTTACAAAAGGGAAACCTCCGCTGCCCTGTTCTTGCTCCCTCTTTCTCTTCCCAAGCTTCTTGCTGTATATGGTGTCCTGAGTGTAAACTATTGACTCCATCTTAAATTGGGTCCTCAGCATCGCCTCTGCTTCAACCTCCTTGTCCTTTCTGATGGATTCAATCTTCATCTGAGGGGCAAAAAAGAGTTATGATGATTCAGTTTTGTTCGCATACATACACAGAACACAGTACTAAATGATTTCATTCAGGTGTATGTGAACTTTTTAGCAGATGTTATGTTGGACTTTGTTCCTGGTTTGATTTGTTGTGACTTTGGTATACATGCCTGCTGTGACACCAAACCCAAATGGTTTCTTGAAATTTCTTTTCCTTGGAGGGTGGGCAGTCCGGGTTCACTACAGCACTTGCTCAACTGTCTGAAAGTCATGGCTGAGACTCAGCTTCCCAAATCAGTGAGAAGGTCATTGTGTTGGATGTCTGAAACAGCTGGACAGAGGCACTCTTGGCCCTTTCGCCAATAGTATTTCTTCTGTGAAGGGCCTTGGTGTTTATTTAGATAGTGCTGTTGTTTGACTCAGCGTCTTTATCTAAGGCTTAACTCCCTCCTCTTAAGATTTAGCAAAATCTCTGCTTTCATAATATCTCATCTTGACTTCTATAATTCTTTGAATGTGAGCTTTAATCAGTCATCTATTCAGTGCCTGCAGCTTGTTAAAAATGTTGCAGCTCTAGACTAGAATGAAAAGGAGAGAGCACATTACATCTGTGTTGCTCTCTCCTTACTGGCTTCTCGCCCATCACAGCGCTGACTTTTTAAATTTGTTGTTCACCTTTAAGGCCCTGTATGGATTAGCACCACCATAGTTTGCTGAGCTTCTCCTTGTTCATACTCCAGTCAGAGCACTGAGGTTCAATCAATCAGGTACTCCTGGATGTGTCTAAAACAAGCCCAAACCAGGGGTGACTGAGCCTTTGCAGACACTGTCAATAACCTGTAAAACATCATGCTACTTGTATGTTTTTATTAATAATTGAAGACCTGACCTTCCCTTCACAATGAGAGTGTTATTTCCCTGACAGATTTAACACATTTTTAAATTTACTGTGTTAAAAATTGTTTTCCTGTTTAACTTTCACCCTGTAAAGCACTGTGGTCAACATTGGTTGTTTTAAAATGTACTACATACGTAAAGGTTAACTAGACTTGACAGTGAGTAGCGATGGATGAAAAAACAACCTGAGCTGTATTGAGGAGATTGGGGAATCCCACAAGACTATTCTGTGCCACCCTGTGCAGCTCGCTCTTCACAGTTTCTTAAAAAAAGTGAGAAATTACAAACCAGTCAGAGTCTTGAAAGACCAGGATCATGGAAAACAGATACTGACCAAGCCTATTACAAAGCATCATGATAACACATACCTGACACTTTTTTGAGTTTGTGCACTGCTGGCTCTTGCAGCTGTTTGATGTGCTCCTTCACCACATCCTCAAAGGTCTTATAGTTGATGAAACCTGGCAGTTCTCTTCCACGGTACTTTGATTCATAGTGAGAGACCTCTTTTTCAATATTCCAGTTGACTGCAAAAGGAATTAATTTGGTAAAACATCAGACAAGTGTTGGTTACTAGTGGTCATGACAGCAGGAGCAAAACACTCATTTTGTTAAGTAAGAAAAATTTTCTGCTTTTTCCAATTAGATGCAGTAGATTTGCTCTTTCTATGATAAAAGGACATTTCACTCATTGGTTTAATTCACATGAAGGCTACAGTTTATGGAAACTGTCAAACTACTTGATGATTTGCTTACAAGTAACTCCAGAGCGGTCAATGAAGTCTTTCCATGCCGCAAACTCTTTTCTGAGGGTGAAAAAGATGTTGACCCCAGATTGACCTCTGACTCCATTCCCTTCAGTGAGGCTGATAGCATCCTGTGTAAATGCAGTAACTTTCTAAAAAAAAAAAAAAAGAAAGAAAGGATTTTCAAAGAGGCTTAAATCTGTTAAGAGTGAGTTTATTGTACTTCTGTTTTTGTCTAGAAAGTGTCTTTGACTTCTGTTTTCTCGCCAGCCCTTTAGGCTGTGGCTGGGGGGCATGGCTGACCTACTTTGTGGCTGTGAGTAGCGGGACAACTGATGGCACTCTGCAATCAACTCACCTCTCCATAAAGACCTGCTCAGCCTCCACTACTCTGCCAGATGATTCCGTCTTACTTGATAGTGCCAGGTTCAGTTTTCCAGGTGAAAACTTTGCTAGATTCTGTGAACATTAGACCTGTTCTGATTGCCTTTTCCTTTGTATTTATCAGATTGGTGCCTCATTGCCTCATTTTGCTCTGGTCTTCTGCTTGGTGGTCAGCCAGCCTCTAGCAGCTGCAGCCTGCAGAGATTTTTTGTTAGCTTGTTCATTTTTCTGTGTCTCTTGTGAGACAATAAAGACTGCCTTGAAGTCTCCTGTTTTTTGGGTCAAGCTAAACACTCAGGCTGTAATATAAATCATCCTGTTTAAACTTGAGGTTTGGAGATGCAGTGATTTCTACATCTCAAAAATGAACTCACGTCAATAAGGAAGCTCAGTCTCTCGTTGCTGTCAGTTGGGGGTCCATCGCCATATCTGTCCAGTTCTGCACAAGTCGCCTTCAGTTTATTTTCGATCTGCTTTTCCAGGTTTGGCAGAGATCTCTACAAATCAAACCAGGTTGAATATCTAATGTGAGCATCTCAAGCATGCTCAGCAATCTGTAGAGAAACTATCCGAAAAAATAAATGTGTCTGATTTACCTGGATATGATCAAGCAGCTCAATAGTGAGTTTTTCTGCCAGTCTGGGGACAGTGGCGTAGCCTTCATCATAGAGAAGCCTTAAGAAAAAGAAAATAGGAAAAAAATTAAACATGCCTCACATCTTGTCAAAATGCATTTTTTTTAATGCACCATCAAAGAATGAACTCACTGGAAACAGCAGTGTTCCTTGAAAAAATCTCTCTCTTTTTCTATTGCTGCAGTAAGACACACTTTGTCTGTGATCTCCTTCTGACCCCTGCACCTGACAATCATGTAGCCCTTCTTGAGGGGGATCACATTATTATGGACAATGTCCAACACTGTCTGTTCTGTGCCTTTGTCGACCAGATCTGGTTTGGTCAAGATACCTAAGAGGAAAAAGACAGAGTGAACTATGTCAGACTTAGAATAGATAATGCTAAAGTTTTGCCTCTTGATGAAATGTTTTTATCTATATTTTACCAAGAGTCCTCTCTCCATCAGGATCGACCTCCTGAGCCATCTTCAGGGCCTCTGTGGTGGCTATGTCCACATTGCATGGAACAACCACCAAGCTGATGGTTTCTTGTTTTGTAATGAACTTTCGAATCAGCCTCTTGATCTGAAACATCAGTTCATATTGTGAATGAGTGAATTGTTTTACAGCTTTCAAATCAGTGTTGTGCATAATTTGATTTTTTTTAATTTTACAACTCTTTAAAGGGGTGGTATTGTGCCTTTCCACATTTAGAATAAAAAATGCAAAGTTATAATGTTTGGTGTCCATACAAGGTATATGTACATTTTCAAATCATGAGGTAAACATTTGTTGCCATAATCCTGAAAAATATATGTAAACTGCTTATAATGGTATGTCTCGAGATCACACAAGACTTACTGAATGAATGATGTCATTGCAATAGGCTTTCTCTACTTGTTAATTGGTGCTTCCCGCACAGCAGAACAGGCTACCTCCAACAACATGTGAGGTGACACCCACAGCAGTAAGCATAGATATTGCCAGTAGATATGACGTGCCCCTTTGAGCTGCGTGCCTACGTGGCAGCCATCTTAGAGGGGGCAACTTTCCTCATTAGAAGCATTAGCTGTACATGGTAAATAAATAATATCTTGCTCATTTCTCAGTCAATTTCATGCGGTCTACTTTATTGTAAATGCCAAAACATGTGCTATTAATGCAGAGCACTTGATTTAAAAAACTAATAAAAAAAGTTCTGTATTAATAGCATATATTTTGACAGTGAAAATAAAGTAGACTGCATGTAAATGGGTTGAGAAATGAGAGCGATATGATTTATTTCCCATGTACATCTAATGCCTTTATTGGGAAAGTTGCCCCTGCTCAGATGGCTGCCATGTAGGCACGTCGCTTAGTGGGCTGCAACAGCGCGCTGGCGTGTCTAGTCTTCTATATACATCTGTGGCAGTAAGGGGTAATGCTGCTCCCTGCTTTACTTATGGAGCACACTAGAGGGGCAGGGCAAAAACATTGAGCTCTGCCCTCCAGAAAGCCTCCAGGGAGGTGGCCCATTAGAAGAAAGTAGGGTCGTGGAAGGTGGGGGCCTTAAAGAGACAGGAGCTAAAATTAAGCATTTGAGATGGAAGCTGAAATAATGATATTTTAGTACAGCAGAGTGAGAAACACTTGGCTTTTTTGGAACTGAAAATCATTTAAAGCTATTAGAGAGGTATCAGAAAGGAAGTGTAGACTGCGCAAAAATGCATAATACCCCCTCTTTAACCCTTTAATGCATGAATTATGAGATCTTCAGATAAGATTTTTTTCCTGTGTTACAATTTAGGCATATAAAAAATGATGCAATTGAATTTTTTTTCAGGAACCTATTTTTCATGGAGTTACAAAAATATTCACTCAGCTGGACACCGTGCGTGTAAATTTTTTAAAATTTAACAAACAAATGACAGAAAATGATATTCTGTTTAAACTGTGAGGTGAAAACCTTTTTAATGCAACTAGTTTTATGTCTTCTTAGATTTTTACATATTCTACAACATATTCAAAGCAAAGCAAAATGTTGAACTTAGCCCCAAACTAATGAACTGCAGATTTCTTAAGATTTTCTACAAAAAGACTGAAAAATATTATCCACAGCCTTCCAAACTCTCTCTGAGAAAGCGACACAGTCTTCAATATTTCTGCTTTTCTACTGCCTCTGTTCAGTCTGACTTTAACTTCAAAGATATGGTAAAACAGACAGGGCTCAAACCAGAAAACATGTAAGCATCAATTAAGTTTTTTTGCTTCAGTAAGAATTTCCCTCGACATTCATCTACCACTCACCTACAAACTGAGACAGGTCACCCTGAAACTGGTTATATTTGGTTTTCCAAACATTTCTGATTTTTCTCTGTCCCTGAGCTTTGTCTGGTGGGACATGCTCAGCTCCCTCAGCATCTTCAACTACCTAACCTCTCACAACTTCTTCTTCACTCTCAAATCCACTGCTGCTGTTATCATCAACTGATCCAGGGCCTTATGTCCAATTCAGGGGACACATGATTAAGTACAGATTTCTCACAGTATAAAATAAATATCCAGAAACTTTAATGACAATATTTAGTCTCAGATGTTACTGAATGCCAGTATATTTTTTTACCTTCAGTGGTACCCTGCAATAGAAGGATGACACATATTTCCTAAGGTGCTTGGCCACTGTCGGCCATCTTGATTTTTAGTTTAAAAAAAAAAAAACATTTCCCTTGACTGGCCAGTTGGTGGCAATGTGAGGTATTATGCACATGTGTCCACTGTGTTGGTTGATATGCATCTACAACAACAGTCCCATGCATATACTAAAGAACACCTTCTGAAAATGTGTCCACTGTAGTGACCACTATGCATGACGGGGTTCTTCACATCTTTCTAGGGGCAGTGTCAGAAGCATTTTTAATGGCACACATTCTCATGGCTGTCTCATAATAAAACAGCTGCAAGCTTGTTTTGAGAAACTGAAAAAGTTCACCTGTTCCCCAATGTCCTTTGGTTGATCTTTTACAGCCACCCTGGCAATGCCGGGCAGATCAATGAGCGTTAGATCTGGAACATCAGGAGAAGCGATTTCAAGACTAATGAGATCTTCACTGATTCCTACTCCCTTTCCTGCTATCTTGTCCTGGGCTGTGGAGACAAGACACAATGTACCAAGATCAACCCATTTCATGCAGTCTTTGATTTAGGACATGGTAGCACTGTGCACCGTACCTTCTTTAATTTTTTCCTCCACATCTGCAGGGTCATCCAATTCCTCCTCATAATTTTTGTATTTTATCTTTCCATACCAGTCCTCTTTTTCTTTCTTCCTTTTCATCTTCAATTCCAGAGGACATCTTGTAACAATTCCTAAATCAATAAAGAGTTTGAAAGACATAGAGGAAATATGCTTCATTTAACCAGGTGTGCTGAATCAAACCATAAACATATGGTGCACAGAAAATACGTCATCACACTTTATGATATCTGTGTATGTTATATTTTGGTTAGTAGGGTATTCGTGTTATAACGTGTTTGTTTGCTTGATTCAGAGAGAGAGGAGGCAGGGTGCTGCTATTTCTGTCTACCCCTAAAGCTTTTTTACCATTTTATAATCAAAATCTGCAAGTACATCTACATCAAATGGACTGTTTGAAAGTATGATTTATTGAAAGGGATAATGAATACCCTTGAGCTGCAGTAAAGACTTCATGTTTCCTTCTTGGATTCAGTGCGTCAAACCCCTGCATTTCCTTCTCAGTGACTAATTTAGTTTTGATAGTCAAAGTACAAGAGGACTTTAGCATAAATCAGTCCAATGAGAACTACATGTGAACATTGCAACCAGGGGGAAGAAAAATTTATATGACTTGTATTTGTCACAGCTCCAGACTGGAGGAGGTGGGGTTGATGACTGATACTGCAGCCAGTCACCAGGGGGTGTTGTTCTCACGGAGGCTTCACCCAGCGATGAGGCCATAGACTGTATATAAGATGGACCACCTGGTCCCGCCTTCCGCCTGTATACGGATTTGAAGCCAAAAAGCTCTCGGTAATTCTGAGTTTTTCTCCACTTCCTTGAAACCAGAGCTGCGCAGTAGTGATGCGCGCATTCGGCCATGCAGTCGCAGAGAGTCCCTGTGATGACGCTCGGCTCAAACAGCGTATCCCCCCGGGAGAGCAACGCAATCCCTGAACGCCCATAGGCTGTACCAAGTGTCAATCATAGAAAACGTGAACCCCCTAATAACTTTAAAAAACGGAGCTGTACAGAAAAAAAAAAGGACTTGGGCACAAACCAGTCTTACAATAACTACATGTCAACATCACAAGCTGGGGGGAGAAAAATTCATGTTCTGTGTAATAAATTTCTAAAGTTTGTCCACAGTCCCATAAGCTTTGCTGGCGGAGGCGGGATTTATGACCTGCACTGCAGCCCACCATCAGAGGGTGCTGTTCTCGGAGTGGCTTCACCCAGCGAGGAGGCAGACTCTGTCCATCTTATATACAGTCTATGGATGAGGCAGATTACATCCATTCTATATACCATCTACAGAACGGAAGCACCCTTGCCTGACCCACGTTCTCTCCTGTTTTACACAGGATCCTTATCTGTTTTAAGGACCCCAGTCTGGGACCTGTAACAAAGCGCGCGCGTATGTGTGTCTGCCGAATTACTCAGAAACCCTCTGAAAATTAACATTCAGAGTGAAGTCCTGTTTCACTTGTCCTGATCCATCCCCTAAGCCCCCCTCCGTTCTCAAGCCCTAAAATCCCAAGTGATTGGTTAGAGGTTACTTTCTGTAACCTCTCTCAGCTACACCGATTACTGCCTCACAAAGAAAGTGCCTTATAAATACCAAACATCAGCCTAACACTAAGCGCAAAAAAGAAAATGGACCAGAAATCCCTCTTGGAAAGACAATTTCCTTTAATTTGGCGGATTGTTTGTGTCAGAGGAAAACAACACAGAGAAGGTAAAACGAAGAAAAGCCAAGCAAAAGAGAAAATCTGGTAGAGAGATGTGATGTTATTTCATGTAAACCTACAATTTACAAGTTTACTTCCGTCACGTGATCGTTTAATGAACTTTATAATGTCAAAATGAATACATTTAAAAAGAAACACTCCATACCGCTCCCTCTGGGCAGAGCCACCCCTGACAGCGCCTCCAGCACGGAGCTCTTCCCCGAGCTTTGGTCCCCGATCACGGCGATAGCAGGCAGCGCCAAATCCTCATCGACACCCAGAGAGCGGAGAGAGTCGATGAGGTCGATGCAGGGACGCACCTTCTCCTCGTACTGCTGGTTCAGAGAGTTCATGCTGGCGATTTCTTGGCTCTTGTGATCTTGTAGTTTTCAAAAAGGGAAATCGTTATAAAAATGTTTATATCCACTTAAACGACCGGAGTCTGTGGCTGCTATAGACTGTGTGGCGGCTGCTCAGTGGCAGCAGTGTGGATGCCGGTGTTTGAGAGTCTCTGAGTTAGTTCGCCCCTTTACGTTTCTGTTACGGGCAAAGGAAAGACAAACAAAACTCTTAAGTTTCGTTTTTGTCGTTATCCTCCATGTTAGCGGCGGTGAAGTTAGTTTAAGGTTGGATATGATTGAAACTTATAAGTTTCGTTTTTGTCTGTCCTCCATGTTGAATGAAGTTAGTTTTAGGTTGGATATTAGACGGCCTTTCACTGCGAACTTATCGGCGTCTTCTCCTTGGTGGCCACCCGTGGATAGGTGTGGAGGACAAACCCGCCACAGAGGCGCCACCCCGAACATCTTGGGTTTCGAATCCCACATGATCCAAGCAACGAAAGTCAGACCGTGGTGTTATATTATATTTAATGAACGAATATGATAGAAAATGGCCATATTTCAGCACTCGAGTCAAAATGTATGTACATATCAGGGGGAACATTACATCTCATTGGATGAAAGTATGGATTTTGTTGTTGTATTTGCTGTTTTTGTTGTATCTTTTGTTGAATTTTACAATGTTTTGGTGATGTTTGTAGTATTGTTTTCTACTTACTGATAAAAGTGTCACCGAAATAAACGGTGATGACTTTAATGATTAACTTTGTCTCTGATTTAATTTATAATTAAGAAAACTCTTGAAGAATCACAGCTTTTCCTAAAGATGACCCCCTGCAGATAACCTGAATTTATCACAGATTTCCCAAATACATTGTGACACTGTCATTCATTGAAGCCAAGTGTTGACAATTTTTTAAGTATTTAAACAGTGCCAAAAACTTAAAGCATTAAATGATTACAGTGGTGTAGAACGCTTTCTTTCAGTGTTTATTATATCCTAGTTTTTAATATTACAGTTGCATTAACACTAATATTGCATTTTGCTGGTGCTTCAAGCTTCATACCACTAAAATACTTAGGCAAAGAAAATAATCTCAGATGTCCTCCAGTATATTTCTTGAGTTATTACCAAATATCAAGTAATAACAGAACAAGAGAAATGTCTTCAAGAAATTTTATTAGTCATACAAAAAAATCACACAAAAGATGACACAAACAAATATTGAAAGAACTATATAAAAATAATAAATCTATAAACATAGGTACAGTTTTTGGGCCGCAGCAGTCACATTCTCTTTTCTGCAACCCATCTGTCCCTTTCAGTGTCAAAAAAGGCAGACTGCTGAAATTCTGTCCAGGTCATCTCCCTGGACATACCCTGTGCCTTGTACAGGGAGAATACTCTGGAGGGGCAGTAGATGTACTTCCCAGGTACCCCGGGAAAGTAAGTGTGAATGTGACGGCTGTCTGGACCCTTCTTTAATGCTTGGTGACAGAACCTGCACAGGCGACCTGTAGGGCGCTGCACCACTGCCTTCCTCTTTGCCCTCTCCTCTGCCACCCTTTTCCATTCTGCACCCCTATGTTTGGCAGCCTCCAACTCCTGCTCAAAAAATGGAGAAGCAGCAAAGTCCTCAAAAGACATGCTGGGATTGTTCAGGCCCTCGTCTTTGTAGGTCTTATAGACCTTTGTGGAGCAATTAAAATACTTAACAGAGCCCCCCAGATAAAAGAAATGAACTGGGGAGCCATCCCCCTGGTATCTTGACTGTGGCTGACCACAGCTTCAGCTGCTGCAAAATTCGGCTGCACGCATGCTGATGAAGACCAGGAGGAGAGCCCACATTACACCAATTTTAAAGTCTCTGCATTGGCTTCCTGTATCTTTTAGAATAGATTTTAAGGTTCTTTTATTAGTTTGTAAATGTCTTAATGGTCTTGGTCCTCCTTATCTATCTGATTTGCTTTTACGATATGAGCCCAGTAGAGCCCTCAGGTCTTCAGGTAGTGGTCTTTTATTAGTCCCCAAAGTTAGAACCAAAACATGTTCATGTGAGGCATTATTTTATTATTATGGCCCCTGCCAGTGGAACAGTCTGCCTGAAGACCTGAGAGCAGCACCTACAGTTCATATTTTTAAACGCAAACTCAAGACCTTCCTTTTTAGTCTGGCTTTTTAGCAGATTTTTGTTTTATTCTTCTAGCCTCTCTTTTACTCTACTCTTTTTATCTTGTGTATTTTACTCCACTTTAGTCCCAGAATTATTATTTTATGTTTTAACACTATTTGTTTATTTTCTTTTATTGTTTGATTTAAAAACAGTTTTATTAAATTATATTTTATTATTATTACTCTTTTATTTCATTTTATTATTATTTTTTAAATCATTTTATGAGTTTCCTATATCTTGTCATGGTTTTATCAGTTTAGCTTCAGCTCCAGTGTTTCCCCATTTTATTTTACGATGGCGTTTCCTTGGTCCACTGGGGCTTCCTGCTGAGCCCTGACTTGGTGTCCCAGTGGTCGTGTGTGTGCGTGCGTGCGTGCGTGCGTGCGTGCGTGCGTGCGTGGTGGGGTCTCTGTTAAATGCGGGCTTTGAGGGTGGGCGGGTGGGTGGGGTTTTGTAATTTGTGTTTTATCTTGTATTTTATTTGGTATCCCCTGATCCTCTCCTTCTTGTGTTCTTTAATGTACAGAACTTTGTGATACAGTCCATGTATGAAAAGTGCTCTATAAATAAAGTGATTGATTGATTGATTGATTGATTGATTGACCACAGGCTAAACAGTTCCTGGTTGTCTTCTTCTTCTGCTGCTGCGGCTGTTGTTGTTGCTGCTGCTGTTTCTCCAAAATATCTGTCACAATCTTCTCCACTGTGGTCCGACTCACTGACTCTTCCTGGGGGGGAGTCACAGATGGAGGGTTGACAGTTGCCGGAGGGAGAGTTGTGACAGGAACACTGACCGTTTGGCTGCCTGTGGTCAAACTCTGCAAAAGCCTCTGGGTATCCAGAACTTTCTCCGAGCTGGTGTTTTGAGAGGAGCTGGTGTTTTTTTTTTAGCTTTGCCAGATGTTTCACATATCTGGAGATATGCTGGCATGTAGTAGGGTGCAGAAGGCTGTAGGGGTCAGTGCATGCCCTGTGCACAACGGCAGCACAGTCTGCAACCACCCGCTTGAGCAGATGTTTAGCCCCATGGTGCTTAATCAGGAGCCCATCAATAAGAAAAAGAATAAGAATAACTTTATTTATCCCTGAAGGGAAATTCAATTGTCTGTTGTCCCACATAATATGTCTACAAAAGTTATCTACTATTTACACAAGAATTAAAAAGTCTAATGGCTGTTGGTACAAAAGATCTTCTGAATCTTTCTGTCCTGCAGCGAAGCGAGAGGAGCTGTCCACCAGCTGTCCACTTCAGCTGTTGTAAATTTGGTGATCCATGTTCTTTAGAATAGTCTCCACCTTCCTCAGTGTAGATCTCTCCACCACATCCTCCACTGAGTCCAGCTTGAGTCCAACCACAGAGCCAGCCTTTTTCATCAGTTTGGTCAGACGTCTTGCATCTTTGTGTATGATGCTTCCTCCCCAGCAGACTGCAGCTTAGAACAGCACACTTGCCACCACAGACTGATAAAACATCTGCAGCTTCTTACTACAGATGTCTATTGATCAGGGTCTTCTCAGGCAAAAGAGGCAGCTCTGCCCCTTTCTGTAGATGAAGTCTATAGTCTTAGACCAATCCAACTTATTATCCAGATGTACACCTAGGTATTTATATGATGTCATCACTGCGATGTCCACTCCACAGGTGTTCACTGGCTGAAGAAGGGGTTTGAATCTACAGAAGTCTATGACCATCTCCTTTGTCTTTGAGGTGTTGAGGAGGAGGCAGTTTTTGTGACTCCAGTCACCGAAGGCTCCTATTAGATCTCTGTATTCAGCTTCTTGTCCATTTCTGATACATGCCACAATAGCAGTGTCATCTGAGTATTTCTGGATGTGGCAGGACTCAGTGCTGTATTTGAAGTCTGACGTGTATAGTGTGAACAGGAATGGTGCCAGCACTGTCCATTGTGGAGCCCCTGTACTGCTCCTTAATGTCCCAGAAACACAGTTCCCCAGCCTGACAAACTGTGGCCTTCCTGTCAGGTTATCTGTGATCCAGGAAACACAGGAAGGATCCACTCCCATCTCTGTGAGCTTGTCTTTGAGTATGGTAGGTTGGGTGATGTTGAATGCACTTGAAAAGTCAAAGAACATGATCCTCACATAAACCCCAGGTTCCTCCAGTTGAGACAGGGCACGGTGAAGCATGTAGAAGACAGCATCATCCACTCCAATGTGTTCTTTGTATGCAAACTGCAGGGAGTCCAGTTTGTCTTTGACCTCAGACCTCAGAAGGCATAGAATCAGCCGCTCCAGGGTTTTCATGATGTGTGAAGTGAGGGCCACTGGTCTGTAGTCATTGAGTTCAGCAGGACATTTTGTTTTTGGTACTGGCACAATGCAGGATGTTTTCCACAGAGCAGGTACCCACCCCAGCTGTTGACTTAGGTTGAAGATCTTGTGGAGAGGTTGACACAGTTCTGCAGCACAGTCTCTAAGCAGCCTTGGACACATACCATCTGGACCCACTGCCTTCCCAGGACAAAGTCTTCCAAGCTCAAACTTCACCCCTGTTTTGGTGACAGACAAGGACTGGTGTTCTAGGAGGGAGGCAGTTGAAGAACAAGATGAGGGAGGAATGGGAGAAGTTGTAGTGGAGATTTGTTGCGGAGAGGAAGGTGGAGTAGCAGTGGAAGTGGGTGTGACAGCAGTGTCAAATCTGTTGAAGAACAGGTTGAGATCATCAGCTCTTTCCAGATCACCCACTACTGGGTGTCTTTTCTTTTTTATTGCTGTGTCCAGGGATGGTACTGATTCCTCTCCACACTTCACAGATGTTGCTGTGTTGTAGATTCTTCTCTATCTTCTTTTTGTACTCCAGCTTTGCTATCTTCAGTCTCCTCTTCAACTCCTGTTGCACTTGTTTGAGTCGTTCTTTGCCACCACATTTAAAAGCTTTCTTTTTCTGGTTAAGGTTGCTTTTCTGTCTCTTGTGATCCAGGGTTTGTTGTTTGGAAACAGCGAAACAGTCTTTGTGGGTATCACTGTGTCTCCACAGATGTTGACATAATCAGTAAAGCAGTCAACCTGTTTGTCAATGTTCATACTATCCACATCTGTTTCCAGCAGCACATTCCAGTCTGTTGATTTAAAACAGTCCCTTAGAGCTTCACTGGCTTGAGGTGTCCATCTTCTGATTTTGACTTTGGTCACAGGCTGCCTCAGTACACAAGGTCTGTAACAGGTTTGCAGATAGACCAAGTTATGATCTGACTTGCCCAGTGGTGGTAAGGCAGTGGCTCTGTAGGCTTCTTTGACGTTAGCATACAGCAAATCCAGGGTTTTGTTTTCTCTGGTAGGAAAGTTCACAAACTGTGTGAATCCAGTCAGGTGAGAGAAGAGGGTGACATGGTTGAAGTGTCCCGATATTACTATTAGTGCATCAGGGTGTTGAGTCTGTAGCCTGGCAACACTATTTTGCAAAATATCGCACAGAATTTCTTCAGTTGATTTGGGTGGACAATAAACAACTACTGTTATGATATGACTAAATTCTCTTGGAACATAATATGGCCGAAGAGCAACTGCCAACTGTTCAATATCTGGACAACACAACTTCTCCTTGACAGTTATGTATGAAGGGTTACATCATCTCTGGTTGACAAATAAAGCCAGACCTCCTCCTTTCTTCTTGCCACTATCTTGAGCATCTCTGTCTGACCTTATAAGAGTGAAACCAGGTAGAGCCACACTGGAGTCCGAGTTGTTTTGATTCAACCAGGTTTCAGTAAAACACAGGAAACTGCACTCATGGTATGCTTTCTCAGTCTTCACCAATATCTCCAGCTCATCGCTTTTGTTAGGCAGAGAGTTGATGTTTCCCATGATGACTGATGGAAGAAAGGGTTTATATCACCTAGCATTCAGCTTTGCCTTCACCTTTGCACCAGCACGGCAACCACGATAACATCTCCTGATGTCCTCTGGAATTGTACATTGTTGTCCAGATTTGCTTTTCCTCAATGAAAGGAATTCTTCTCTTGAGTAAACGCTTTGCCCAGCAGTAGTATCCATTAGCAGCCAACAAAAAGACAACAGAAATATGAAAAAAAATCTAGCAAAAATTACAAAAAATACAGGAAATGCAGAGAGACCAGACTTGCAGCAACCTCTAGGTTTAAGCGCATCATTTGAATTGGCAGCTCTCATGGGCCCTGTCCATCGACTGTGGTCCAGGACCTGAACAGGACCACCAGTCTTGATGGGACCAGTGTGGGCAGCCCAGGGAGAGGAGGAAACGGGTAGCAGTGGCACCCTTGGCAAGTCTAAAAAATAAAGCATTTGTCTGTCAGTGTTTTTGGCAGAATACTGCTGTTCAAAGTGATAGTTATACAGTATGTTGTCTGAATTTAAGCATGTATAAAAAGCTGTTCAAAGTTATTAAAAGCATGACATGTTAAACTTCTGATCCCAAAGATTTTATGTCCAGTTTTATAACTTTACTTTACTTTTTAATTTTTAACAGTTAATGTTTGTGGGCGTCACATTAAACAAAGAAACTCCAAATTTAATTGTCAGTAAACGTTCAACCATGAGGTCAATGTGAGAGCAGTAGGTGAAAGTTTGAATAACCTGTGTCCATCAAAGCCAGTCTTTCTGCTTTGAATGTGGCAGAGGTGTATGGAGATGATGGCTTGGGGTGGGACACTGCTTGAGAGCTGTGCTGAGAGGACAGGATGGGCACAGCATCTCCCTCCTGCATGAAGCTGCTGACTTCCTAAAGGGGGCTGGCGCACACACGCACACAGACTTACTGACACAGCGCGGAGCAAACGCAATGAATGATGAAACGACAGCTTTGGTCACTAAGCCCAACGCAACAGCCCCAGGGGGGGCGAACATTTCGGTTTCAAATAAAATGAAAGAGGTGAGCCCACGAACACCGACGATATGTCGCATTTGTTTGAAAGTTTTGGTGACAAAAAAAGGGAATACGACGAACATGCATGCGCACCTCAAGCACAATCATCCGCGGGGATGATTGTGCTTGAGGTGCGCATGCATGTTCTTTGTTGACCTGTTGAGGAACAGCACCCAAAGCTAATCATTTAGTGCAATTTTGTTTACAGACTCGAGACTCCACTTTATTTATTGTTTTAATAGTTATGTGTGGAGTGAAGTTTTTGTTCCGTACCAGAGACAAGGTCTATTTTTTTATTGTTTGTTGTTGTGATTGTGGTTTTTATTTGAATGCAGTTTTTGATAAAACAGAATGTGGGTCCATTTTATTTTCATCGCTTTTTGGTTGTCTTGTTTGTTTATTATATTTGTTCATCCAAGTTCAAAGTTCTTAATCTTGAGCAATTAAAGTTTATTGCTTTTGACATGGTGTACTCGCATTATTATGCCATATATTATCATTATCTATCATTTAAAAAACGGTGTCAATAATATCGTTTATCGGCAATAATTTGTAGCACAATTATCGTCCAGCAAAATTTGTTATCGTGACAGGCCTAGTCAGTAATGAAACTGAATGATGGATCTACTGTAGATTACCTGAGGGTCTGCGCTAGCCTCAGCGGCAGAGTGGGGATGCTCTCAATGCTGGGCAGAGGACTGCTGCTGCATCTCCATGGCTACAGGTGCAGAGATGCTGTGTGGTTCCCTGCTGTTCTTTAAGTTCAGGACTACAGGTCAGCAGCCTGGCTCCACATACTGCAACCCGAACCTCTCTCCTGTGTCCCTGTTGGTCACCTGAAGAGCAGGGTATTTGGCCTTCCCTGTCACCTGTGCAGATGCTGTGTTCAGCTGGGCAATCAGCAGAGGGTCGAACACAGCGGGCAACTCCACACCAGGCGGTTTCAGGTCCACCAACCTCTGATAGTTCCAGCGCATCACTCCGGTCATAGCCTGGGCATGGAAGAGCTCACTGGATACCCGGTTACCTGTCACCCACTGTGCTAGGTGGAAGTGGAACCCTTCCTGCTGGGACGTGCCTCTGACGGGTATCCAAAAAGGTACAGCAGCTCCCTCACCTTTGGTGTAATTGAGCGGCAGAGTGCCGTCGTACCTGTAGAGGATTCCCTTCCCCACCTCTGGGTCACTCAGGCAGTCTCTAAGGATGTGGATCCGCTGGATCCTGCACACTTTTTGCATGGAGGCTTTGAAGAGAAGCACATTGTTGGGATCCTTTGGCAGGTGAAAATGATGAAGGACATCTTAAGCTCTCTGCAGCAGCTCGCTGGGCGGTGGGACTTCGGTCCTGCAGTGCTCTCTGATGTGCTGCTTAGTGGGATTAGCAGGACAAATTCTGCAGAACACATATGCCTCCTTCAGCCGTTGGAGGTCGCTCTGGTCCATGACTACAAAAGCTGCAGATAGGAGCTGGCAAAAGGAGCCGTAGAGAGGATGGTGCTCAGAGACACACTCCCTGGTAAAATGGCGCATGCAGTGAAACAAGTCTAACTTGATAGTGATGACTGGGTTAAACTTGCTTCGAGGTGTGCTGGCATTAGTCAGGTTCCCTGAGGCTACCTCTGCCACAATAGCCTCTGTTGTCCTCCAGCTGTCCCACGAGAGGTGCTCCTGAGGCCAAGGGTTCAGGACTTTAAAGGCAGCGCAGCAGTCCCTAAAAAAATAAAAATAATGACATGGGGTTAAAAACATCGGACAATATTTGCTGTGGAAAATTAATCTCATGTGTTGCAGCTTTAAATATTTTCCTGTGTATGTTGTATCTGAAACATTTGTCTATGAGTAATACTAATAAGAGACAGAGATAACACAACACATTTCAAACATCACTGATATGAATAAATAAATCTGATATGAATAATCTTATCCAGCACTGAAACAGACGGCAGAAAATACCAGAAATTAGAGTGAAAAACATTTTTGAGCTTGTTCTCAATACCGGTCCACCCTCTGGTACTTGGCTTTGTCCACTCCAGCTGCAGTGTAGCGACGAGCCAGACCTTTATACAGGGGATGGAGGGAGCGGTCACACTCTGACTGCAGCATCACCCAGCTCAAGGTCATCCAGTTTTCATTCATGATGGCATAGGAGGACATTTTGCCTGTGGAAAGGACAACCTTCCTAGCCACTTTTCGGGTGTGATCAGACCTGAGCACCCGTCCAAAGGTCCCTGAAGCAGCAGAGTGAGCAGCTCTTCCTGTCGCTCATATTCACTGACCAGGCAGTCTACCAGGTAGTGGGAGGAAACTGACTCACCGTTCCAGCCATCTGCATCAGAGTACACACCAAATGGAACAGGAGTGCCCTCCTGTCGCAGGAGCCCAGTGATGGTTTTCTGGCCATACACACCTACCTCAGCATCCCTGATGTTCTGGACACTCTGCAGGTAGGCCAGGTGGGCTCTCTCATACTTCAGGTGGAGCGCCTCTGTCAGCTGCTTTGCCATGTCCTCAGGTGATCTGCCGCTGCGCCTCAGTTCATCCCTCAAAGACCTGCCGATGGACTTTTTGAAGGTGAGGAGAGCTGGCATGACGTTGCTGAAGCACTTTGGTAGCTTCTCCAATCATTCGGGCTCGTCTGCATACCAGTACTTCCTGCAAACCTTGCAGGTGAGCCGTGAGGCGAAGATGTAGTACTGGCCACCGATGCCGATGGCAACTCTCGGCTGTCCAACACCTGAAGAAGTCACCTGTGGGTTAGAGCAACCATGAAGACAGGGCAGCTGATAATTGTTCCTCAGCCTCTACACGATGGCATGCTCCAGCTTCCAAATAAAAAATGGATGAAGCTGGAAGTACTTGGGTGAAGGCAGCTCATAGACTGAATCTATGAGCTCTGACTGAGGTGGATGACGCCACAAGGACAGCATGTTCATTAGATGCCGCACTGGACGCGACTCTGGCCATAGCCCAGGTACTTCCAGCTCATTCTTTGTCCATATTTTCTGCTGCTGGGAGCAATGCTACCTGGAAATGTCCTGATCGTAGCTGAGGACAGGCACTTCAGGCTGTGTAAGTGGAGCCTCTGGACACGGTAGAGCTGTTAAAACACAAACACAATAAAAAACTTAAGTACAGAGAGCTCTATGTTTACTACTACAGAGATTTATACCTGAGATTTATACCTGCTACAGGGACGGTGTCCTCTTGCACAGCCACAGGAGCCACACTCTGTGAAGATGATTCTTTAAGAACAGGATGAAGCAAGTGAGTCAAGTGAGATAAGAGCAGTAAAAACTAACCAGGGAAGATTTTCCTCAAGTACATAAGACACGAAAGTGTTTACTTTCAGGAGGAGACGGAGCTGCAGTCACTCCAGACCAAACAGGAGAACTCTGTGCGAGAGGAGACACATTCGGCCCCTGCTCAAACCCCAGGCAGTGGAGCGATGGCGAGCTGCTGGAGAGGGACTGGCACCGGGACCCTGGCTGCATTGATGGGGTGAAAGGAAGAGAGACATTTATTCAAATAATAATATTTCACATGTTCCTGCTTAAAATGATTATCAATTCATGTAAAGACCTTTGGAAGGAGGAAGTTGAGGGGATACACTGGACTGAGGAGGTCTGGACACCGTGGCTGCAGGCTTAGTCCTGTGAGCTATATAAAGAAGTTTGTGTCAGTTTCTTCATACGGTCAATCTCGTTTAAAACATAATCTGTCTTTACTTGTTTTCTCCATCACTGATTGACATCAGCGTTTGAAAATACACTAAATTCATCTATTAGAAACAGGAAAACATGATTTTCATAATCATGTAAGTGAAAACAGATAAAGGTCAGAAAAAATATCAATATTTGGTGACCATAAATGCTGCCAATCAAGGATATGCCAAGTAAACCTATAAACCAGCTAGATTTGAAAAAACCAAAATGATATTTTTCTACTTGCCAACTCCTTAAAGACAGCCTTAAAAAGTATGCAAAAAATAAACACTTACCATCATGGTGTAAACGTTAACCCCTTTGGTTAGTGGGAGAGCAAAAGAACACATGCATCAGAACACACCAGAACATGGCCAAAATAACAAACTAGTTTAAAGAAAATAGTGATGGCAGGTGAATCCTGTTGAAAACAGAATTCTCCCTCCGTATGTGCTGACTCAGATAGTTGTACTGAATAGTGGTTGCTGTTGATTATTTATTGCACTGAAATGTGCCTGACACTGTGTAAATCTGCCTTTGAGGCATTGGTGACTTGTGCGCACTGCTGCGCCGGATGTGTTCAGGCTGCCAGATCTGCTCAGGGCCCAGCGCCTGTTGAAAATGTCACACTATGGCAAGTCCACTTGAACAAACAACATTGTGCACAATTTAATAAGTTAAATGTAATAAGTCAAATGTGCTCGGTTAAATACCCCCTCGTGGTATTCTTTATTTCTGTTGTTCACACAATTGACCTCGAAATTTTCTCGCCATATAATACAAAGAATTACAACTTTCTTACACAGGATCTCCATTTATTAATAGATAGTTTTTTCTTTTATATCACATTTCCTTTGGCAATCTTAAAGAGGCGGTAGTTCGGCTGTCGTAAGCCCCCTTTGATAAGTAGTGATAGGTTGCTTTGTAAAATTCGTTCATGTTTTCTTCAAATAACTACAATCTCATGAAAGCTAATCCGGCAAAAACCGCTTCCATAATGTCTGGACGCGTAATTTTTATTTGTAGGATGGTAGGGGAAGGTCCCGCCCTCCTTTGCCTCCGATTGGCTAGAAGTGCTCAGGGCTTCGATTGGTTATTCCTTATGGCTGTGAAATGTCATCGTCTGTTGGGTTAGGGTTAGGGTTAGGAGATTCAGAAGTGCGATCATGTTCTGTAATGTTCTGTTCGATGTACAGAGCCAACAGCTCGCATTTGGCATGAGCGTGTGATGACGTTTCCAGCTTTTCTAGCCAATCAGAGGCGAAGGAGGCGGGACTTTCCCCTACCAGCCCACAAAAAATATATATCGCTGTCCGGATGAACCACAATCTTCAACATCCGCCGAACCATCTTTCAACCAATCATATAGCGCATTGTCATCAATAGGCGCCTGGCCCTGAGCCAATCTGGCAGCCTGAACACATCTGGTACCTACACCGGTCTACCAAATTACCACTTGACCAACTGCGCTCCACCTGTGCTGAAAGCTGACCAAGTAGAGAGGGGTCTGACTGTAGACCTTTTCTGTGCGGCCAGTTCCGCTGCTGCCTTAACTCTCAGGGCACCTCAAACATGAGGAAGGAAAAAAACAACATATTTTCGAAATAAATGCATGAATTTCAAAATAAAATGCATCCTGGAATGGCATTGAAAATTAGCCCTATGTCTAGCAGTCCGGACTACAGTACAACAATAAACTCACTTATCAAACAAGCGGTAGTTCTCTTGATATCCTTAAAAAAAAAATCTTTTAAACACAATCAGCTGATTTTACACTATATACAGCTGTAAAATCACTGATCAAACAAGTCTTCTTTTCCTAATAAAAATATACTTCTACTTAATTGTATCCTTTAGGACAAGTTTATCCTTTTAAAACAATCAGCTGATTTTAATATGGAAAACATTAACAACTGCATATGATAGGTGAGTAATTGAACTCCAACCTGTAGATCTTAAGCTGGATGCTATGTATTTATTTTACTAATAAGCCATGACAACACATGCGTTTTTTTTCATATTTTCGAGTTTTTAATTTTTGTTTTCTGTTGTTTAGTGTCAGTCTCCAAAGTCAAGTTCTGCCCGGTTCTGATAAGTTTATAATATAAATACTTTGCAACACAAAGGGAAGTGAAAACCATAAAGCCTTGTGTCATAAATCCCAGCACCTTATGCATGATATAGTTTTTGCATTTTAAAGAAAAAGTTACACATAGCACCAATAATCGGACATGGTTCCATTTATCACAGCAATTCCTCCAGGTCCTGAAGCAGCAAAACAGCCCCAGACCATCACACTACCACCACCATATTTTACTGTTGGTATGATGTTATTTTTCTGAAATGTGGCGTTACTTTTACGCCAGATGTAATGGGACACACACATCTTTTTGTCTAACTTTTGTCTCGTTAGACCACAGTGTATTTTCCCAAAGGTCTCGGAGATCATCAAGATGTTTTCTGGCAAAATTGAGATGAGCCTTAATTGTTCTTTCTTCAGCAGTGGTTTTTAGCTTGGAACTCTGCCATGCAGGCCGTTTTTGCCCAGTGTCTTTCTTATGGTGGAGTCATGAACACTAACCTCAACTGAGGCAAGTAAGGCCTGCAGTTCTTTGGATGTTGTTGTGGGTTATTTTGTGACCTCTTGGGTGAGGCGTTGCTGCGCTCTTGGGATAATTTTGGTTGGCCGGCCACTCCTAGGAAGGTTTACCACTGTTTCATGTTTTCGCCATTTGTGAATAATGGCTCTCACTGTGGTTCGCTGGAGTCCCACAGCTTTAGAAATGGCTTTATAACCTTTTCCAGACTGATAGATCTTAATTATTTTCACTTCATTCATTCCTGAATTTCTTTTGATCTCGCCATGATGTCTAGGTTTTGAGGATCTTTTGGTCTACTTCACTTTGTCAGGCAGGTCCTATTTAAGTGATTTCTTAAATGAGAACAGGGGTGGCAGTAATCAGGCATGGGTGTGGCTAGAGAAATTGAACTGTGATGAACCACGGTTATGTTCACAATAAAAATATTCATTTAAAAACTGCTTTTTGTGTTCACTTGTGTTGTCTTTGACTAATATTTAAATTTGTTTGATGATCTGAAACATTTAAGTGTGATAAATGGGCAAAAAAATAAGAAATCAGGAAGGGGGCAAACCCTTTTTTACACCACTGTAATTAAAGCTGAGGGGGCAGCAGAAACAAAGTGAAAGAAAGAGTACGTCAAATCTTTCCTACCGGATAATTTCCCAACCCTAGTGCCAGTATGGCAAAGGCTATTTGAATAATGAATAGTAACCAACAAATCAAGTAAACTTAGAAACACTCATGTGTGAATGTTCTACATTTAAGATGAACAAATGCTTTCTTAATGCTATAGGTACCTACTGTCCATGACATGTGACATGTGGCACCATTTACCTGAGTACAGTTGGATTGAGCCAGTCACTGGGTAGTTGGGAGTGTCTTCATGAAATCTATGATTTCTTTCATTGTAGAAAAGGAGTTTGGTTTTCCATTTGGAGGGAGACTCTTAATCACAGCTGGGTAAACAAACCCCTGTCTGTATGTGTAGTCATGAAGTCTCAGTAGGAAAGCACAGGGGCTCTGTTTGCTGGTGGGTCTCACTGGAGGTCCTGTATGGTGGGCTTGTTAAATTTTCGACCGCTCACTGCACAAATCCATGTTCAAGACTTTTGGAATCCACTTCTCAAAGAACTTGAGTGGATTTTTACCTTCAGTGCCTTCTTTCAGTCCAACAACTCTAATGT